TGGCAAGCAAAACCTTGTTTTCCACCGGCGTGGGCTTTTGCAGCTTGCCCCCCCTGCTCCTGGCCATCAGACTTGCCTTTAGCCTTTGATGAAGCTGTGCCAGCAAACAAAACCTTGTTTTCCACTGACGTGGGCTTTTGCAGCTTGCCCCCCTGCTCCTGGCCATCAGACTTGCCTTTAGCCTTTGGTGAAGCTGTGCCAGCAAACAAAGCCTTGTTTTCCTCTGGCGTGGGCTCTTCACCCTCCCTCTGCTTCTGGCCATCTGCAGGCATCTGCCTCTGTTTACCTTTTGCCCTTCCGGCCTCTGCAAAGGCGATGACCTTGGCTCCCATGAGAAACAGAGCTCTCAGCTGCCGACTCCTTGGCTCCCCTGGAGGCTGGAATGCTGCCTGGGATGACGTGACAGTCAGCTCCCCTGCAGCTTGCAACCGGTGCCCTCGGCATCCCTGCATTCACTCGCATTCTGGGAAACAGCCAGGACCTCCGATGCAGTCAAACTCTGGGCTGGGATGACTGGCAGATGGGCTATCTTCAAAGCATGCCACATCTTACGTGCAGTGGAGTTTCCAGCAAGCGTTTTAATTTCCTCCAGAGAGACGGACAAGACTATTACGTCTATCGCCTTCGAATTTTCGGCCTTCCATCTATCTGTCAGAGGAACTGGAGGGGCCTCACACACAGTATGCCACACTCCAAACTGACGCAGCAAACTCTCACACCATTTTGCCCAGGTCTGATAGTTGTGCCGATTTAACTTTGGGCACTCAGCAGCCTCAGAAGCTTGGAAAAACTCCATTCCAGCTTTTTACTTGAGCCGTGAATCTTATTCACTTCAGAGACGTCTTATCTCGGCAGCTCATAAATCTTGAGGCCTTTGGCGCGGCTCCCAGATCCATTAGTCTGCCGGAGTTCAAAGGCCCTTGCCGCGGCAAACAGAAAAGCCTCACTTTCGCTTTTCTTCCACATACCTTTCAGCAGTCTGTCGCAGTCTTACTCTCCTGTAAGTGCTGTGAATCTGGGCCCGAAACCTGTTGTTGGGATACTGCCAGGGAGATAAAGTCCATCAAGGCCCCCAAGCCGTCTGCCGGACGATCCATCGACCTCCCGTAGGCACGCAGCGACATGAGTTTCTAGAAAATATACTTTGCCACATTCCAGAGCTCATGCACGCTCTATCAGCAGATAATGCACAGCCAAAAGTTGCACTCAGGAGAGCATTATTTACAAGTTTATTCAGCGTTGATCAGAACACAGAAAAACATGACTGCCAGCTTCAGTGTCTCTGAGACAGAGAGAGAACGAAAGCAACAGAAAACATAAACATCCTGTGAACAGGAAATACGCAGACTCTAACTCACAAAGCCTGCTCCCTTTTAAGGTGGAACGGAAATATCCTAACAGGTTCAACATCCAAACATGTACAGTGGTACCTCGGGTTACATATGCTTTAGGTTACAGACTCTGCTAACCCAGAAATAGTGCTTCAGGTTAAGAACTTTGCTTCAGGATGAGAACAGAAATCGGGCTCCGGCGGCGCGGCAGCAGCAGGATGCCCCATTAGCTAAAGTGGTGCTTCAGGTTAAGAACAGTTTCAGGTTACGTACGGACCTCCGGAACGAATTAAGTACTTAACCCAAGGTACCACTGTACATGTAAATAACATGTGCATCAACTCATTAAGGGAGAGTTGATTTTTTAAAAAAAGTATTAATTTTCAATTCTAATTTTGAACCCACATGATTTGGATTAATTATGTGAGAATAAATAATAAACTATATTTCTAATAAACATGTCACTGCTAAAATTTGTATGAATAAACCCATGATGGAAATAAGTTATCCTGGTGTAAAAATAACTGCCCATAACTGTAACAGTTTTTTCTTCCATAATAATTTTGCTTTCTACAGGTAATGGGGGCGTCTGGAAACTCTTACTGCTCCCTATAGCAGAATGTTTTCTATTGTATTTGAATTAACAAAAATATTTTCTTTCTCTTCCCTCCTACTGCCAACTAGCTAAAGGAAATTAAGCAGATAACAGGAACAGTTATAAATAAACTAGGCTGAATAAATTTTCTAACTTAAAAACTTTACATGGTTTACAGCTTACAAAAAAAAAAAAGGATCGTCATTTTGGAAAACCCTTTACCTGTTTGTCATTTTCAACCCCCTCTCATGCTAACTATGTTTTCAGTCCCAGATGCAGTTTTGTTCTCTCTGCAGACCTAGCATCTCAACCCTCCTGGTTAATGGAAGAAATCTGCCAGGAAATCACTTAGAATAATGTGTTTATTGCAAGCTTACGGCTTCCCAGATAACAGCAATGTAGCAGCAGCCATTTATTTTCATCTGCATCAAACCAGGACTTGTGGGGTGGCAGGCCAAGGGGCGTGGAGGAAGGTGACTTGCAAAGATAATTTTTTGGACTACAGGAGTTGAAGCTCCTGGAGATTGAAGATCTTTGTGAAAGCAGCAAGAAGACCAATAGATTTTCATAAATAACTAGATATAGAATTGGTATTTTGTGTTATATGGTAGTTTGAATGTAGTTGTAACTGTAAATTGATGTATTTAATTGTGTTGTGATTCCCATGTAATTGTTTGTATGATATCATTTGCATGTTTGAGGTATTGCGAATATCCATTGGAAAATGAAAATCTGTATGCAGGTTTGGCTCACCGCCAAAAAGCAATTGCTGAGTATTATGATTGCTGAAGTTGTACCAGGTTATTTAAAAGTAGGTATGAAGGTTTCCCCATGTGTTTTATGTCTTTGAATATACCAGGTTTTTGTGAATTCCAAAATTCAAAATAGGTCAATTGGTGACATTTCTTTGTCTCTACATGTGACCCAATCTTCCCTATTGATCCAATGGTTTCAGGAGAAGCACCATGGGAAACCAGTTAACAGTAGCACATAAATATATGCTTTAAGCAGGAATCACTGCATGTGTGAAGGAAGTTTGTATGTGCTTTATAGAGTAAAAGTAGTTACCGTATTTTTTGCTCTATAGGACGCACGCAACCATAGGACGCACCTTGTTTTAGAGGGGGAGAACAAGGAAAAAAAATCTCCCCCTCTCTGTTCAGCGCCCCTTCAGTGAAGCAGCAGGAGAAACGGAGCCCCTTCCATTTCTCAAGCCGCTTTGCTGAAGGGGTGCTGTGCAGAGAGTGGGAGAATTTTTTTTCTTGTTCTCCCCTCTGAAACAAGGTGTGTTCTGTGCGTTCAAGGTGCGTTCACCCGAAGCCTTCGAAGAGCAGCGGGAGCTCCCGCTGCACTCTGGAGGCTTCAGGCGACTACCTTGGAAGCCTGGAGAGCGAGAGGGGTCGGTGTGCACCGACCGCTCTTGCTCTCCAGGCTTCCGTGAAGGCAACTTGAAGCCTCTGGAGCACGGCGGGAGTTCCTGCCCCGCTCCGGAGGCTTCGGGTTCCTTTCGACCTGCTCTTTGGGGCTGGCGGGGGGGGGGAGCGCTGCTCAAAGACCGCCAGCCTCAAAGACCAGGTCGGGGAGCAGCGCAAAAGCTGCGCGCCACCTTCCCGCTGCCCCCCCAAGCTTGTGGGGCTGGCGGTGGGGGGAAGCGCTGCTTTGCCCCACCGCCAGCCTTAAAGATCCCTGAAGCCTTTGGAGCGCATACATTTTACAGTGTGTGACCTATTAAGGGAGAACTACAGAAAAATTCATCATAGATGGTACTTAACTCCTGACAGATTGTCAAAAATGAATAAAATGAACAACAATAAATGCTGGAAATGTAATAGGACAAAAGGCACGTTATACCACATGTGGTGGACTTGCTCAAAGATTAAAACCTTTTGGGACATGATCCACGACGAGATAAAAAAATTGATAAAGGCATCACACAGTAAAAAGGCAGAGGCATATCTACTAGGAATTCTTGATAAAGATATCCCAAAGGATAAAACTAACATATTCTTATACGTGACAACAGCGGCAAGAGTTTTGATTGCTAGCTATTGGAAAAAGGATAGCTGTGATGGCCTGGGAATCCGATTCAGAGGCTGAACCGGAGGAATCCCAGCCTGCACAGGAGTCCCCGCCTCCAGGGCCGGCTGAACTGGGGCAGGGCCTTGATTCTGAAGCGCCTGCACCTGTGCCGGATCCTCAGGAGCAGGCACCAGGTGAATCCACTCTGGCTCCGGAGGTGGTTGAGGACACAGTGCCTACAGGTGAGTCTCCCCCTGGGTCCAGTAACCCTTCAGCCTCTCCTGAACTGCAGAGGCTCAGGGCAGAGAGGCGAAGGGAACTGGTTTCTCCCAGGAGGAGTGCTCGCCTTAAGGCCAGGAGAGGCGGGTCTCCTGGGGGCCGGGACCGCCCTGGCCTCAGAGAAGATAAAGGCCAGTCAGCCCGGTCCCAGGTTGCGGGAGCAACGTCGTTGATGAGCTGTCTCGGCCAGCATCCAGTCCTGTTCCCCCAGTGTTCCTGTCCCCGCCCGGCTTCCTGCTTCGGACCTCACCTCGCTCCTTGTGAACTGTTCCCAGACCAGTGACCCAGGACCGGACTTTGACTACGCCAACGGTAACCTTCCCCCCGGGACCAGCACAGTTTGCTCCCGCCACACCCGCACTCCCCCTTCGTTGGAGTGCGTTCGGGAAAAGCCAGAAGCCATGGCCGACCAGGCAGTTGCGCTGGTGGCATTGGCCCAGGAGAACCAGGCCTTGACTCACACCGTGCAGCAGCTCAGCGATGCGGTTACAGCACTTCAGCAGCGGTTGGACACCCTACCGGCTCCTGTGGCCCACGCCCCAGCTCCAGGCAAGTACCCAGTGGCCTTGCCAGAGAAATTTGATGGGGCCCCGGCCAGCTTTCCCATGTTCCTCACCCAGGCCAAGTTGTATATTCAGGGGCGAGCCCGGAACTTCCCTGACGACCGCACCAAGGTGCACTTTTTGATCAGTTTGTTAAAGGACCAGGCAGCCAAGTGGGCATTGCCGCTGCTCAGGCAAGACTCCCCCCTTGCTGACAGACTATATGGGGTTTTGCAACCATTTGGAGGCCGCATTCGGCAACCCCCAGAAGGAGAGTCAAGCCAACCGGGCAATTAGGCGTTTGAAACAGGGCAAGTCCACTGCGGCCGCCTACACCATGGAATTTCGGCTGTTGGCGCAAGACTTGTCTTGGAATGACTCTGCACTTCGGGACCAGTATCTTGAGGGACTGTCGGATGAGATACTGGACCAGTTGGCCATGATGGATCGTCCCACCAAGCGTCAGGCAACTTCATGTTTTGTTGCATGAAATCAAGGAACATGGAGGCCTGCAGTAACCGGCCCAGCCTCTGGAAGTGCTGTGTATGGTAGGAGAGACTCCACAGCTGCTTTGATCCCTTTGTATTGCAAGAGGCTCTCTGGCATCTCATGCTTGAGGAGGGTTTCCACCACTGCCTGAGCCTCGAGGTAGTTCCGCGAGTTTGTGTTCCACGTGATGGAAAACTTCAACACAGTCTCTGGAAGAAGGGGTTTGGGGAAGACACGTCAGGAAGGAGTGCAAGTTGCAGGCAGCGTGGCCACCTTGAACCAACACCCCTCTCTTGCGAAGCGTGGCCAGGTCTGGGCACACATCTGACCTGCACCTTTCTTCAAGGCAGGGAAGCAGATCCAACACCCCTCCCCACCTACTAGAAACAATTAATGATGGGAGGGGTGACTGAGTTTATTCCAGACTACATGGCTTGCAGGAATGGGTTTTATAATATTTCTAAAAGTACAACAACAACAACAATATGCATTATAATCTTTGCTCTAGTATTACAGAGCTGGTGCAGCTAATTTGAGGCTTTGTACACACCATACATTAAAAGCATTATCGCTTCTCCCCTGTAAGAATCCTGGGAACTGTAGATTACCCTTCTACCGCATAGCTACAATTTGTAGCACCCTTTACAAACTGCAATTCCCAGGATTCTTTGGGAGAAATGTGCTTTTAATGCCTGCTTTTCCTGCAGCAGGCATGCTCAGCTACCCCTCTGGAAGCTCAATCCCACAGAAAGCTGTGACGGCCACCAACTTGGATGGTTTTATGCAGGAAAGGCTATCAATGGCCACTAGGCACAATGGCTATGCTCTACCTCCACAGTCAGTGGCAGTAACGTTTGTGAATAGTAGTTGCTGGAAGATGCAGGAAGGGAATACAGAATGCTCTTGTTTCCACAGGCCTCTGGTTGGCCACTGTGAGAACAGGATGCTGGACTAGACAGGCCAATGTGGCCTCAACCAGCAGGCACTTCTTATGTCCTTACGTGGTTCAAGGGTAGAGATTGTGAGAAGGCATCTTCCAAAGCAATCCCAACCCGCAAATAGCTTTGGAGCCTTCTTGCCTCTAGCCTAGCCCTCACTCCTTTTCCTGTTCCCGCTGGAGTCTTCTTTTGCTTGCCATGCCTGCGGGCTCTCTTCCGGCCAACGCTGCCAATGACAGATCTTAAAAACTTGGGGTTGGTGAGATTCGGCAATTGCAGCACCTTGCGCCTGCTGGACCTCCTGAGCGGAGCGGGTTGTGTCTTGCTCCTCGTAAAGTAGGGTGAAATGTGAGGAGTGTTGCAAGCCGGTGCAGAGGCAGAAGGTCTGGCCGAGATGGTAGAGCACGGCTTCTCTGTCAGGGGCTTCTTCCTAACCCAGTGGAACACCAGTATCATACGCCTCTTAGATGGGTTGGACATGCTGAAGAAGGTGCTGGAGGCCCAAAGACCAGGGTGACTTCAAAGCGGAGGACGCAGCAGGCAGTTCCCTATCAATGGTGCCAAATCCAAGCAAATGTTAGCTCCAGTCCTGTTAAATCAAGTGGACAAGTGAACCCAAGGTGCAATTAGCCTTTTCGTGTCCCTCTGGAATGTGAGAAAATGATTCACCCTTAAGTGAAGATCACAGCAAGTTAAGAACCTCCCAGAAGGGTGAAGACATATCTGTTAGGATGTGTCAACATCTGCGCCAAATTGGGAGGTTGCTGATGATTGATGAAAGCCCTTTAACAAGAATTCATTAATGGGGTATTGTTGTGGAATAACAAAGAGAAGGGGTCCAGAAGACTAATTTGACACTGGGCACAAAATAAAGCTAAAGAAATAAAACTTCATGTTTCTTTATGAATAAACCTTCCTGCTGAGTGTAAAGCATAAACATGTTTATAGCAAGGGAGAATATTTCTCCCAAGGTTCTTAAAAGTCCATAAATGCTTAAAAGGAATCTCATATTGGAATCCAAGAGGTTGGTCTCCCTCAGATTAGTTGGATCAATAAATCCTTAAAAGGGGGGGTGTTATCAGTTTTCCTCTCAGTCATTCTCTGTATTATATTGCTATGTTGTGGTATTCAATGCTTGTAAAAGTGTGTTTTGTAAAGAAGTCCAATTGGTAGATTGATAACTTTGATAAAGTATGATTATAATCCTTGATAAGGTTAGGATCAAAGGGGGACTGGTATAAGAATTGGAGACCCCGGGTGTATATTTTTATTATTTTAATGTTTAAATGTTTCACTTTAATTGTTAAAACATTTTAGAATGTATTAGGCTTGATTTTTGTGTGTTCTGCATTTGTGAGTCTTCCCCCTCCTACGCTGCATTCCATCTCTCCTTATCTACCCCTGAAAGTGATACAAATGGCAGGATGTTTTAGCACCAGAGTGTAAATCAGCAATTCTTGAAGTCATCTGAGACCCAGGAAGAGGATTTTATTATGCTCTTCTGTCAATGAAGGCTATTTTGCCAGGGTAATGCTGGACACCAGAGACCTAAGATCAGGGGTAGGCAACCTAAGGCCCATGGGCCACAAGTGGCCCACGGGGGTCATTTAACTGGCCCACAAGCCGCCCCCGAACCGACCTGCCCACTCAGCGAGTCCCCACGTGCTATGCTAAACTGGCGCAGCGCGGCGCAGAGACTCGCTTCTGCGTTGCTGGAAATCGTGTCTGCGCATGCTCAGACACTGAAAATCTCATCTGTGCAGGCGCAGACCCCGGAAATCGTGTCTGTACAGATGCAGCTGCCAGAAATCACAGCCGCGGAAGCTTATGTGTGCGTGCGATCCGGCCCACGGAAGGATCCCCAGTGAACCAGCCCAGGTGAGGTAAACCTTGCCAACCCCTGCCTAAGATGGTCAAATGACCTGGGCACATCAGGGCCACTCCAAGGTGATGCAGGAGTGAAGATATCAGTATGGAGCCATATGTGCTTTACTTCTCATCACTGACATATGTGAAGATGTTTTATGACTCTTTGTTTGCTGTGTTTGAACTACTATATGAGCTTTTTTTCTGAAGTGCCTGGGGGCAGACCTTCTTAACTGGCATGTTGAATGAGCTCTGTCCTATTGCAATAGCTATAATAAATGCTGGGTCCCTAAATCCAGATGCTGGACTTGAAAATAGTTTCCTTGGTTCTGTGGTTTATTCAAAAGGTGGTTGTTCTTCACCTGGATAACAAATAAGGTAGTGTAGAGGTAAATTATTACCACAAGCTTCACAATATCGTTTTTGATAGCAAAGCCTACTCCATGTACAGTGGTACCTCTACTTATGAACATGATCAGTTTTGAGGTGCCGTTCGCACCCTGAAAAGTCCGTAAGTAGAGCGCCACTACTGCGCATGAGCAAAACACGATAGAGCGCTTCTGTGCATGTGCAAAGTGCGCAGATCACTTCTGCGTGTGCGTGCGTGGCGAACTCGGAAGTAAACACTTCTGGGGTTGCTGCATTTATAACCTGAAAAGCCACAATGTAAAGCAAACGTAACACGAGGTATGACTATATTTGACTTTCTTGTTCAGGTAAACCTTTCCAGAAGAATGTGTAGCCTCCTTTTTCTTCCTTCAGTTGTCCCTCTGCTGCTCTTCAAGTTTCTTAAGAGCTGCAATATCTATGTTAAAACATCGCAACTCTCTTGCAATGATGGCATTCCCGTGCTCGGGGCGCTCGTTATTTGTGTAATCTGTCTATTCCATGTTCCAAAGTTCAACTGTCTTTTACGACTGCTGGGTGGTGACCCCACTGGGCGCAGTAATGCAGTCAGGGAAAAAAGGAGGCAGACTATGTTTAGGGCACCTTTTCTAGCCCCTTCTCCTTTTAGAGGTGTGCAAAGTGGATCCAAAATAGGACTGCTCAGTCGTGGATACAGATGCCAAGAGGCCCCATTAGCTAAAGTGGTGCTTGAGGTTAAGAACAGTTTCAGGTTAAGAACGGACCTCTGGAACGAACAGTGGTACTTAACCTGAGGTACCACTGTATAAATAAATCTGGTCTGATGTTGTGGTATACAAATAAACTTAGTGTTGAATTCAACTAACTTTTACTTAGAGTAGTCCCACAGACACTAATATAACTTAATCACTGACATTAATTTCAGTGGTTTATCTGACTACAGTGGTACCTCGGTTACATACGCTTCAGGTTACAGACTCCACTAACCCAGAAATAGTGCTTCAAGTTAAGAACTTTGCTTCAGGATGAGAACAGAAATCGTGCTCCGGCGGCACAGCGGCAGCAGGAGGCCCCATTAGCTAAAGTTGTCTTCAGGTTAAGAACAGTTTCAGGTTAAGAACGGACCTCCAGAACGAATTAAGTACTTAACTCAAGTTACCACTGTACTTTAAATGTATGTTGTTGTTAATTGTCTTTACCAATAAATTTATTAATATTTTTGTATGCCACTTTGAGTTTTATTTTGTTTTTTAAAACAATCAAGCAATACATCGCAGCATACCATATAGCTGGAGCCAGCTGTAAGAGGGTCAGACCTGGAGACTCCAGGATTCAAATCTTCAAAGGATGGGTGATATACAAATTAAATAAATATATTTACCACATGAAGCTCAATGCATGTGACCTTGGTCCAGTTACTCTTCCTCACAGGAGCGATGTGAGGAAATTAAATGGGAACTGCAAGAACCCTGAACGCCGCCTTGAGCTCCTTGGAAGAAAGGCGGTATGGAAAATGATTTCAGGAAATAAACCACTAAAAAGCCAGCAAGAATGCTTATAATTAATTTAAATTAACCCCACCACCACCTCGCGCGCCTATGTGGCAACCCTCGCCCTTGCCTCCTCAGGGCCTACCGAGGCGGGGGAAAGGGCGGCGGCGTAGGCGGCCAGGCCCTTCGCCTCAGAAAGAGCGGACTACAAGTCCCAGCATGCTCCGGGGGCAAAGCCAGGTCTGGGGAGGGCGCTGCGGAAGGCCGCCCAGCCCTGGAGCCTCACACCCTCTCAGGAGCGCAGAGAGGCGGCGGCAGCGCTGCTGCTGCCTCTGCTCTTGCCGCCGCGATGCCCTCTGCGGGCTGCTGCGAGGAGGGAGAAGGCGCCGCCGCCGCCGCGCCTGGGGAGGGTCCCGTCCCTTCGAGCCCTCCGGCGGCGGCGCCCCCCTCGGCCTCGGAGCGGCCCCGGCTGTGCGGCTACCTGCAGAAGCTGACGGGGAAGGGCCCGCTGCGGGGCTTCCGCAGCCGCTGGTTCGCCTTCGACCCGCGCTGCTGCGCCCTCTACTACTTCAAGGGCTCCCAGGAGGCGGTGCCCCTCGGACGCCTCGACATCGCCGGAGCCTCCTTCAGCTACCACCAGCCGGCCGAGGCCCCCGGCGCCGCCGCCCCCAGCGCCGCCGCCGCCCCGGCCTCCGCCTCCTTCTCCGCCGCCTCGTCCTCCTGCTCCTTTTCCGGCGGCAGCAGCAGCAGCAGCGGCGGCGTCGGCGGCGTCGGGGATGTCGAGGCCGCCCTCGGCAGCACATTCGAGATCCACAGCCCCGGCGGCGGCGTCACCGTCCTCAAGGTAGAACGGGGCCTCCCCGGGGTGGGTCCGGGGTAGCTGCCCCGCTTTGCCGGCCCGCCGCGCGCCCCTCGTTGGGAGCTCCCTGCTATAGCTCTCTAGTGTATTTTAAAACGGGGTTTCAGAGTTTTTAGGGGGTTTTGAATGTTTTATGTAGTTTTTCAATTTCATTGTTCTGCATGGGACAATGACAATAAAGATATCTTATATAAAGGGGTCCTGAGGGCGGGTCAAGCGGGGCAGGGAACTCCAAGCGAGGATGGACCTCCAAGCCAGCCCGCTTAGGCTTGTGGGGCGGGGCTTGCTCTCAGGTAACTTCCTCAGGTAAGGTCGCTTCCTCGAGGCTACCACCACGCGCCCCCCCCCTTTAACCTGTCACTGAGTCCCGTTAAACGTTATTTACAGTCTTTATTTCATAAAGTTTACATACAGCTTGATTGTTGGAAAAAGCAAACCCTCAAATCTTTGCTCCTCCACCAGCTGCCCTGTCTGAAGGACCCAGATCCCAAAACCATCTGGGCTCAAGCAGAGCTTGCTTCTACATATAGATTTGTGCAAGTGGCTTCAGCAGAGTCAGACCATTCCTCCATCCAGCTTAGTGTTGACTACTCTGCTTAGCAGGGGTTCTCCAGGATTTCAAATGGGTATTTCCCAGCCCTGCCTGGATATACCTGTTACTGTTTGTATGCAAAGCATGTTCTCTGGCGCAGAGATATTCTTTCCAGATAGGTTAACCTGTCTGGGCATATCGTCTGGCACTTCCTTGGAAATCCTTATCCATCTATATGCAGGATCAGAGGAAGAGATTGTCGCAGAATTTAATTTGGTTTGCCTAACCATGTATTTGTGTTACCAAGATGATTACACTAAAAACACACACACACACAAATCAGCATTAACTAATCTGGAGCACCTGTTCTCTTTCCCCTTTGATAACTTCTGGTTCTGTTTTGAATCTCTTTCACCCAAGCAATAAAGACTGAGGGAAGGAAAACCTTCCAGTTTCATATCCAAAGGTACCTACCCTAAAGCATGGCTAAAGTGCACACTTATCAGTGTCATTGTGGGCAGTACCTAGAGAGCTGCTGAGCTGGGATGGTGGCAAACACCACATGGCACCTCTGTCAAGATAGTCTGTGGGGTAAGCCAAGAAACCATCAGTCAGTATTGCAGGAAGAGCTGGAACAACTCACTTCCCCATTAGTTATAATACAAGAAAAGCAAGGTGAAACAACTGAGTTGCAGGACAGAGCTAGACCTTTTACTCCACAATTCATACCAGAATTATTTCTTCAGCAGAGTAGTCTAGCCCCACAAGCTAATAAAACAGTATTTCAGTGCTGTCTGTGCCTAAAGCCACATGCCACGTGTAACTGCAATACCAAAACATGTCCAAACAGTAATAAAAAATAGAAATTGCATTTATTGCTCTGCTTTTGGTATTGCTATCCATGTACAAATAATGTAATAAACAATGCATTTAAAACTGTAAATGAAAATGTTTCTCTGATTTAACCAGTTCTGAGAGAGCTGTGCTCTTCAGTGATAAGTTTCCATAAGTAATTTTCTCTTGTAGATATTAGGTGCTCTGTTACAAAATCGTTCTGAGAATTATAGCATCTTGCTCAGTAGGTTGGAGCTGAGAGCTTGAACAGCAATCTGTATACAGCATGAAGGCAAAATGTGGTGTAATAGCTGGCAGCAATCCTTTGCACACATATTTGGATTTAAGTCCTGGTGAACATTGTGAGGTTTATTTCTGAGGAAACATACTTACAGTGGGACTGTAAAATAATGAATTGCTTCAGTAGCCAGGATGAGTATGTTAAAATGCACCCTGGATGTACCTGCTTCTAACATTTCAATGTTACCTTGACCTGTGACTGCAAGAGGCATACCTTTCCCTTTTCTAGTTGAGTATCAATGCAGTAATTTCACAATATCAGGTGGCACTAATGTTTGGTGGGGTGGAGTGACAAAAGAATAAGGTGGACAATTGGTTCTTCCTTAATTGTTAGTTCTATCATTTTTGTTGGGCTTCGCTTCCCTTTTGCTCTGATGTTGCTGATCTGGCTTTGAGCCACCTTCTGTGACTTGTTACACTTATTCTCTAGCTGTGTTTCGGCCACTGTGTTTCATCTTAACATTCTGCTAAATGAACAAACCTTATTCACTCATGTGCTGCTGCTTCATTCTTTTCTACATAGGAGTGATCAAACAAGCCATAGCTCCCTGGTTTGTCCAAGCTGGGAAACTATGGTTGATGAAATATGGTTCCATGTTCTGTAGCTGTTCACGATAGTAATAACCTCCTTTATCTTGCAAAAACTCCAATGATGGCTCTGTGAAAAGAACATCCTGGATTATCCAAGCATCTTGTCCTACTTCATTGGCTCTTAGGGTTTGGGTGTGAAGAGGATTCCTAAAGCCTATTAAAAGAATAATAATTTTGCTGCCAAATGTTTAGTTTAGGCATTGGTGTTCTTAAGTATTTATTTCAGGATTAAATGGAGCCCATTACTGAATTTGTGCTTTACATTTCAAGCTTAATGGATTTATCCTTTCAAGGAAAAACTCCGTATAAGAGCAGAACAATATTTTCAAGGAAGAAAGTCAAATCAAACATAGGCTTCTTCATGCTCACATGCTTTAATATTCCTAAACTTGCTGCTGATTCACAGTTTCTGAATGTATCATGGGATGGACTCTCCCATCCATTATTCTTAACATTATAGGAACACTAAGAAATGACTTGGAAATATTAAATCTGTGTCCTTTGGGGAGTTTTTCCAAGTCACCACTTTATAGCTAGCAGTTGTGCTGTGCTCGTGTAATGCAACTTCAGGCCTGTTGTACTAGAGCAATGTGGCTTCTGGCTGCATTGGGATCCTATTCATTTTGGCAGCCTCCTGTTCCAAGGTCAGAAATGTTAAGTGTGCAAAATGCTTTTGCTAATCCTGTGATGTAGGTAATGATGTGATGATGTTTTCTGAACCATATTGGCTTAAACTGGAGGTTGTGAAAGCTACAGGAAAAGAGCAAAATGGTTTTAGGCCTGTCATATCCTGAATCCTAAGATATCAACCCACAGCTTCTTTATTACCTGGAGAAAATGAAGGTAACCTTGCTAGATAGTTGTGACTGAAAAGTTGCGCAGTAAAAATTTTTTTGCACAAAAGCTGTGTCTGTTGCAGTGTCACTGGTTGGTGGGAATTGCTTCCAAGTAAATGTTGTACATCCTAATTGAATACTTGTTTACCCAGACATGCACCCCACTGAACTCCAATCCTGTTAGGCCTCCCTGAGAATAAGTTACAGGGGTTACAGTGGGACTTCTGAGAATGGTGCTGTTATTCAAACATGATGCAATGCAGTTTCTTGACAATTGGCTTCCTCTTGTGGGTTTTTCCTATTGAGTCAGAACATCCCTTCCCTTAACTAGCAGTCAAGCACTGTCTCTTCCAGATAATTTCATGCCTTTCCTATGAAAGCTAATGTCACAATCAATTCATTAGTATTTAAGATGCTGCAGGCTTATTTGCCTGAGTGATGCTGACCTTTATTGCTTTCACTGTGACAGGAAGATGAATTAACTTACAGCATATGTTGTGGTTGCCTGTTTCTTTGAGGTTTCAGCTTTCTTTCCTGTTCCTCGATCTTATCGATACGTAACATGTTTTCTTTATAGGGAAGACAAACTGTAAACATTCACCATTAGACAAATATTTTAAGTTTTGGAAAGGCAGTCTGAAAAATATAAACCACATCATGAAAAATGGACTCCCCAATAATCAAGAGTCCATTGTGGTCTCTCCATCTGCCCCAAGTTGCTCTGTATATGAGATTCATTATTCTGAAAGTATTCATTCTGTTACTAAACATGATCCTATAATAAATATTATTTTTATTCTTATTGTAGGCCAATCTAGGTCAGTTTGAAGAAAGTAGTGGCAAGCATGGATAAAGTGTGAACACATAGAGCACTGTGCTGATGCCTTCCAATAACAACATGGTAAAAGTAGTCCAACTTAAAGATTCCTGTTGTCAACTACAGAGAGAGGTAGACATGTAATGGGATACCAAGCCATTGCAAAAAATGCAATAGCTAGGCTTGCTTGACAGGTCCCCAATTTAGATGGAATTTGGACTGCATGAGCCACATACACACATCAGAACTGCATCTTTTATCTTGTAATCGAATACTTAGCATAGAAGGATGCAAATCCCTGAACACAGTTGTTGAGTTATTTCCATTTTAGTGCAGCTTATGGATGACCAGCCGTAATGTAGCAGCCTTTCTGTATTTTCAAACAGATGACAGGCACCTTTTTGTGTGTCCATGCGTATGCAGGCACCTTCCATTCCTTGTGCAGTATTCCTCTTGTAATGTTTTCAACATTTCTGCTTGTGTGTGTAACAGGCACCAACACACCAGGATATGAAGTACTGGCTTCAGGAGCTTCAGCAGAGGAGATGGGAGTATTGTAACAGCCATGATGCAACTAAGAGAGTCAGTCAAATTTCACCGACACCATGTGACTCCTCCAAAGGGCTTGTTGCCAAAGATAATACTGGTAAGCTAATGATGAGACTGGTCGAGAATGCGAGTCATATAACTTTGTTGGTGGCAGTATCATAATATTTTTCAAATTCTAAGTGCAACTGCCAACTCTACACATAGCTCAACTTAGTTTCCATGAAAGGTAGATTGTGGGCACAATTAGCTGAAGTATAGAGAGGGTGCTTGATAATGTTTAATGGATTGTGCTGTAACTGCTTATTCAGCTTTTAGTGGCTTCTTTATTTAACACTCAATTTGATTTCCTGTCCTGCTCCAAATTCTCAGGGTGAGTTGGAAAATTTCAACCACTGGTGGCATAAAATGCAATATAAAAATTTAATTTGTCACCGGCATGACACCGGCATCACTATATGCTAAAACATAAAATCTGACATGTTAGAACCATCACAGATGTCAAGGTTTGTGAAGTTCATTAGATTCTCTTATCCTGAGAAGAAATAAATAAAGAAGAAATAAATAAATCTATCGGTCTCATGTAAATGACATTTGGAACAGGAAATCTTAGGATAGTAAACAATTCAAAGGTCATCCTAGTTGCTTGTTGGTTTTTATAGGATTGCCCTGTAAGTCTCAGTGTTATTTACACAATCCATCAAAGCTGCCCCAGATATGTCTTAACCTTTGTGTGATGTTCAATGCTAGTAGTATAATATGTGTATGTTATAGATGGGTGGGAATAGTAATACTGGTTCCCCTCCACATTTTTGTTAACGATATATATAAGTACATGAACATTAGGTAGAGCACAGAGCCTCCAAAATGTGGTTTTTTTATTATAAAAAAGCTATGGAAATAGTGGAGTTGTGCCACTAATCCAGCCGCATTCAGACCATTGCAGTAGCAATGAAGGTTGTCTTCTGAAGAAAATACTGCATTTTCACAATTTCTGTTCTTTAATTAGATTTTTATTTTAAAAACAATACAAAAGCAAACCATATCAACTATGTGGAAACCAAGATTTAGAAAAACTATAAAATGCTATTCTGACTTCTAAGCGGCAGCATACATTGTGACAGAAAACAGAAAGAGTTTTTAAGAATTCCAAATTTTACCTGCCGGTATTGGCAATAGACTTTGTAGATCAGCATTATTGGCATAAGCAATAAAACCCCACCAAGTAGCAGGGAGAGCTTCTAGGTCCTCAGTGCCTTTCAAGAGTTAACTTATGAGTTATCTTATCAGAAATGGCTGCATTTCATTGTCCCAGGTTTTGAATACTGAACTTGAGTGAAATTTCCCCATAAGAATGTGAGGTTTCCTCACACAAGTCATGAATTGGATCTTTAAGATCAGGTAAAGAAAGTACATGTAAATTGGGCCAAAGTAATTCTGGAAGTGCATTACCAAATGCCTGTGTTCTGACCAGTAGGCCAAATTATAATTGGTCAAATTTTGTTGAGACAAAATAGGTATCTTAGTAATATCCTTACCCAAAATCCAATTATTTGTGGGTGTGATTGCTTTTCTCTTCCTAACTAGTATCATGCTTTGAACATTCAGCTTCTGAAAGTTACTTAGCTATTTTATTTTTAACACAATTGATCTGGGGAGGAGGGGGATTTTCTACTTAACAGGCAATCTTTTTAATTTCATTGCTCCTGGAATTTTATAAATCTGCTGCAGAATAAGTACAGTTGTACCTCGGAAGTCGAACAGAATCAGTTCCGGAAATCCGTTTGAAAACCAGAACACTCACTTCCGGTTTCTGTTTGGGAGCCGGGACATTCTACTCCGAAGGCGTTGAGGAGCCGAGGTACAACTGTACAACTTTTTTGAAGCTGACTTGAGAAATAGCATTTTTAGAAACCTTATTGATTTTGTGATAGTTATTTAGTTATGCCGATTGTACCTTTCTAGACCAAAAAACTTTGAGATAAATAAAATCAGATACGTTGGCAATCTACTATTGCTGGGTTTTTTGCTGCTTTTTCTATGGATTATAATTTCAGGGATTGTATTTCAAGGCAGTTATTTATTGTTAACTGAATTTTTGTCGACAACACTGCCATGTTTATAAGTCAATATATAGATACTTTAAATATTTTAAATGAAAACTTTATATTACAATTTACAGTAAGTGTGATATTGCAGTACTGTTTGTCATCCAGCTGAAACAAGAAGGCATTCATGGTAGCTTTCTTCCTAATGTTCATGTTTACAAAGAAGTGGGCAGTGAGCATAAAATATAGTGCAATGTTGTGTATGGGGACCATTGTACTACCAGCATTTGGAAAATTATTCTAATTGAAAACTGCTTTGAGCTTTCTCTGATTTATGGTAGATTTTGTGTGCAGAGTCTTGTCTTTCTGGCTTCATTCCTATATTTGTGTGTGAGTGAATATAAGCAATAAATAACTTTGCAGTATTGCAGATAACTGAGGAAATTGTATTTATTCATTGAGTGCTGTTATCAGATTATAAGGTAACTTAAATAGTACATTTCTGACTGCATCATTTTCATTTAGGTTAAATTGTATTTATAAGTGATATAAAATAAGCAGGGGAGGTATCTTTTGTTGAAACAGCTTCCATGCTGGTAAAAGTTTTATGTAAGGTCACACCAAAACCATCCTTTTGAGTAGATGTTTTTTAAAAAACCCAGATGAGAACCCGAGCAAGGTTTCATGCCAGTCAACAGCCTGTTGTTCTAGTAGAATGCCGCAGGTGTCCTAGTCATGATTAAACCAGCAATGGATAGATGATATGGGGCATGAACAGCTCAAAGTAAGTCCGTGCCCCAACACGAGCCATTCTCTTCCAGTGTTTGTATTTCGTATCAGTTGATTAACTTGCTGCCTCATCATCCTCTTTTTCTATGGTCGCCAGTAGGGAATGCCACTTAATATTAATTGCCTTCTAGCCCATAATTACCCTGCCCAGACCACAATTGCAGGCACTCTTAGGCTGAGAGTTTTGGGGTTGATCTCTTCTGACATCATGCTAAACCATGGTTTTTCACTAAGTGAATAAGCCTAATCTGCTCCTGTGCTCTTCCTCCTGTGTGGTTGGGAGGAAGGCTTTGGAAACCTTTACTCTCATTTAACTATGATTTCCCATTTCATCTTGCCTTGACCCTGACAATAGTCTGTTTCAAAATAAGCCCACTGTAAACAAGCTAGCCTGTTTGAAACACCCAAGTTTCCCAGTTCAGGTGAAACCATAAACAACAAAAAGTGAAAGCTCCCAAACCCCTCATAGCCATTTTGTGGAAAGAGAAGGTGAGCACATAGTTCCAGGAGGAGGATCAACCCATTCACATGTCACTAAGCCATGTCTGAACCTGGGAGTCTCTCCTCCCTTGCTAATCACAGCAGCCCCAAGAATGAAGGTGAGGAAATTTCATGTTGTGGGGGCACATTACATGATGAATATTTGGGAACATGCAGAGCTCACTTAACTTAGAAAGGTTCTATTTGGTTGTCTTCCACTGATGTAGCATGTTATTTGGTTAATAGCTTTTCATGCCTAATCATGGATGGTTGTAGTCTGTTTTATGTAATTTTAATAACTGAGTGTTAAGCAGATCTTTGGCTTCATCCAAGCTGAAAGACTGTGTCCTTGATTGTAGGTTATGTAAATGTCCTCACAACACTCCAGCATTCCTGTGGATTTCATACTGGTTGTGATCTGGAGAAGAGAATCCATACAAATGTGATGTGGTTTTACATTACTGTATATGCATCTCTGTCATAAAACAGCAAGAAGTGTGGGCATTCTTCAAACTGTCTTGTTAACTGGGCATGAGCATTAGCATTATTTCCTGGGGCCGTGTTGGTCGGGGAGGGGAATTGCTTTGCTTTGCTTTGCTTCATCCTGCTGGTTTTCACACAGTACTCATTTTAGCAGAGTGCTGACAACTTTGTACTGTAGTGGAAATGGTTGAAGGTGTGTCTACAGCTCTAAACTTGGCTCACCTTGGAGTAGTGGTTTTCTCGAAACCTGGAAATCATTGTATGCTTTAGATCCAGATAGCAGAACATATCCCTTGTTAACAGAGTCAAAGCCTGATATGGTGCAGCCATCAAATGTATGCAATTTGGTGCAAGGAGGAGGAATACTTCAATAATCTTTTCTCTCTCTTTCTTGCTCTATTCTCGTGTAATGCTACTGACAGAGGGAAGAGTACTAGGAAGGACTACCTGTTAATCTATCACTCTTGATGTCGCTGAGGGCTAGTGGGAGGTGAAGGAAGCAAGGGCCTCCTTGCTTAGAAAACTGGGCCCTGTGGCTTTCATGTGCCTGCAGAACTTTGGAGGTGGGCTTTCCCACTTCTGGTTGCATGTTAAGTGAGGAAGCTTCAAGGTGTATGTAAAGATACTGTTAGACTGCCCAATGATTGCCAGCTCCTCTCCATGCTCTGGGCCCTTTGACAGAGCAGAGGAGGAATATGGCCCATTTTGAGTGTACCTCTTGTACTTCCTGAGATGGTATGTACTCATTCAAACTCTTGAATTTGTACCTTTAACTACCTGTGTGTATTTAGTGGGGAGGGGGCTACACAATTACACATAAATAATGTTTGGCCTAATCCTTAGGTACCTGAAGCATTATAATACCTGCATGTGCGAGAATCTGTTGTGAGAGACTGACATAATTGTTGGTTTATCTTGGTTGGTTTCTGCTACCCTTCCCCACACTCATTCTGAATTCCAGTTTTATTCTCTAAACTTTAATGCAGAGCTTTTCAAACATTAGTGTGTCAGCTGCAGTGTGCAGGTGTGTCACTCAAATGCTCCCCGTGCTCCTCCCAGGGCTGGAAATGGGTTAGTTTAACCTCCAGTTTGCTAGTAAATCTGAATTACTGTGTCACAAAACGATGCATGTCTAAAAAGTCTGTCACCAACATGAAAAGTTTGGAAAGCTCTGCTTTAATGACTGCATGAGATGCTGTGAGTTATAGCCAATTTGCATGACTTTCTTAGCTGGCCTTGAGGCGAGTATTAACTCTTCAGCACCATAGTTGTTGGACTGCAATAGTTTCCTGGGGTACTTGTGAGGGGAGCTCAATAACTTCCTTCATGACATGTTAGAAGTCCTCTGAATTTGCCCTCCATGAGCGTTGATGAGGACTGCTGGGGTGTCAGCTGCATTATTAAGTACTGGTGGTGTTTTTTGCCCTTCTTAGATTGGACCACCATGTTTTCAAATGCATCAGCAGAGAAAGCTAGAAATGTCCTAATGGTGGAGGCAGCGCGCACAGAACTGGTGGGAGAACAGGCAGCGTGCCAGCCAGTCCCAGGCCAGCCAAGTGCCATTAACTTTGCTTTGAAGCAACTGGGTACAGATATCAAGTGAGTATTGTGTGTTGTGTTACTTGACAGTGTTCATCTAATGGGGGTGGCATAAATACTACCATGTGATTGCAAAAATGTTTATGTTCGGATTAAGCCTGTGGAGCAGATGATATTTCTTCCCCTCCCCAAAAATAATACATTTTGAACTGAAGTTGTTCATGATTTAGTGGAGGTAACATTTGGACCTAGGTTCCCAGCAGCAACATTCAACTTGCAGCCCACTGGCTTCCATAATAACTTTATTATGTTTCAGGGGAAACATGTAGGTTAAATCTAAGCAAGGCTGTGGAGATGGAGTTAAGCTGACTAGGGGTGCCAGTGATCAGGGAACAGGACTTTAAGACAAAGTTAAAACCAGTGGGGGTCCTGTGAAAATCCATATGGGAGTCCAGTTCCCATGTCAGTTTGCTACCTAAAGCATCTCAAGGTGTGGAAATGGAGTTATTAGAACGTACTAGAACCTGCCGCACAAGGTGCATCTCTGAGTGAAAATCTCCATGGTGTGATTTTGTCCATGGTGTGATTATTTTCCACACCATGTTTCTGTTATGAGCAAATGGTGGTTCTTTCATTGAACAATTTTTTCCCTCACTGATGCTTTCCACCAGTTTACATGAAGCAGAATTTAGTTGGCAGATCTGTAATTTCATCATAAAAAATACATTGGTACCTTTCAGCTTTCTGGTAAGGAGAAAGTTTTAGCAATGATGAAATGTAGCGTCTTACCCACCATGCTGCACCAGCTCTCTTTTGCTTGCCCTTTGAAAAGGACATAATACCCTGTTCACATAATACACTGTTACTCCTGTTTAAAAAGTTCTAGATCATTTATCTTTGAAACAATATTGGTCATTGAACATAATAAAGAGATTGATTGATACATCTTTAAAACAAATGTCTTGAAACATTGTAAAGAAAAACACCCCATAAATATCTCTCTGCCTTTGTGTTCTCTTTTTAAATAGTGGGAAAGGCACATTGACTATCTAAGAAGTAACCATTTATAAGGCTTGTGCTGCTGCTGAAGTCACGGTTTTGACCTTGGCCAACTTCTGGCAACAGTTTTGTGGCAACTGACCTCAGATCACTTCTGTTCTCTTCTTACCATCCCCACTCGCACCCTTTCAGTAATGCTGAAAGGCTGCCCAGGGGGAGTAAGTCTTGCAAGTACTTCTGCAGCACAAGCTCCCATCAGTTTCTAGGGGGCGAAGCTTCAGTACTTGGAGGATTTTCCTCTCCTGGTTCCTTTTCCAGATGGTTATGGAGCAGGGCACATGTGGCAACTGTTGCCTTGGTTGCACTGGAAAAATTAAACCACATCCTTCTTGTGATTTCAATGAGTGTGATTGATACCCCCACCCCTATGCTATTTAGTTGCACAAAAAGGCTTTTGAAAGGAAAATGTTGGATGTGCAATTCTGAATATGGTCTAAGAATTTTTCTCTGCTTGTCAGTTTGACCACAAAAATGTCCATAATGGGATTCTGAATCTTGCATAGCATACTGTTTGTAGGAAAACTAAGGCAACTCTGAATTACTCCAGATCAGGCACCCCCAACCTTTGGCCCTCCAGATGTTTTGGACTACAATTCCCATCATCCCGGACCACTGGTCCTGTTAGCTAGGGATCATGGGAGTTGTAGGCCAAAGCATCTGGAGGGCCGCAGGTTGGGGATGCCTGCTTCAGATCCTTCCTCTATGTGATCCTTTAACTCCTAGTGTATAATGTTAACTTTTGCTTCGGGCATAACATAGGGAAATATCAGCCCTGCACAGAACTTCAACTGTCATCTGTTTTGTGTTACTTATCAGATTGTGTTCCTATGTGGCAACCTGGTTGTGCATAAACTAGCCTTCGCCAACCTGGTGTCCTCCAGATGTCCTGAACTACAGCTCCCATCAGCCCCAGCCAGCATGGTTGTATGGTGCTCCTTACTTAGGAAATCAAATGAACATTTTTCTTGGCTGGATCAAGCTTTTGTGGACATTATGTGGTACCTGCAGCCCTCCACATGTTGCTGGACTACAACTCCCATCCTCTCTGACCACATCTACATGATAGTATGGGTTGATGCCTCAAGATCTGGAGGGGCACAGGCTTCCCACCACTGTTGTATGGTCTAGTGTAACTTTCACCAACTTGGTTCCAGGGCTGGCCCAATATACTTTGCTGCCTGAGGTGAACCAGAAAATGGTGCTCTCCTTGGGAATTGTAGTTTGTTAAGGGTGCTGGGTTACAGCAAGGATAGGGAATATCAGGCTAAGGGACCAATGCAGCCTTCCAAGCCTCTATGTTGGGGCTTGGGCCACCCCTCTCCAGTCCTGCTTTGCACCCTCAAGTTTTGTTTTGTTTACTGTCTGAAATGGTTCTTTGGATGGAGGACAGTACTGTGGTGGTAGAAGAGCACCCCCTCCCCTGCAACCCCTCCTGCCTCCTCTTTCCATTCCACTGACTGACCTGTCTTTTGCCTTTGCACCATGGCTTACTGGCTGGAGACTGAAGCTGCTCTCTTGCAAAGCTGGAAGCCTGCATGTCGGGAGGGAGCTGTGCACACAGCACAGCAGTTGAGTGGGACTCTGTGGGCTAGAGGTTTGATAGAGGTACAGAAAGGGAGGGGAAGCAAGACTCTGAAATGGGGAGGAGAAACATTGTGGTGAAGCAAGGGGGACTAAATGGAGAAGAAAAATGGGGGTGAGGAGGGAAAAAGAGGAAAGCCAGAAAGCAAGGGGAAGGGTGTGCAGCCGAGGAGGAAGCTATCAAGTGCAGGAGGTGGAACTGTTGCTCCTCGCAGCTGTGTGGAGCCTGCCACCCTAAGGCCACTGCCTCACCTTGCCTCATGGTGCCCTCCAGATTTTATGTCTGGAGCTGTGGGAGCTGTAGTCCAACATCTGGAGGGCACCAGGTTGACAAAGGCTGGTCTAACATCTCTCACAAGTACTTTACCAGTAACTCCCTCCCCAAACATATGAAGGAAGTTCCAAGATCTTGCGGAAATTGTAGAGTCAGCCAAGGGAAATAACATTAACTTTACCAAGTTCCCCCTTGTTGACTGCTTAACCACAATTGCCAGGCTTTCTCTTTCAAAAATACAGCAGTTTTATCACGTGCTTTGAATGTTTCTCTTTGCAAAATTAGCCAATATGTGTTCATGTGTTTTAACAGCTACTGAGCAATTTTAGTACAGTTGTTGCAGATCCATAGTAAAGAGTGGTTGCTGTTACCAAGATTGTGTTACACAAATTCAAGACTGCACTTACGACTTCATTTCTTGGCAAACATGATTGCTTGAAATACATCTGTTCTGGTAAACTTCCTGAAGCTCGGTGCAGATTAGTGTATCTTAAATGCATGTACTGTAGTAACCCTTGAGTGGTGTAATCATATGGCGAGATTTTGCAACCGGAATTCTTATATCAAACTAACAAATGGCATTTTTCACTCTTTATGCAATTCCTCATAGTGTTTATAAAGTTGCTTTACATGCCTTGATTTGTTTTTTAAAAAATATATTTTACTTACCATTTTCAATTTTCTTATGTGCACTGATGATAGTCAGTTTGGATGGGGGGCTTTTATCCATTTCTGCAGTCACACAATCAACCAGTAGCTGAACTGGGTGCCACACAGTCACAAAAACAAGTCACAAAAATGAAGTCACAAGCTACAGTCACAAAAGCGAAGTCACAAGTCAGTCCCATAAAATGAACAACAAACCACAGTCAAAAAACCAAAAAAGCCACACCAAAACGCAAAAAAAAAAATCAAAAACAAAACCTCCAAATATAACTTCTGTGTTGCGTGGGTGCTCGGGACTCCACAGCTGGCAGACTCAACAGGAAGCCTCTGATTAGCAGCGAGGGACTCAATTAACAAACGAAACACATTCAACAGGAACCAGATGATGAAAAGCGACCCCTAAAACAGCAATTTTACATGGATTTTACTATCTAACAAGGCCATTGAGCCATAAAATGAAATCAATAAAACAGAACAAAATGAAAATGTGATTTTTTTTCTTACCTGCGCTGATGATAGTCATTGTTCGGATGGCAGCTCAGGGTCCTCTTCCACAATCACAATCGGCTTGGCTCCCACCATTCGCGGAGGCCTCAGAGAGCTCCCATGGCCGGAGCCCAGTCGCGGACCCTCCGCAGGCCCCACGGATGTCCGGGCTTGGCTCTGGGCAGCAACGAGGCCTCCGAGAGCTCGGAAAACTCACTTCTGGGTTAAAATCATTTCTAATCTGAAAAAATGTAACTCGAAGTGTTTGTAATCCGAGGTACCACTGTACTTTGAATTTAAGTGTAGTAGGAAATGATTTACTATTTTAAGTGGAAAGCCTCAGGGATTCCTTGAGTGATCCATTGTTGCTGTCATAGATTGTAGCAGAGTCACTTACTGCATTACCATATGCTACAAATGGCATTCTGAGACTTATTTGGAGCAGGCTGTCATTGACAGGGTGGGAAACGTCTGAAGCGTAGTCCAGCCTTCCCCACTTGATGTTTCGGATTGCAACTCTCATCAGCCATAGCCGGTGCATGTCAGCTGAGCACCTTTCTACATCTTCCTGGGAATAATTTTTAGTCTGAAGAGTATAAATTAAACTCCTAGCCCTTGATATTTAAATGCACATTTGACAAACTTTTGCAGTGTAGGCATCTGCATCAACCAAGTTCTCTGCTTTGGAGTGAATTTGGAACCAAGAGAAATTGAACAAAACAGTAGTTTTGCTTGCTTTTGATTTCTACAGTTGTGTATCCTTTATTTTAAAAATTACACTTCTCTCTGTTTGTATAACTACTTCTTAATTTCTGTACTTGCCAGGAACTCTGTGTCTTCACTAAGAACTGGAAAAGGAAGCAATGACAACCGTAAGAGTATTTTTTACACAGAGGAGTGGGAATTTCTAGATACGAAGGATTTGGAGGAGTCAATAGTTCAAGATCGGAAGAGGTTTTCAGGAGAGCAGAGCAAAGGTATTCCAGTGTTCCTTCTCCCCACATCTCCCATCCCATCTTTTCTACTATTGTACTTGCTAAGATTCTTTATATTTCTATACCATTGACCCTTAGGAGCTGATGAAAATGCATTCCACTCTAAAGGCACACCATGAAAATGGGTTCTCTATTGATAAAGAATGCTGATAATATCTCTTCTTGGAAACTGATTTGCTTTTGGATTTTTCTGTCTTAGCTACCGGGATACCTGGACTCAAACTTGCACTGCTGTGACTTATTTCCATCAGACCCATGCTTGTGTCAAGGCATTTTTCTTGAGTGTACTTTTAAGCACAAAGTACCTCTTTATTAAACAATATGTTGCAAATTGGTTATATTGTACTATATGCAAGAGTGAAGAGAGTAAGGAATACAGCATTTTGGTGCAATTGATAGGGGTTTAGATTCAAGTAGAGAGGTTTGGGGGGGAGACTTGAGTTCAAATCCACACTCAGCCATGGCAATTGTGGCTAAACGTCCGTTACAGGTAGGTCAGTCTGAAGTCTGAGGAGGAAGATGGATAGGATACAAATGTGATGATTTAAAAAATGGTAGGAGTTTGTTTCTGCACAGATGTTTTCAACTTTAAATTGGGAAGGTCTTCCATCTGATCAGAGTCGCTTGTGGTGACTTGTGGTTAGTCTGATGAAGGAAATACGTGCTTCCCTGCTCAGTTTCCTTTACTATTGTAATGAGTTGGAGCTCACTACAGACAATGGATTCTGAGGCTAAGTCTCCAAATGTAACCCTAGTTCTAACACAAACCACAGAGGATAAATGAGAACGCATACTATGGGCTCACTTCCTTGTAGTGGCAAAAAGGGTTAAAACTAACATCCACTGAAGTAGCAGGCACTTCTTTTTTCAGTTCTAATTTTGTCCTGGTATATGATTTCTTAATTGTGCATGGTCTCACTGCTTAGAATTAAAGGGACAGGGAGAAGAGAACTGAAGGAAACCGATGACATACAATTAATTAATCAACTTGGAAGTGCTTGCTTCAGTCTTTGTTCCAGATTCGGTGATTGAGTACAGTAGTGTTCTTTTAACAAAGTCAGGAATGTGTCCAAATACATTTTAGTCTGAATGAGGAAAAAAATATATCTTCTTGTGCAGGCGTGTCTGGTCCAGCCTTTCCATTTGATTTTGGCCGCATTCCACACAGAACAAGGCGTCCTTTAAAGGAAATGATTGCAGGCAGCAAAAACCGGAATAGCACGGAGTCTTCTCCTGATGAGTGTAATGGAAACAAGCTGGCTTCCGAGATGCAGTTGAAGTTCCAGAGCCAACAGGAAGAGTTGGAGAGTCTCGAGAAGGAGCTGTTGAGTCAAAAGGTAACTGGTCTACAAGCTAGAGAGGAACAGTAGCTGGAGCTGGAGCCAGCATTGGCATCATATATGGCAGGTTTTGCCAAGCAGTGCAGGAGAACCTGCCTGGCACACATTAGAGGCGGGTGGTTTAGACTACAGTACAGCGCCTCTTGGGCTTGCCGATCAGAAGGTTGATGGTTTGAATCCGCTTGACGGGGTGAGCTTCTGTTGCTCTGTCCCAGCTTCTGCCAACCTAGCATTTCGAAAGCATGCCAGTGCAAGGTACCGCTGCGGTGGGAAGGCAAATGGCATTTCCATGTGCTCTGGTTTCCGTCACAGTGTCCTGTTGCGCCAGAAGCTTGCCACATGACCCGGAAAGCTGTCTGTGGACAAATGGCAGATCCCTTGACCAGAAAATGAGATGAGCACTGCAACCCCGTAGTTGCCTTTGACTGGACGTAACCGTCCAGGGGTCCTTTTCCTTAGAGGCATGTTAGAGGATGTAATGAAACACTCCCAAATTTTTGTATGTACATCTTCTGGGACCCAGCCCTAGGCATTCTACACCTGCTCTGAGTTCTTTATACTACAAATGTGTGGTTGCCAGAACCAGGGACGGGACAGGTTTTCCCTCTGTAGCCTATGTGAAGACAGTGTGCATTCTTCATTTTAAAAAATAGCTAGCTGACCTCTTAAACACATTTTTAAAGAATTACAGAGACCTCACTGCTGCTAAGAACTTTGCGGGAGGGGTTGTTTGTTTTTTGCCATGCACAGGAATTGAATAGAAACTCAGAGATGGCTGCTTAAAATGCTGTTCAGCCCAACATGGTTCTTGTGCCTTGGTGCAGCCTTTTCCACCCTCATTCCTCTAGATCTTGAGTGGGTGACATTTGTCCTCCCCCACACAATGCTGCTGAACTGTGGCTCTCATCAGCCCCAGCAAGCATGCCCAATGGCTATGGATGATGGGAGTTGCAGTTCTGCAGCATCTGGTGGGGCGAATTCCCCATCCCTGTGCTTCAGTTCCCATCATCCCTGGCCATGCCAGCTAGGGCTAGAATCTGACAGCATCTGGAGAGCACTATGTTGGAGAAGGCTACCTGTTATCTACTTACCTGTAATTGTCTCCAATTCAAAGCCTTAAGCTGTCCAGAATTTTTTTTTGGAATGATTGTAGGTGTAGCGAGAGAGATTAACTTGCAGCAGAATTTTGATGTGCTTGGTTTAAAAATGCTTCCAGTTACTACCCTAATTGTTCCTTTTGAAGATCTACTGTAGGTATGGCCAAAGGCTGGCATCTACCCAGAGGTTTGATTCTTCTCTTTCAACAGGATTCAGTTTCATGTTGCAATGGTTTTAAAACTTTCCTCAATTTAAAAATTGGTGTAATGTCTGTCACGAGGGGTAGATGCACAAGTGATGGAAGTTAAGAGCCCTCTTGGTTGCACAGATCTAGTTTATCTTTTATTTAACCAAATAGTTTTTTAAAAATTTGGTTTATTATTTGTTGTAAAGCAAACCTCTAAGCGGTTTACAAAAATATAAAATATTGGCACCACTGCTTCTGCTCACTCCACTTACCAACCATGTCTATCTGCCAACCCCTTTCCAAAGCCCCCCTCCCCCGCCAGCCTGCTCCTGCTTCAGAATAGAGCTGCTGTGCTAAACCTCTGTGAATTGCTTGGTTAAAGCTTGTTGCAACTGCATTTAATGGAGGCAGGTGCTTCAGAGTAGCTTACTAAACCAGTCTGTGAAGCACCTCTCCTTCCTCCTGGCTGCCATTTGTCACACTGGAGTTGGCATGGTGGCCATGCAAACTGCAATGTGATGCAACATGATGTATATAGGAAGAAAACAAAAATATTCTCAGTAAAAATAATTAAGCACAAGCATATAAAAGTTGTCAAAGGAGGAATTAAAATCAACAGTAGCTAAGAGGTAAAGCACATCTAACTTGTGCATGCCCCCATGTTCACCAATATCCTTTTTTTCCTTCTCCTTAAAGGAACTTGTGCGGCTTCTGCAGCAGACTGTCAGATCTTCACAGTATGACAAATATTTTGTAGGGCATCTTTGTGATGGAGTCCCCAAAGATAAGTTAGAGCTGCTTCATGAAAAAGACAATCAGATATTGGGTCTCAACAACCAGCTTGAAAAGCTTAATCTGGAGAAGGACAGTTTGCGGCAGGAAGTAAAGAATTTGAAATGCAAGGTGGGCGAGCTCAATGAGCAGCTGGGCATGCTTATGGAGACCATTCAAGCCAAAGATGAAGTGATCATGAAACTTTCCAGGGAGCTGAGTGAATGCGAGGGCCAGTCATCTGGCCAGAGTGGAGGATCAGTCCATTCTCCCATGTCTTCTTCCATCAACAAAGAACTGCAGGAGCTTGACAGGCTGAAAGTAAGGAACATTTTTGCTTCAGTAGTGGAGGCCCTTCAAATTCCATGTGATGTGCCCTTCTGTAGGCTGAATATTTTCAGGAAATAGTTTGAACCTTGGTTTGGAAGCAAGGCACTTACCACATTTCACTAATTTTGGACACAAGGGCTAAGTTTGGTTGGTAAAAACTATCAAGTAGAGAATGCGAATGGAAGAGAGGTGGGATGAGGATCATTTGAAGGTGGCCCTGACTTGCCAGACTATGTTTTGGCATTGCATCTATCTGAGTTGAGCTGCAGGGGACCCAATTCTCAGATCACAACAGGTTTTGCAAACAAGGTTTAAGGAATGGGGTCACATCCATGAATAAGTAACAAAATGCCATAAGAGCAACATCATGAGAACACATATAGCATGATACAAATACAGATTAAAGAGAGAGCGACAATATATGTGGCAAGATGCTGCCTTATTTGACAACCTTCAGACCTGAAGAGTCTTAAGGGAAGACAGAGCCCAGCAGAAACAGTCACAGCTTAATGATTTGAAAATATAGAACTCTTTTATAAACTTTCATTGCTTCCCTATTTCTTGATGCTTGAGACACATTTGATTTTTAAAGTAGAGCTTCTCAAGAAACTTAGCATGATCTTGAGTGATTGAGCAACAGTTGGAAGTCAGTGAGTCAGATCATTGTTTTGTCATTAGAATTTCATTTTCCCCATACAGTAGTTGTACAAAATTGGAGAGTACAGTTTTACTAGTGGCCTAGCCCTAAAATGGTCCACCGTGTCAAGTTCTAATGAGTGGAATTTATAGCACGCCTTTCAGTTCTTTGACTATCTACCTCCCCACTTGAGCACTTTCTTTGTACAGAATTACTGTACTGCCTCCCCCCTGTGTCAATATACTGTTTTAAAAACACAAGAAAAGTAGAGCTTCTTGGGTCAAGCTTCACTAGTCCTTACTGCTTGTATTCCTCATAATATATTTTTTAAATAACCTATATTTATCCATATCTTTTATTCACAGGATAGTCTTCAGGGTTATAAAAACCAGAACAAATTTTTAAATAAAGAGATCCTAGAACTGTCTGCTTTACGGAGAACAGCTGAAAACAGAGAAAGAGACTTGATGACAAAGGTCAGCTTAACACAGATGCTCATTGTAAATCTTTCACTTGACACAAAGTAAACTCCTGCTAGCTTTCATTGCCAGAAGTGAAAATTTCAAGCAATATATAGAAAGAGGAACTTAAAACTTATTGTTATGCTGATTTGCAGAACCCTCTGTCTTTTTCTGGAATTGCAACATCCTCGTTTTATCTCAGAGGTGGGGAACCCTTTTTCAGTCTTAGGTTTGCAGCATTCCTTCACGGGCAGCCTTCCAGGCGACACACAGCAGTTGTGGGCAGGGCAGATGCATGTGGATGTGACTCTTACCTTTGTGCAGGAGATTGTAGCCATGCAAAAAATCATCAGTTACCGCACATACGCATCTCTACATCCTCCTTCCACACAACCAAGAGGCGTGCATTCTGGCCAAGCAAAAGCACTTGAGGAGGTGTTATGGTCTGGGGAGAATCCCAGGCATAAAGTTAAAGAGGTGTAGGTAGCTGCATTTGGCCTCTGGGACAGGTTTCTCAACCCTGTTTTATCTTCATGGGAGAGGGACAGCTGGTGCGTACACTCACTCACTCGCTTATTGAAATGGATTCCCATGCATCACTGAAATGTTTCTGCAAGTGCCAATTTGAAAGAATTCTTTGCTGTATTCTCTGCAGTATACAAGCCTTGAAGCCAAACTCTGCCAAGTGGAAAGCAAGTATCTTATCTTGCTTCAAGAGATGAAGACCCCAGTTTGCTCAGAGGAGCAGGGTCCTTGTCGTGATGTGGTGACCCAGCTCCTGGAAGATGCCTTGAAAGTGGACAGCAGTGAGCACCTGGAGCAGACATACTTCAAACCTCACATGGTCAGGTAAACAGAAGACTCTTGATAACTTCACATTTGATACAACTATATAAACAAAGTAAAACACCACAGCCTTTTCTGAGAGCTAGTGCAGTGTAGCAGCTGAGGGACTAAGCTGGCACTCACAGTTTTAAATCTCATAACTGCAACTATGTCTTTGCCTGGTTGCCCTTTGGCAGTCCTTTTGGACCCGAAAGAGGGCAGAATCGGGGTGGGGTGAAATGGGGCGCACGTATGCATGCTCCACCAGCACACATGGGGGCTGGGGCCCTCTGTGCAAAATGGTTGCCACCTGTACTAAGATAATACAAGACTCATGTTGTTAGGACTGTTGTAAGAGTTATGGAACTACCTCAGTGGTTGAGCGCCTGAGTTCAGTCCCTCAGTTTCCAGGAGAGAATCCCCTGCCTGAAATCCTGGAGAGCTTGTGCTGAATTGGTGTAGAGTAGCCTTTAGATGCCATACACTGAGTGAGATGATTGGTCCATCTAGCTCAGTATTGTCAACACTGACTGGCAGCAGTTCTTGGATAATATACTTATGAAGGACAATTGTCTGGAGTTCTACTATTTTTAGTATACTAACCACTCCCTCTTCTCTCCTCATAGCCTTCTTCCTTTTCCTTTCTTGTTTTGATCTATTCTCTTTCTTTATTGATATTACTGCATTTTGTGTACTAGAAAGTGAACATAAAAGCAATTACCAGGGGAAGAAAAACATTGACTGGCAATGACTCCAGAATTCTAGACCTTCCCTTCTCTCCATGGAGATGCTGTAGGCATAACCTAAGACCTTCTGCATGCAAAGCATGTGCCTTAGATAGTTCTGTGCTAGCTGGTCATTTGTCTGACTTGGTAGAAGGCAGTTTCCTATGTTCTTGTGTGAAGTGTTGTTGTGTAATGTTAAGACACCAATGCCAAATACTTTCTTTACTTCTGCATTTGGAATGGGTGCCAGTAGCATTGTATTTTCTTTGGGGAACAGTGGGACTGAATTTAACACCTTTTAAGGGTGAGCTGCTCTGAGCTAGAACTTCTGCAACCTCCCTGGCAAGATGACCCCTTAAATATTTTTAAACATTTTGTGGGTTCAATGTGTGTGTGAAAGAGGGGTGTACCATCCCTTAAATAATTAGTTGCAAAGCCTGGATTAACTTAAGTAACTCAAGTATAATCAGCATGTTTTCTAACTTGAGAATTTTTTTGTCTGAACACTTACCAGAAGTATCTAACTTAATAATTATAATGTAATATAATAATATCATATCATATCATATACCATCCTTCACCAAAAGATTTCAGGATGGTTCACAAGATATTTGGAAATATTCTCTAAAACTGGAGACAGTGATCTTCCTTCACCTCCAGTTTCCTGAGTTCTGTTGGGAAAGGGGAGGATGGAGAAGCTCCAAGCTCCGAGTCCTATCCCTTGCCATTGGAAAATAATGGTTAAAATGTTTGAGACTAGAAACTTTTAATTTCACAGTGCGATGGCATTACCATTCAATAATTTTGGTGAGCACAGGTGTAATTAAATCCTCAGCATTGTCATTGGCAATTATTTTGCTGTTAAATCTGTCACATATGCTTTGAAGTGTTAAATCAGTGTAAGAGACCACCTTATACATCCAGTAGATTGCTGTAGTCTGCAGAAGAATTTCTCCTGCAAAACCCAAAGATCTTAGAGCAAGACTTTCAGGGTGGTCACCCCTGCTCTATGGAATAGTATTCTTGTTGAGATATGACAGACTCCCACTATTTAACTTTCCAGAAACAATTGAAAATATTTGTGTTCTGACAGGCTTTCCCAGGTCTTTCCCATTGCTGTCCATTTGCTAGGGTTTTTGTCTTGTTTTAAATGTATTTGTAGGCTTTGTACTTTTCACTGTTCATAATTACCTTATATGCAAATTGCTTTGAGACCGTGGCTTAAAAGAAGATGGATAAGTTAACAATAAACAAACAAACAACAACAGCCCTTTAGGTATAAGGGTAAAGGACTCCTGGACAGTTAAGTCCAGTCAAACTTGACTATGGGGTGCAGTACTCATCTCACTTCAGGCCAAGGCATTTGTCTACAGATAGATTTCTGGGTCATGAGGCCAGCATGACTAAACCAATTCTGGTGCAACAGAATGTGACGAGTGCCAGAGCACATGGAAACGCTATTTACCTTCCTGCCACAGCAGTACCTATTTATCTACTTGCGCTGATATGCTTTCGCACTGCTAGGTTGGCAGGAGCCGGGACAGAGCAACAATAACTCATCCCATCACGCGGACTCAAACTGCTGACCTTCCGATCAGCAAGCCCAAGACGCTCAGTGTTTTAGACCACAGCGCCATCTACTCCCTTACTAAAATGAATGAGTTAACAGAATGAGAGGGGGGAACTTAGTGCATTTTTCTGAGCTCACAAAAGATATAGCAAACTTCCAGAATATCACCTTTCTCTTGCTTGAGTTTTTTTTCATTCCTAAAGATTCCCAGTTAATCAGATTTCTCTCTCCTTTACAGTGAATATGATATTTATGGGTTTCAGACAGTCCCAGAGGATGATGAGGAAGAGAAGCTGGTAGCGAAGGTTCGGGCCTTGGATCTGAAATCCCTCTCCCTTACTGAAAACCAGGAGATGTCCACAGGGGTGAAGTGGGAGAACTATCTGGCTAGCACCATGAACAGGGAGATGGTGCGTTCTGTGGAACTCAAGAACCTCATTCGGTATGGTATTCCGCATGCCCACCGCTCCCAGATGTGGAAATGGTGCATTGGCCTTCATGTAAAGAAGTTCAGAGAACACATGGACCCAGGCTACTTCCAATCACTGCTTCAGAATGCCCTGAAGAAGCAGAACCCAGCTTCAAAGCAGATAGAGCTAGATCTTCTGCGGACTTTGCCCAACAACAAGCATTACTCTTCTCTGACATCTGAAGGAGTGCAGAAGCTGCGGAATGTCTTGCTTGCATTTTCTTGGCGAAACCCAGACATAGGATATTGCCAGGGTCTCAACAGGTAGAATCTGTTTTCTTCATTTTCTGTAGTCATTTGGCATGTCTCACTTTTATTTTATTTTTTTAAAAAGAAATATTTATTGTCATTTTGTTATGAGAGGAGAAACATAAATTACATAGAGATTCTCCTTTATCTCCACAATATGAACTGGTGATATTTATTGTTAAAGCAAAAGGCTGGGTGGTCTAAAATAGGAGTTAAAGGCGATGGCAAATGAGCTAAATGTGATTGCCATTTATGCCATATTCAAAGGGTCAGCTGTAGAAACAGATTACTTATTTTGCTAATGTGAGCCCATGAAGTTTTCAGGATGGGTAAGGTGTTAAGAGAGGGTGGCAAAGGTTCCAGTTCCATTTTGGCCCATAGAGTTGAAGCTGAGTTATTAATCATATGTGTCAACTGTTTTAATTGGAAAGCATTGGAAATACAACTTAAGATTTGGGGCACCAAGACCTCCCTTAGTTCTTGGTCAATACAGGGTTAGACAGCACACCCTGCTTTCTTTACCTCCTGAAATAAAATTATTAATCAAGTGTTGCCATTGAGCCACTGAGAAAGAGGGATAGTTATGGGTAGGACCTGAAAGAAAAATAAGAGATTTATGAAAAATGCACACCTTCACAGCTGCAATTTCGCCTAACCAACTTAAATTTAAATGCTTCTGTAGCCTTTTGTCAAGATCCCCAAAATTCCTTCAGTAAAGTTGACATAACTCCATGATTTTACTACTTTGAGATATCTGAATCCACCACATAGCAATTTAAAACCAGAATTAGAGTGTAACCAGTTGTGTTCTGAAATCATCGAAATAGGAAACATCACTGATTTGTTTTAATTAATTTTTCATAGAATTGTAGAAGGTCATCTAGTCCACACCCACACACACCCAGCAACCTTAGCAGACATACTAAGAGTCTGCTGTAGAGGCAAGAGAGCTCTTTTAGGATCATAGAACATTTTAGCAGATCGTGTGCAAATGGGTTTAATTTATGTTCAGTTCCCTGAATTTGGATATCTCTTAGATTTGTAGCTAAAGCCTCTATTGCCGCAGCTGGTGAACCAGATGAAGCTTGTGAAATATGTATGCATATATGTTTAAACAAGCCAAGCAGCGCTCATTTTAGCCCTTCTCTGTGGTCGATGCATATATTAGTGCCAATCACTTTCCAGCATCAGTTTTAATGGCACCCAGACTCTTGCAGTTTTGCAATATGAGATTGTTCTGTTTTATCTTCTGTCTTTCAGACTGGTGGCAATTGCGCTTCTCTACTTGGAGCAAGAAGATGCCTTTTGGTGCCTAGTTACAATAGTGGAGGTCTTCATGCCTCGGGACTATTATACTAAAACCTTACTAGGCTCCCAGGTATGGAGTGTGCCGGCATGCAAATTCAGCCTCTGAAGGCCTAGTTCTCTCAAACACCAGAAGAGGAATCTTGGTTGGGGCTTTAGCGATAAGCTCTTTCTCCATACATGCAACAAATACACATCCCTGCATATAGAAAACTCACATACTGAAATGGAAGTTAGGCTAGAACCTGTTGCCCTGACTTGGTAGATTATTACACACAGGAAGTCTTTCCTTTTGTTTTGCATGTAAAAACATCCAGTCACGTGAATCTCCAGCTGCAATCTGGCTCTTTTGGTTATGAGCCACATGCTTTTTTTGAGAATTAGACATACTAGTCAGCTTGTATGTATTTAGATTTTTGCTCTTTCACACTGATAAATGTCCCTTCTGCCAGTGTATATTATATTTCTGCATATGGGGTTCTTGTTCTATAGAAATTATCCCTACTTTTAAATTCCACCTTTTTAATCAGATACCAGTTTGCTCTGGCATTAGAGATTCAGTCACCCTCCTTTAAGGCCTTGTGAGGCTGCCATTTTATTATTTTTTTAAAAAAGATAGTACCGTTTGTTCCATTTTTTCTGAATGAGTTTTCCTTTGTCTTGCACTCCTTTAGGTTGACCAGAGAGTCTTCAAGGACTTGATGAGTGAGAAACTCCCTCGGCTGCATGCCCACTTTGAGCAATACAGAGTGGACTACTCGCTCATCACCTTCAACTGGTTCCTTGTTGTGTTTGTAGACAGTGTGGTCAGCGACATACTCTTCAAGATATGGGACTCTTTTTTGTACGAGGGGCCAAAGGTACATGGCGTAACCCTGAATGTTTCCTGATGTTTGTAAAACCTGTGGGTAAAGCTGAGCTGAGATGCCACCCAGTGGGATGTTCTCCTGCCAAACATTAGTGAAATGAATAGGAGCTGTGCAATAGCTCAGTTGTCCCATTCATTTCCATGTGCCTTGGGTAGGAGAATTTTCTGCTAGGTTGTGCCCTGTATCTTTAATGACTGCTGATGAAACAATTGCTTGAGGAAAGAAATTGAATTGCTGGCAATGTTCAGACTAAGCTATGATTTAGCACATGGGTAGGCAAACTAAGGCTCAGGGGCTGGATCAGGCCCAATCGCCTTCTAAATCCGGCCCGCGGACGATCCGGGAATCAGCATGTTTTTACATGAGTAGAATGTGCCCTTTATTTAAAATGCATCTCTGGGCTATTTGTGGGGCAAAGGAATTCGTTCATCCCCCCCCCCCCCCAAAAAAACATAGTCCAGTCCCCCACAAGGTCTGAGGGACTGGCCCCCTGCTGAAAAAGTTTGCTGATCCCTGATTTAGCATAATGTGAATGAGCCTTAAACTTCCTAGTTCCCTCCTCCAGTACAGCCATGTGGAGATAGGAAGTTTTGGTTTCTGTTTTAACTAACTGCAGTTTAATGTTATGGCTGCACCCTGGCCAGCTGTGTCCAGTCAACTATGACTTACTGAAACCATCTTCAAACCTTGGTTTATGAAGTTGACTTGTTTCAATATATTGTAGTTCGGATTAATCACTGTTTAGGGTTTAGACATAATGCTAAACTGCAGCCAAGCCAGGGGAAGGGGAGGAGAGGAGAGGAAGGGGAATGAATGAACAGCCTGAGTCTTGTTCACAGTAGTTGAGTGTTATGTCCAAACCAGACTATTAAGTGTTAATGTTTTCTGAAGACTATCTTTCATACTGCTTAGAGAATTTGATAGGATGAACTAAATTTACCTCTGGAAGGATATTGACAAATAGTTTTGTGTGAATTCCATGAGACTCTGTTGTTGCACTATAATTAAACATCTCACCAATCTCTGCTTTCCTTGTGAAAACCAGGGTTCTAGTCCTTGTGCCTTGAATGCATGTGGACAGTGCCTCATGGAGTTTCTGAAGCCAACAGAGTGGGAAGCGAGACTAACCATAATTTTCTAGTAGTTGAGGGGATGAGGCTTTTGTGGCCTACATAGTTGGTGATCTCTTCCATGCAGTTAACTGAAGTGGCAGGGAATTTTAAACACTGCTCATTCTCTTGTAACCTGATGTTTGTCAAACATTTAGGTAATGTTCCGGTTTGCTTTGGCGCTCTTTAAATACAAAGAGGAGGAAATCTTAAAACAGCAAGACTCGATGTCCATATTCAAGTACCTCAGATACTTCACTCGCACAGTCCTTGATGCTAGGTAAGGGCCTTTTTGGAAGTTGGAAACTGCTTGCTTAGAAAGAATATCTATGTTCTGTTTTGGTTTTATTCAAGTCTCTGACTTGACCTTCATTCCATGAGCTCAAATTAAAACAATTTAGTGTAAAGTTTTCTGTGCTGCCTAACTTTCCAAAGAAACTCAAGGCAACTAACAAATTGGTAACAAAATAGTATAAAACAAACAGTAATTCTCATTTGAAGCCCTATAATTCAACCGAACATTAACAAACTGAAAACAAACAACAATTCCAGAACAACCATCAAAATTGATTCATTTGATTTGATTTGTTGTGTTTCTATGCTGCTTTTTATTCAAATGATTCCCAAAGCAGCTTATAAACAATAAATAGCAATAACATCACAAATCCAGCATAAATAATGTAAAACAATTAACAAATAATCAATAAAACAATTACAACCTATAAAATACTCTTAGCAAAGCAGCAACTAAAAAATAAGCTGTCATTGACCGGCTGGATGAAGAGTGGTGGGAAGCACCAGCTGGGGAACCCACAAGGGAAGAAGACCCAGAGCCAGGGGATTGTTGGTGGGATGACCATGAGTGGTCAGAGGGAGAAGACTGGGGGGAGGAGGTGTCAGAAGCTGAAGAGGCAACAGGGTTTAGTGAGTAGGAAGAGGCAGTGCCAGAGGGCAGTCCAGAATCAGAGGCAGAAGTGGAGGCTAGAAGGTAGGGGGCAAAGGGCAGAGATCAGGCCTATCTGCTGAGACCAGCTCCCCTCCCTTCATATCTCCCAGAACCTGAAGAGTTATGAAGAGGGCAGAGCAAAGACAGACAAGGAGAAGAAGTCTCAGGTTGCTTCAGAAGAACCTGGGGGATGAGGAGACTTAGAGAGCAGTGGAAAGGCAAGGACCTTCAATCCTTGCAACTGCCTCATTGGGGCAAGACCTACTGGGAAGTGTATTACCAGCTGCCTAGCCTAGTTCTTAGAGCTAGGTGCAGGCAATAGGTTCTTTTCAATCACAGCAGATGGAAAACCAATAGACCACCAGGTAAAGAAGAAGGCACTTTATTAATTGATAAATATTAATAATATGACACTATAAGGTAGACTCTAAGCACAAATACAAACAGTTATAGAGACAGATAAAGATAAATAATCATATAAGCTCAACTGCACGCCCTGCCAGCTGCTAAGAGACTGCTGCCAACCCTTCAGGCTGGTGGGCAGGTCACACACCCAGGTGGAAAGTGAGCTGGTCCCTGCACTGCTGATTCTTCAGTCCCTCTTCAGTTCGCCTTCAGTTCTTCTCCCTCTCGTTCCTCGGTTCTTCAGTGCTTCTTCTGGAACTCCCTCCTTTGCTGAGATGGGTAGCATTTATAGACACTGGGCAGGCTCAATAGCTGGCTGTGCAGGTGCTCTTAATGATGTACATTTTCCTTCCTTCATATTTTTGGGCATGAACCAAGTTCATGTCTGGGTGCCAGCTTCATGGCTGGGTTGAGGTAGGCCTGTCGCACAGTTGACTCCTTTCCTTATCAGGCCAGCTGGCTAGCCTCTGGCTGATGCCAACTTCTAATTATGCAAGTAGATTTATAGTCTTCTTCATTATATTGATAGATTTATAGTGGCATCTAATGCTAAGTGCTCATTATAAATTGTATATCAGAAGCCCTCATTATAGCAAAGCTGCATTGGAAGCAAGCACACCACCTAGCGATTGCTTTCTGCCACTGCCACTACATTACAGATAGATATGTAAAGAGCTACTGCTGCAATTACCTTGAGATCAGGAGACACCACTTACAGGCATTGTTTCAGAAATACAGGAAGAGGTGCTGTGCTCACTAGACCTGAGTCGTTTTGCTGCTTCTTTGAATAAAGAGTTAACTTTAGTGACACCTGGTGAGTTATTGCTGACCGGCTCCCAGTTGCCACCTTGACATAAGCTAAACATCACAATTACAGCAGATGTCATATTAACACATTATATACAACATTTATAATCTATAAAACAATATTAACCCAAAAGGAGCCCCAAAGCTAGCAGATTAAACATGTATCTGGCTGGCTACCTAAAAAACCCAGACTCTTACAACTACCTAAAGCAGTATAATGATGGAGCCTGACATGCCTTGCTTTTCCACAGATGGGTGCCACAACAGGAAAAGGCCTTAAGAAAAAGAGGGGGAAATTTTAGGTCTCATTTGAACAACCTGGGCTTTAAAAAGCTTTAAATTAGCATTTATATTAAACTATGAGCAGGCAAAAGGAAATGTAAACAGTATTTATTTTTAATCGTCTCCATCCTTCTACAGTTGTACCTTGGTTGTCAAATGCCCTGGAACTCATATGTTTTGGCTCCTGAATGTCGCAAACCTGGAAGTGACTGTTCCAGTTTGCGAACTATTTTTGGAAGCCAAATGTCTGACAGGGCTTCCACGGCTTCTGGTTGGCTGCAGGAGCTTCCTGCAGCCAATCAGAAGCTGCGATTTGGTTTTTAAATGTTTTGGAAGTTGAACGGACTTTCAGAATGGATTCTGTTCGACTTCCAAGGTACGACTGTATTCTGCAGCTGACAGGACAGCTTATAAATACAATTAAAACCTTAAAAGCAGCATTAAATAGATATATCCAACATTATTAAATGCCTAGTTAGGTGATAAGTGTTCCACTCACCTGGGGCTGGGAAGACATAAGATTTGGCAGTGGGGAGAACATTCCACAGACAGTGCCATGACCAAACAGGCTCTGTCTCTTATTTTCACCCCCTGTGGGGGCACTTGGAGAAGGACTTCAGAAGATCATTTGAACATTAGGCAAGTTGATGTTGGGAGTAGTGCATTGTTGATGTTGGGAATAGATGTTTGGAGTAGTGCATTGTGACCCCAGTGAAAAGGGATACATTCCTAGTCACTTCTTGAAGGTACATGTCTGATTATGTCCTGATAATTCTGGCAAGTGGAGTGGTGAGTGTTTAAAAGGCAGCTCAACACAGGAGTAGCTTGGTCCCAGATTTTCCCCCCAGGAGTGACACCTCAGGTTTTCGGTTTTCGTCAGAAACAGATGAACTGCCTTCTCCTCTTCTCAGGAGACTTTCAGCCAACTTACATTGCATCATGTTCTTTCTTGTTTTGAAATGTACAGGCCCAGGTACTTGAGGTTGCTGACCACTAAGCAGTCCAACAAGATCTCAAAAATTCCAGTGATAGCCGTGTTCCTAAGTTGTAGGTGTCAAGCTCAATGTGCTATGTTTGTTCCCGAAGGCCAGGATTTAGAAACCTGACCTGACTTTTGCATTGTTGACCTAGCAAAGTTCTCTGGAAACCTCCCATTCCCAATTAAAGCAGTCAGTCCTTTTCAAGCACTATCTATGGTGCTGGAATACAGCACCCCCTGGCTGACTAAATTCAACTAGCTACAGCCAGACTTCTGAACTCTTCATAGACTTGATGTCATTGTTTATGCTGTTCCTGCCTCCACTATGTGGACCCCAATCATACATTACAGTACTAACGCAAATACAAAACTTTTACTATAATACAGAAACTAGCCATGCCCATTTTACACACAAAGTAGTATTCTTTAAGATTTTTGTGATGCGTAAGTAATGGGAGAATTATGGGGAAATGCTGCAGGAACTCATCTTCCTGATAAATGTGCATTTAGGTTCATTGAATACAGTGAAGTTACACTGAAACAGCAAGAAGTTTTTTCTAGGCAGAGATAGATAGAATATTTTCTTTATTTACAAAAGTACATGTCTTGTTTCTTTTTTTCAAGTTGTAGTTCTTTGTTTGTTTTTTACCTTTGAAAATGATGTATACTTCTAGGCAGATTCTAGGGGGAAATAAGCAAACAGCATCCAGTTCCTCTCTGCCATGACAGATGAAATGTTTCATCATAAACAAAGGAGACAGAATGATGAGAAACAGCTGGAACCTACAGCACTGCTTGAGTAGACCAAGCATGGCTTCATACTTCTCAGAAACATGAAACTTCCTCTCTTTGTAAACTGCATCTAGACTTGGAGCTGCAGCTAATTTCTGCAAGCTGGGAGCATTTGAGCAAATTTGAGCAATTTTGAATTTGCAAATTGTGTGTCCAGTTAAATTTAGGAACGTGAGAGAGGTTTTTGTTTTGTTTAGCAAAGCTACCCAAGTAGGTTTGTGGGCTTGCACTGAATGATACATATTTGAGGTCAACAGACTTCTAACTTGAAGAATCTGCTTTGTGGGAGTCACAAATCCTTGCTAATCTACTGCAGATCACTCCCAATCTACTTTATGCCACCTATGATTTAACTAGACAAACTTAGGCAGCAGGGGGGGAAATCATCTCTTTTGCACACTCCTTCCACATCTTTAGTGGGTTTACACTTTGTTGCCCTTTAGAAAGGGTTCTGTGTACCTTTTCAGCTCCATGAGAAGCAGAAACTTTAAGACCTCATCTATTCCATATTGTTTCAATATGTGGGAAAGGTGAGGCTCTCCTCCTACAGTCTAGCCCAGTGTTTCTCAACCTTTTCCCAACCATGGCCACATTCCAACCTTGTTTCCTTCCTATGCCAGGCTCCCCCATCCCTGGTTATCATTTGTTCATGAGTTTTGTGCTCTTGATCTTGAGAGAAGAGTTTTGGGAGTGTCTTGCAACTGCTGAAATCTGTTTGGGACTGAACTTTGGTGGATTACACAACAAACTCTTTTTAAAGGAATGTGGTTGGTCATCTGCATTTTCTATTTTTTTTTATTCCAGGAAACTCATCAGTATTGCTTTTGGGGATCTGAATCCCTTTCCATTGCGCCAGATAAGAAATCGGAGGGCCTACCACCTGGAGAAAGTGCGCCTGGAGCTCATGGAACTTGAAGCCATTCGGGAAGACTTCTTGCGTGAGCGGGAAACTAATCCAGATAAAAGGGACCTCATTAGTGATGATGAAGAAGATGGTTGAGGAACCCCCAGGGGCCAAGACTCTTTCTGGAAGCTTGACCAAAGTTTTGTGGAGTGGCCTCTTCCTTACGGATCCAGCAAAACTAAGCAACGTCAGTTGGAAATTTGCAGGACAGATTTCCAAGTCTTTAGCATGCCGTTGCAGAAATCTCCACCCCCCACCAAAATTTCTCTTTCTGTTTACCTTTTTTGCCAGAGTGTTAAAGAGCACTTTTTCTTGCACCTTGCATCTGAGCTGCCACTTTCCCCCTTCTTTGAAGGACTCATTTTTGAAGTGCCTACACATAGGAAGCAGTAGCATAAAGTCCTTAATCTTTTTAATATCCACCATCTTACACTTATTTCCCAGTTGCTTTCCCCACTCTTTCCCCTGCCCCAAAATCCATTTGGGAGAATCACTCCTCATTAGCCTTGAGTATATTGAACTAAGCTGGCATTTTTCATTTGCCAACTAGCATTGGCAGTCCATCTGTTTGTTTAAAACCAGCCCAAATATTGACAGATCTTCAGCATATCTGTGCACGTACTTCAAAACTATGAAAATGTGAAGAGGCCTCCTGAGGCCAGTCAAAAGCCTTTCAGTGCTTTTGCCAGGAAGCAAAGTCCTCTGAAGACATCATTCCATTAGTCCTAGTGGCTCTGTTTTTAGCAAGAAGAATTGCTGAAGTCTGTTTTCACACAGTGCTAAGTGAGCACCTTGAGAACTATTAATAAGGCTGCCTTGGACACCATTGGTCTATCTCTCTTTAAGAACTGGAAGGCAAGAAGTAGTTCTGCTGGAAAAGTTTTCTCTGGATACTACAGGAATGAAGGAAATGGTGCTTTATCGCTTACATGATACTCTTAAAGGCATAGGAGCCCTCTCCAGGATGGCAGAAGGATATGTTGTGTTTTTCCGGCACCTACCTGTTCTGGCCAGGTGAGGGTGCTCTTGCCTGATGGGCTTCCCCCTCCATGTAATCCCAATGAGCCCTTAGACCTTGGAGATTTATATTGAGAAGCATTTTTTTTTAAATCAGTGGCAGATTGCTCAACTAAGCAGGCATGTTGGTTTCACTTAATGACCTGTGAAAGTGCTATAAATTCACCTGATTTTTCTGCCACAGAGAGGTTTGGCATAGATTAACCCTAGAAGAATCAAACAATGTGAATTGTGTATTTGCTTTCTCTTATGAAAGGTTTAATTTCTGATAATATTTAAACTTGTTTTTTCTTTTTGCACCTCTGTACTTCTTTCTGTTGCACATTTTTAGGTGCTTGGCTCCTGTCATTTTGCTGAAACTTAACGCCAGTGAAATTACAGGTGGATTCCTTCTATTGTATTATTCTGACCTTTGCAGAAATATGTGTTATCTTAGATACAGTTGATGAACCTGGAGAAAATGAAGGCAGACGGTTCATTACTTTGGGGGATGGGTGTTCTTTTTCATTATTAAAGATGACTGTGCTGAGACACCCCCCCCCCTTCATCTTTCCCACACTTGATGTGCCTTTTTATTAGGCAGTATAATTCTCAAGAAAAAATGGTAGACTACAGTGGGGAGAAGGGAAAAGTAATACCCCACCTTGTCCTCATTAGAAGACATGGATATGAATGCAATAATAATAATAATTTTATTATTCATGTAAAAAAGAATTCCTTCCTTACATGCTGCCCTTCCAAAAGTTGCCATGGCCTTTTCAGCCCTGAGAATGTTTACCTTCATCCAACAAGTGGCCTGCAGTCAAGATTCCTTTCTCTGAAGAATGGTTTCCTCCCCTGCCACCTTGTAAGCTGCTCTTGATGGCAAAGGCTTAGAGATCGTTTGCAGGAGTGGCGTGCAGGGAATGCAGAGAGAAAGAGCACCTCTCTACCTATGTGCAAGAATCTGTGAGCATGTTATAAAGCCTCTTTTTCCAGACTGTTGCCATCCTCTTTCTGATGGTTTCTAAAATGTACCATTATTTGACAATTTCGTTGTGAGGTTGTTGGAGCTAGGGAATATTTTGGCCATGAAATTTTCACCTGTGCTGATAGCAGTGCAAGAATGTACCATTTTATTTCACTCTATTTCATGTGGCATGTTGGCTTGGTACTATCAGGCAACACTCTCCTTTGACGGCAGGATCAGAACCATCTGTGGGGCAAGCAAGGGAGGACACAGGAGATAGATACAGTGCAAGCTGAACAGATGGGCCTCGAAACACATTAATGCCACTTACCGTTTTTAAACACATTGTACCTGAATAATACTAAGATTCCTCCGTGTAGTATTACAGGTACTGTATCTCCAATTCCTGTTGTAAGGAGTGTAAGGCTGTCAGATTTTCTTAACTGTCTTCTGATAGGGCTGAAAGAGTCTCAAACCAAATGTGGGGTAGAATATTTTTGTTTTCTTAGCACTTGCTTGTTAAAGGGGGTCCATCTGTGTTCTTTGAAACTCCTCCTCAGTTTTGTAGCATCTTTGTTATTACTTACCTTGAGTCTACTAGTGCCAGATTGTTAAGGATGTTTGACTAGTTAAACAGAAAAAATGGATTATTGCAAATGCTGTTATTCCCACTGCAAAGACGGTTATGTTCAGTACACCTGAACTCACATGTGAAAGAGTTGTTGTTGTGCCCCCCAGGGGGTGTCTGGACCCACTTTGGAAATTGGATGACAAGCTCCTGCTGCCTGACATTTGTATTCTGGCCTAGAAATCAAACCTGTGAGATAGACCACAGTTCTGTGAGATGATTCCAAGCCTCAAACTGTAGGATAGAACAAGGCAAGAATATTTGAAAACCTAAGAGCAGAGTTCCACAAAGAAAGTTTGAACAACCCCCCTGCCCCCCGCCGCCCAATATGTGCCATCTTTTTCAGGTCTCATTTACTGCAATGAGGTTTTTCTGTTACTCTTTCTTTTTTTGTAAAGAATTTCAAAATGTGTTACATATTATATATGCAAAGTATCTTATGCATGATTTCTCTTATAAGTATTGTATAATCCACACCGCTGAAGCCGTTTGTGCAAGTTTCCAAATCACAGACCAATTTTTTATTACGCTAGAGGCAGAGAGAATGGGGATCAAGCAGTACATGCCTAGCCCTGCACTGCACAGTAGGCAGATTTTCTCTATAGTTGTCAAGTGCTACTCAGTAGGCAGAAACTGATCATGCCCAGTGCCCTTAATCTAGAGCAGCATTTGCCAACCTGGAGCTTTTCATGTGTGTTGGACTACAACTCACATTAGCCTCAGCCAGCACACCCATACAATGCTGGGGCTCATGAGAGTTGTAGTCCAAAACATCTGGAGGGCGCTGAGTTGGCCAGGGCTGATCTGGAGCATCTTTCGTGCAAGCCTGGCTAAAATGAATAGGAAGTGTGGATGAGCCTTCCTCTTTTGAGTGGGGCTTACATGGAACATGTTCCTAGTGGAAAGTCCCTTGTCAAACATTGAACTTGAACAACTCTTTCCTCTTCCTACAGCTACACTGTAGTTGTCTTCTGCATTAGCACGAGGAATTAGGCTTGTCGTTTGTCCGAGCCATTACAAACCACTACGTAGTCAATTTGACAAACACATTCATAATCATGCTTTGCTTTAGTCCCTCATGAAGAAATTTAAAAACTTGTTTCTCTTTTGGTGTTGTTAAACTTTTGTACAGCTCTTAACTCATCCCTTGGGAAGTATTATGTATTAGAAACAACCAGGGATGCGGCACAATGAATGGGTTGCATCCTTGAAATGTAACCTGGTTCTGTACTGGAAATCTTTGCCAAAAACAATAAAAATCAGTAATTTTGTAATGCTTTAGTTTGACTTTGTTGCTAAAATTGAGACTAATAGCTATTTTAAATCCTGCGTGGGTGTTCTGGGACTCTTTCCAGGGCCTTCAGGCTGGAAGGTTCTGGGGGGTAGGTAAGCCTCATTCGGTACCAATAGGAGCAAAATATTACTCTGCCTGGGAAGAGCTTGGTCTGGGGAGCAGCAGTTGATGTGGCCGGTGGGGATGACAGTGGGCGGAAGACCAGCATATACATCCTTTTGGAGGAAGCCTGAGATTCTTCACACAGCCATGTTGTAGCGTTTTCTCAACCCTTCTTTCCTGTGCTGAGAGTGGGGGAGGGGAAGGAGCGGAATCAGGACTCTGTTGCAGGAGATGCAACCCCTGCTCCTTCTCTTACCAGTGTCTGTGGCTACTCAAACTTCTCCCCTTCACTCTCACTCTCTGCCAATGATTCCTCCCTGTCTCACCAGTCTGAACCTGGTTCAGAATCCCCTTCCCCGTCAGGGGCCTCCTGGACCACTGGCTGCCGCCACTCTTCCTTGTCCAGCCAGTCCCTGACATTAAATTTCTCTTCCCAGTGCCAGAATGTTACCTGCTGCCACTGAGAGGAGACTCGGGACGGAGTGATCCAATCTAAATGCTGGTGATGGTCAGGGTGCCCAGGAAACCCTAGAGCAGATCAGAGCGTGTTCATCTCAGTGACGGCAGTGACGTTGCCATTTTACTTCCCATCATGCTTGACACACCTTGTTTTTCAGTAGCGCCAGTTAATTTGGTGCGGCTGGTGGACCATTTTAAAAGATACGCCAAGTGGGGCCTCCAGCCCAGCATTTTCTTGATGCTAAGACACTGGGATTTTGGTTCCAGCCTTCTGGTGACTTTGGAGTTTCAGGCCGAGACATTTTTCCCAGGCCTTTCACCTAGTTCTTTAAAAATTTAGTAGAACAAGGCTGGCAAGACTCCTTCTGAAGGAAGTTTTGCTAAGTTTTCATGCCACCACAGAAAAGGCCCTGAAGTGAGGGCTTATGGGAGTTTGTCCATGATACAAAGCAATAGGGTGTCTATTGTTCCCGACTTTACAGAGAACAGCCCTCTCTGGTTCAAGCCCAGTTTAAGAAATGGTAGCCAACAAAGTACTTCCATTAGCACAAGGAAGTACTTTGTGGCTTAGCAACAGGGCTTCTTCCTGCCCTGGGGTTTTCAGGTCAGGAGCATCCCAAGAAGGTGGTCCCTGGTGATTCTTCCTCTGCAGTCCCTCTCACAGCTGAGCTCTAGAGACGGAGGTTAATTTGGAGAGGGGAGGGAGGCAGACTTCCCATCACAAGATTCTTATGCAATAATTGTCATCACCTCCTGCTAGGCTGAAACATGCAAGCTGCATGCAGTCTTCTAAAGTAAAAATGTGGTTTTGTTTTTAAGGCGCTCTCACCAACCTGGATATTCAAGCCCTCCCTTTGCCACCCAAACCATGACTATGAAATGCAAGAATCTGGCCTTTTATGCCTCATGTCTTTGTAGCTGTAACTGGCTGTATTCAAGTTTTTGTGTCTTAGGGTGGACATATTTTGTAAGAAAAAATTCTATACAAATATTAAAAAAGAAGGAAGAGCAGGAAGGGACTTAAAGTTTCCTGTCAACAATTGGCAGCACCTAGACATTCACTATTATTACTGTCTCTGGTTGTAATTTTTATATGTTGTGAGCAGCCTCATGAGAATTTTTAGGTTAAGTAGAAGCACAGCACAATACCATATGTAATTCACAATATACTTGAATAAAGCTGGCTGGGTTTTTTTTGTTTGTTTTTTTTTAAAGCTAGCTTGTTCCAGAGGACTAGTTTCTTAGCAGTAAATACAAAACAACCCCACTGTGACAAAGCTGAGTGAATTTAAAACTGGGATGGGCAACCTATGGGAAATGTATGGACAGAAGCAGCTTAATTATCCTGAGCCCAACAGTGGTGGATCAGAATAGTCTTCACTGTCTGGCAATGGGTCTCTGATGGGAGCCTTTTTCCTGCCCTACCTGGAGATGCTGGTGATTGAAGGTGGGGCCTTTGCAGGCAGAGCAGATGTTTTACCACTGAGCTGTGTGATGCCCTTTCTGTGGAGAGGAGAAGATAACTGGAAACCATGTAAGGCTCTCCCCAGAGAAGTTCACCTGGCACCTTCATTATATATTTTAGGTGCCAGGCGAAACATTCCTCTTCAACCAGGTAAAGAACCAGGTAAGTAAAGAAAGGTGGGGTGGTAACTATTTAAAAAACCCTCTGGCATTTTAAAGGCTGGGTGTGACACTATCCAACAGTTTCCCATGCTAAACATGCTTCCTACACAAAGATGTACACAGATTGAGAAGCTGTTTTGCAAAGCAAGATCAAAAGATAAAGAACACACTTGGTTTTTGTAAGTATCTCTGCCATCAGGATGTATTTTTTTATCTCTTAATCTCACCCAATTGGTGACAGGAAGGGTTAAGGGCCTCCCAAAGGAGCAGCTTCTCTCTGTCCTCCCCACCTTCCTTGTTGCTTGCCCTGTGTGGTTTGCTTAAAAGAGGCAGTTTTCACTTATAAATTATAACTGTAATTCCCCCCCCTCTATCTCTGGGTGGGTGGGTGTCTGAAGGTTAATATAAGGATGTGATCCTAATCAAGCTTATTTGAAAATTAACCCTATCAAAGTGACAATACTTTCTTGGGAGAAAATACATTTCAGGATAGGAACATTAATATGAAATGCATGGTTACTCATAAGCCACAGAAGAAGACACCCTTATGGCTGATCATTGTGTACTTTAATGATTAGACCTTTACTCCCTGCCTTATAATAAGAATATAATTGTGTAAGTCTTGTAGATAGCTATTAAATACATTTTTCTTTAAGAAGGTTTCCCCTGGAATATTAATTGGGCAGCTGTAGAAATTATTTTAGCGCTTTCAGTTTATTGAGTTGGTAATCTTTTGTATTTTATCTTATTGTAGACCACTTTAGAAGCAATTTAGAACAAACAAAAGAGAGAGAAAGAAAGAAAAAAGAAGTGATTATGGGAAGGGCCAGCCTTGCCAGCAGAAGGCCCCAGGTTCAATCCGCAGCATCTCTAGGTAGGGTTGGGAGAGACTTCTGCCTGAAATCCTGAAGAGCTGCTGCCAGTCAGTGTAGACAGTACAGAGCTAGATGGACTAATGGTTTCACTCAGTATAAGGCAGCTTCTTATGTTCCTATTATATAAAAGAAACTTAGGTAAAAATGTATTATTTTTCATATGTCTGATTGGTTACATGATTTGCTATCCTATACATTGTTCCTGACTTTTATATGCATGTTAACGTTAATCAGCCAGCCAACTAAAAGCATAGCCCAGATTTTTTTGGGGGGGGCAGAACCTCAGTTAGTTATGTATTTTTTATTACTATGTTTTTGGGGGGCAGCTGCCCCTCCCAGGCCCCCCTGGCTCTGTCCATGCAGCCAACTCACTCCTTAGATGAGTGAAGCAGACAGTGAAATGGGATGAAGTAATTAAGAGGGCATCAAGGTGTCTCAGCCAGTTTCCAAAATTCAGGATCTCTTCGCAGCATATGCCAAAGATCTGTGCTTTTGCTGTTATGTACAGATGCACACTAATTGTGCCTGTTACGTTGGAAAATTAAAATGTGATTTTGTAAGTCATCTTCTGTTGCTGAAATTTTACTTCAGTGGCTTGGCTGCCCTTTATTAACCTTTCTGCTTATTCTGTGGGAAAAATACTTGAGGGCAGTCACACACTTCCTTTGTGTTATCAATGTGAAATAAAGTTTTGCTGCACTGGAAAACCTCAGTATAATTGCTATCCCATAACTGGTGCGGGTGTGGGTGTGTGTGCTGCTGTTCATCCTTTAAAGTGAGAACAGTTTTGTGGAACTGGATGACTTTTCTTAAAGGGATTGACTGCACAATTCAGCTGTTTGGTCTAGCGGAGCAGTGAACATTGACATTTTTAACTGAGAGGAAATTTAATGATGCCAGGTTATGGGGCTGGTCTGTATGCTCTATCTGCAACAGCTGCTGTGAGGCTGTGTTGGGCGGGGAAAACCCCACTTGAGACATCACCTGAGCCTTTCACCTGCTGTGTGGCATCATCCAAGCCACAAACCCTCAGCCACCCCCTGCCCAGTTGCAACAGCACAGACAGAGGCCCACTCATTTCACTGGGGGCTGCCGGGAGAATATAATGGTTTTATCCACTCTGCCACTATTTGTGGTGCCCAGAGTTGCCACATCTTATTTTATGGTAGAATGGCTGTGCTAGAGTGCTGTGGGGAGACTCTATATTTTCTGGCTTCTGTAAGGTGAATTCCTTTTCCAGGTGGCCACAAGCTTTTTGAGACTTTCCCCCAGTTCCTTCCTCCTGTGACAAACAGGGACATAGCATGCGGTGGAGCCATGACTCCGGGTGCACAGTTTTGACCGGGCGCAAGCCAGGTGCCCCCATGTAGGTGGTGGCTTCCACAGGGATCCTGGACCCACCCAGGTGCATCCTGATGGGCCCCATCCCCACGCCCTTCCCAGCCTGCTGCCAGGGGTCTTTGGCCCCAGAGCCCAGCCTGGCCTCACTGCTTGCTCCTCGTTGGACATGCTCCCTGGACAGTAAGCAAGCGCGGAAGGAGGGAGGCAGGCAAGGCCCCAGACTTGGTACTTCCTTCCATGGGCATGGGGGGGATTTGCCTGCCAAGGGCTGCATTAGCCAGCTGGGCTCCCACCTGCGTGGGTGGCACAGCATGGTTTGGGGGGGTGTCACTCCTGCGGCATAGGCAGCAAGAGCTGGGCTCACGTGGCGGGCTTCATTCACCCTCCGCGCCCTGCCAGGTGCCCACACACCAGCACAACAGCAGACTACACTGTGCCGCTGGTAACAAATGATGGTCATATTGTGATTCTTCCTTTTGAATTAGGAGAATCTGCCGGGTGGATTCAACTCAGAGTTCATGAAGAGGCTTCCTCTTTATGAGCAATGCAGGTTTTATGATCACTGGGGAGGTGAGAGGCACACTTTGGAGCCAGCACACCAAAGGTGGCTGGGACATGCCAACGACAACAACAACAACAGTAATAATAAATGCAAATTTATAATGTAAATGTGAAAGAAGTCTAAACTAATGAGTCTGACTTCTGAGAAGACTTGTCTAGGATTGCACTGCTAATAGCTTAAATTTGCACACAGGTAAATAAGCATTGCTCTGAAGCAAGAAGCAACTTTTATTATGTTGAAAACAGTCTGATCAGGATGATCGGGCGCTGGAGCACTTTTTATGGGAGGCAGATACAGTAATTTGGAAAAAAACAGCAACCAAAGGGCTGGGGGACGGTGGATAGAGAGAGATTCTGTTGTTAGGTGGAACTTATGAGGACATCCTTTAAAATGGGTGACCCTTAGCTTAGGCGGCTTCCTAAACGAATTAGACAAATTGATGAACATAGGAGCATAAGAAGAACCTTCCGGGTCAGGCCAAAGAAGGCCCATCCAGTTCGGCATCCTGTTCTCGCAGTCTGTGGGAACCACAAGAGCTCTCGCCCTGCCTGTGGTTTCCAGCAACTGCTATTCAAAAGCATTGCTGCCTCCAGCGGTGGAGTCCGGGCAGAGCCATCAAGGCCAGTAGCCGCCCCCTCCATGAATTCGCCTCATCCTGGGGGAGGAAGGCCCAGAGTAAAACTAAGTGCTGTGTGAAGGACTTTCTTTTCTCTGTCCTGAATCTTTCAACCTTCAGCTTCATTGGGTGCTCAGGAGTCCCAGTGTTAGGAGAGACACGAACTTTTCTCTATCCACTTTCCACATGGCATGCGTAATTTTACAAACTTCTATCGCGTCGCCTCTTACTCGCCTTTTCTGTAAACTAAAAAGCCCCAAACGCTACAAATTCTTTTCATAGGGGAGTCGCAGCCTCCCACCCTGATCACTTTCTTAACCCTTTCCAAAGATGAGCCTCTCCCTAGTTTCTTACCTTAGGCGCCTGCAGGATGCCCAGAAGGAAAACACACTTTTATATTATTTCTAGAGCATCCTCGGGATTGCCACCCATTGCGCTGTCCACCGAGCCTCTTTGTTCCAGGTCAGCGGGCGGAGACTTGCAGCCTGCCGTCTGCCGAGGAGAGCGGTGGGAGCGCGAAGCTGGCAGCGGCCGCCCGGGATTGTTCCGCCAAAAGCCGGCAGGAGGCGCCCCGGACTGGGCCGCAGCACAGGACCAGCAGCCGGGAACGACGGCGGCGGCGGCAGCAGCAGCAGCGGATCCGCCTCCTCCCCGCCTGCCCGGCGCACGATCTCCTGTCCCGGAGGCAGCCTCGGCGTGCGCCCTAGCCCGCCTGCCCGACCGTCCGTTCAGCTGCGCGCCCCGCCGCCGCTCGCCCCGGTGAGTAGCCCCTTTCCTCTATCCGCGCGCCAGCTTGCCCTTCTCCTCTTCCCCAGGCAGGATCAGCCCCCCTCGAGCCCAGGCGGCTTCCCTTCCTCGCCAGCCCCTTCGGGCGCCGCGCTCCCAGCCTCTTCTCCACGCGCCGGGACGAGAGCGATGCCCGGCGCGGAGAAAATGGCTGGAGAGCAGCTTTTCTTCGCCCTCTCCAAAGGGTGGGAGATGGAGGGCAGAAAAAGGGCAGTCCTACTTCATGCGGGTCCAGTTAAACTATGGAAATCGCTGCCGCCAGAGCTGTAGAGTTGGGCAGGTTTAAAAACGGATTTGGCCATGTCCTGGAGGAGAAGGTTACAAATGGAGCATTCCGTATCAGAGGTAGCACACCTTCGTATCAGTTGTTGAGGAGGAGCAATGGAGACCTCCAGGGGGGCATCCCAGGGCATCTGGTTGTGGGCCATTGAGGGAGGAAGAAGGATGAACTTGGCCTTATTTGATCGGATCCAGCTATGGCATTGATTGTGCTCTTGCAATTCCCGTTTTCTAACGGTGACCCCATGTCCACTAGTTAATTAGCTGATCTCTAATGTGGATTTCCGTTTCACCCATCAATACTTGGTGTGTGTATGTGTTTGCCTCTTTTAATGTTTTCATAACTCTAATGACAGCAAAAGGGCTTGTAAGGGGGAAGGGGTCATTAGCCTGCACTTCTGGCTATACTTTAGCTATCAATATGGGTGCTTTAACAGATGCCTCCTAACTTTCCCCCCATCCACTAAGAGTAATGGGCACCTCTGCCTTCTGCTCTTTCTTCACGTCAAATCGTTTTCAGCTCCCTGAAATCCTTAGCCCAGGAATGCATTTCTGAGTACTGCCTAACTCTCCTTTGGGTTCCAAGGTAAATGTATATATCAAATATTTTTTCCTGTGTATTGGGGTTTTTGTTCTCTCAGGGACCTTGACAATTACTGCATCTTTAGTTAGTGATCAACTGAGTATTTATATCCAGATATTGGATGCTTGAGTTTTAGGGCGCTGGCTTTAACAGAGGTTTGTTAGCGAGAATGCTCCATTCCCTTGTTGTTGATAAGCAAATATGAGGCAGAAATGTAATATACTTGTTAAAATTCAGTTTTTTGGCAACCCTATTCTCAGATGCACCAGGCTGCCTGAAAATGCACTGGAGATTAGCAGATTAGTGGAAAGAAATCTGCAGTACAGTCCCGCATAGGTTGACTCAAAAGTAAGTTGTTCTTACCCTCAGGCACATGTGCTTAGGATTGTAGCCTTGATGTACGCATGAGACATAGTTTCTTGCATGAGGAGCTGGTGTTGTTTGCACTGCATGACGAGTTGTCCACTTCACCATGAATTGTGGGACTTACTCATGACCTGATCTTCTTTAAATAGATAATATACGAATGGCAAATGCCACTGATTTTTTAAAAACAATATTTTATTAAAAGATTTTCCGTCAGTAGAAAGAGTACATTCAGCATCTCTAATTTCAAATTGTAGATTGTAGAGGTCAGAGGCACCAGCTTGCAAGGGTGATTAGGGGGCCACGTCACACACCTAACGTTAGGACTGTCAGAAGAAGCCCTGGGGCAGAGCCGAATGCGGTGGCTGCCTGGCTTCAAAGCCTCCTTCTCCTCCTCAGCAGCAGGAAGAAGAGAAGGAGCAGCCACTGGAACCACACTATGCTGGGCCCTGTGCTCAGCCTCCTCCACCCCCTCAACACTGGGGGGCCCTGGCTCCATCCCAAAATATATTGGAGGGCAAAACAACTCAGCCCCCAGGAGTTGGTCTCCTGTTACAGGCCAATTACAGTCAACTTAGGACATTTTTGTTGTAGGCAATGTGGGGTTTGAGGTGGGGTAAGAGAAGTGGGGAGATGGAGGGGAGAAAAAGGAGAAAGGGGGTGAAAGGTAAACTTTCCTTCTTTGCAGAGTATGAGTGGTGCTTTTTATTTGTCAGTGTCACATGGATGGGTGTCTTATTTTTGCGGGCAGACTGAGAGATCAGAGGGCCAAGGGGATGGTTGCCAAGACAATGACCGACCCCCCACTCCACCCCTGACAACATATAAATCAATATGGCTAACTTAAGCTAGCAGACACCACGGTTGTGTGAATTGGATCTTATCCTGAGGTGGGCCTGGGATCCACCCATCTGTTCCTGTAGCCATCTTCTTGGAAGTCTGTGGGTTGGAATAGGGCAGCCTTCACCAAGCTGCTGCTCTCCAGATGTTTGGGACTTCCACTCCCATCAGTCTCAGCTGACACAGTTGTACATCTGTTAGGGTTGCCATGCATCTGGAATTTCCCAGACATATCCAGAATTCCTTGCTCAGCAGCAGTGTCCAGGCGGAAATCACAAAAATATCCAGGAAAATCCAGACATATGGCAACCCTAACAGAAGCACAACTGTGCCAGCAAAGCTCAACAATTTTGCCCAACCCCCCTCCAGCCCCCTCCCCCCAAAACAACTTTCCCCCAAAAAGCTCAACCTTCGCTTCTGTCAGCCCTGGCACCTACAGCTGTGCTGACTGGGTCTGATGGGAGCTGTAGTCCAGAACATCTGGAGGACACTGGGTTGAAGAATTCTGGAACAGGAAGCAGGAAATACTCTTGCCCTTGTCAGAGTAAAGAGCGCCCTTGTTTACACGAAGTTCTGATTACATTTTCTTTGTCCCTTGTGGGGAAAAGGAGCAACAATAAGAACAGGAATCCTGATTTCATGTTCATGCTTATAAAATGTACACCAGTGATAAATTTACTTCTGAAAACTTAACCTTACTAACCCTGATTCGAGAAGAAAAGTGAGCGATTTCCATTTTAGGAGCACTTTCCAGTTGACTGGCGGCACCAGCAACTGTGATTCCTTCCTTGAGTTGCCTACTAGCAGAGCACAGGCTTGGAGTGCTGGTATCCTAGGCTCAATCCTGGCACCTCAGGGCTCAGAGCCAGTGTGGTGTAGTGGTTAAGAGCGGTAGTCTCGTAATCTGGGGAACCGGGTTCGCGTCTCCGCTCCTCCACATGCAGCTGCTGGGTGACCTTGAGCTAGTCACAATTCTTGAAGTCTCTCAGCCCCACTCACCTCACAGAGTGTTTGTTGTGGGGGAGGAAGGGAAAGGAGAATGTTAGCCGCTTTGAGACTCCTTCAGGTAGTGATAAAGCGGAATATCAAGTCCAAACTTCTTCTTCTTCTTCTTCTTCTTCTCCTCCTCCTCCTCCTCCTCCTCCTCAGAAAGACCCTGGGGAACCACTGCCTGTCACAGCAGCTGGGCCTGGGCTAGGTGGGCTAAAGGTTTGAGCCAGCATAAAGCAGATCAATTTATTCTTACCTTGCAAAAAAGATTACCCAATAATGGGATGCACAGCAAAGAACACCTGCTCTTTCTTTTGGTGGTGTTTCAAAGTAAACGGGGGTGGGGGTGTCATTAGAGGCTCTTTACCTGAATGTTTGAAGGGAATCTTTTCCTATCTCTCAGGCCAAAGTTTGAGTGGGCTCCATAGGAATTCAGTTGCCTCATACTGAGCTGGACTGTTGGTTCATCTCACTCAGCATTGCCTACACTGACTGGCAGCAGCTGTCATGAGGTTTCATGCCGGCGGCATTCCGAGCCCTACCTGGAGATGTCAGAGATGGAAAAAGGGGGTCTTCTGCACGCAGAGCAGGTGCTCTGCCACGAAGCCACAGTTGCTCTGGCTCTTGTTACTGACTGAAGATAATTCCTTGCATTTGGAGTGCTTGTAACATGAGCCTAGGAGACCCACTGATTGTGAATTTCCAAGGAGGAGTACAGTCACAGAATGGTGCTGCTTCTCTTTTTAAGTAAACAGTAGGAAAGTAAAGAGAAGGAAACCATTCTGCCCCAGCCTGGAGCCCTCTAGGTATTGCTGTACGTTGTTTTTAACTGCTTTTATCAATATGCTTTAATTAATGTAATGAGAGTGAAGGATGGGCAAGAAATTAAAATAACTACTATAACTACTAATATCACCCCTGATGGGAGTTGTGGTTCAAAATGGCTGAAAGGCACCAGACTGAGCTTGTTATATCCATATGTATGTATGTATGTATGTATGTTCGTGTGTGTGTTAGTGAGGTAATGAGAAGATACTGTACTGCTTAGGTCTGGTTGGCTTAATGATGGTTTATGAACTTCTGTAATTATATTTAATAAGACCTGTGTCTTATGATGAAAAGGAAGGAATTTATTTATTTCTGTCATTCATTTTGTGACAGTTTGCTGAACCATTCAGTGGTGTCTGGATTGTAAGCTTCTTGTGGGCAGGGACCTGCATTTTTGTGTTTGTCGATGTAACAGACTATGAATTTTCAGACATTCAGAAACATGGGATTATTCGGACTCACTTGCAGCACAAACATCATCATCAACCATCATTATATATACAGTATATCTCTCTGTGTATGATTTAGTTGACATCAATAAAATTACCAGCTTGGTCACAGTAGAATGATAAGTGTGCAGCAAATCAAAATGAATGAAGCTAAAGAATAATGCTATGTTAGAGACTGGTTCAAGTAGGCATGATTTACACTGAATTACACAGTTAATTACACTGTCATTTTGCCAATCTGCTGAGTGACTGTTACTCCTGCATATTGTCCATTTTTCATTGCTCTCCTTTCTCATTATTGTTCAAGAGGAATGTGGGTGGATCAAACTATACTTTTCGGCAAACAGAGAAATCCATTGTAAGTGTTTTGAACCTGACTTTCAGAATAAGGGGAGTGGGGGGCCAGTGGGTCACTCGTGGCTGTGAAGGAGCAAGATTCTGTGCACAGCTAGGGATGCTGAAGCCTGCTGAGTTCTTTCTGCCCATCTTTCTCTCTGACCAACTGCTCTCTCTTTTCCCCTATCTTTCATGTCTGTCTTTCTCTGTTACCCATTTCTTCCCCCTGCCATCTCATTATTACTATTGTTATACATTTATTTATACCCTGCCTTTTTCCATGACGGGACTCAAGAAAAGAACCGCTAAACAATAATAGAAAAAGCAGTAATTAAAAAACATTGATAGAATGAAAACTACACACATATATTTAAAGTCCTGTTTAAAACATACAAATAATTACAATAAAAAGAGCACAGCACTTGCCCTTTCATTAAGAGCAGTCAGTTCCCAAAAGCCTGTTAGAACAAGAAAGACTTCGCCTGCCAGCGCAAGGATAGAAAGGAGGGAGCCACTCACTTTCACAGTGCAGACGTACTCTAGCTTTGACTGTGCAAATGTACTCCTGGCCACTGCAGAGACCTGGACATCCCTGTTTAGGGTGGAGTCCGGTAGCATGCCCCAAACTGCAAACCTGTGCCTTCACAGGGAGAGTTACCCCACCCAGCACAGACTGAATTCTTAGTCATTGTTCTGCTTTCCAAATGACCAAAGGTACCTCTGTCTTGTCTGGACTAACTTTCAATTTGTTCAACCTCATCCAATCCATTCCTGAGACAGCTTCCTGGTGACACCAAACCCCAAAACTCCAGACAACCTCTCTCAGCTCCACTTCACGAGAGGGGATGCTGAGGAGTGATCATGTCAACCGCAATTCCAGAGATCCACCAGGGCTTTGACAGAATCATCTGCCAAGGCAACAGGAAACTTCTGGGGCAATAGGAAACCTCTGGGGCAGACCATCTTAATCGGTCCCCCACCCCTGGAGAGGTTCTCCGTTCCAGAGAATCTAAACCCCCACCTGTAATGATCTGACCATGACAAGGGAAAGGTAGAAATTTCCTTCACTCTGTTAATCACCATCTTCCCATCCTCGTCTTCCCTTTGCGCCTGCCCTGTTGTGTCCTTCTCACACTGCCCTCCAGCTGTAGGACACCTTGAAAAGGACACAACAGCTCACAGCCCCCTGTGCCCTTTTTTTGAAAAGGCATTTATTATTTAAACTATTTTCAATGCCGCAGTTTATGAACAAGGAGAAGGAGGTCAATTCCAGGTGTCTGGAAATGTGTCATTTTTACAACAGTGGGGTAATCTGTGCTACAGGGAGAGACCGATTAGCTACCTCCTGACATTATTCTAAGCTTAATTGCCTATTATCATAATTAATTGCCATAAGGACTACACCACAAACTTACATCATTTTTATACCAGTTCAACTGTCATGGCTTCCCTTAGAGAATCCTGGAAACCACAGTTTGCTGGGGTTGCTGAAAATTCTCCAATGAGGGTCCTTAGCCCTCCTCACGCAGCATTAATTCCTGGTAGATTCCTGGCAGAGAGAAAGATGGCTTATGCCACTTCACTTTGCCATTGTACCATGGCCAAAGGCTTCCATGGTACAATGACAAGTTGGCTGCAGCTGAGGAGACTGGAATGATTTAGGGAGGCCCACTCTGAGAGTGTGGGAGACATTCCTGAGCTTTCTTTTGTTTGGGCTGTCCCTCTCCCTCTACCCCAGGAACACATGCTTTTAATCCCCACCAGAGCCTGTGGCCTCTGAAGGCCGGGGTATCGCTTATAGTGGCAACCCCAGCAAATAGTTGGTCTCCCTGGCTGAGAATTAGTTGCAGAGAAGAGTCAAAGGAGAGGAGGACTAGGTTGCCCTTAACAAAGATGGCTTACCTGAGCCACTGAACAAAAGCTTCCTGCCTGCCTGACCTTGACTCTGAAGAGTAACCTCGGAGAATACATCCCTAACCTGGTGCCCTCCAGATGTTTTTGTTGGACCAAGTGATTGGAAGCCGTAAGTCCAAAACATCTGCAGGGCATCATGTTGACAAAGGCTGCCCCTCGGTGACCTCACATTCCACACCAAAGCCACAAGAATCCTTGACACGGCACATTAAGTAAATTGTCTGTCTGAGGAATTCCCAGTCTTTGATGTGATGCATATCTTTGGGTAAGCGTCATGTCCAACTCAGCCTTGCTTGACCCAGAGTTTACCTTTTTCTTTTTCTTTCCATTATGGGTGGCAAGTATTTGTGGTAAGTTTTGAAACGTGTGAGTTCTCCATAACGGTGCCCTCTGCCCCTGGAGAATCTAAAATGCAGCCCCACTAGATTCTCTGGTCTCCTTTATGCTGATCTGCTACAATCAATTCTCAAAAGCCTCATTTTTCGCCAGAGCATCTTTGCTCCTGCATTCCCCCTGCACTACAGCTCTGTGCACAGTGGAAGGGCTTTTGGTGGTAGCTGTCCTGTCCTGACATATTCTTCCCTCAAAGTTTTGGAAAGATTTCTCTGGAGGGGTGTGCACAAACATGGGAGAGGCAGCATGGGACCATGGATAAGAAGCTGGGGAGAGATGGAGGCAGAACAAGCACAGGCTTCCCAGCCTTTCAGGCCAGCCTTGCAAATGTTCCTCTCTTTCGTGCTATCATTCATAGCTAGGCAGGTTTCCGCATGAGAGCCCAGCTTTCTTGGTGGTGGTTCCAAGACCTTGGAACGTGCTTGGAGATCTGCTTGGCTCCTCTTTCTTTTCAGACAAAGTGAAAACATTTTGATTCATACAGGAGTTTAATAATTTTTTTTTGCTGCCATTTTTAATTATGAATCTCCTCAGCAAGGGTATTCCACAATTTTGGCACTGCCACCAATAAGTGTTTCAGATCTGTAGTTTTAATGCTGCATATGCTGTCATAATGTTGTTTGTTTTCTGCTGGTAAGCTGCTCTTTGTTTTAGTCAAAGAGTGGGATATAAACTTTAAAAAATAGTAGACAGGGAAATCAAATTTCCAGGTTTTGATATGTAATCTTGAGGGCTGGGAGCTTGTGTAAGCTAACATTCTGAGGCGTTTAATAGGTGGCAGCAGCTGATGGCCCTGACCCAAGTTAACTGACCCAAGCATACCTGGCCCTGGCCCAAGCGTACCTGTTGTGAGATTGATGCTGAGCACAGCAAATGTTCTTTAGAAAGAGGTGTGGCTGCAAAAGCACATAGGTAGCCTGCATACAGGAATCTGGGAGTGGAATGCTTGAAAACTAGGGCCACTTGAAAATGCTTTGGCAATAAAGGACACTCTGCCATAAAGTGGTGTTATGTGAACTTCAGTGGAATCGACCTTGATACATGTCTCCAAGAATGCTAGCTATAGCCCTATCTGGATCAGGATGGCTTAGCCAATGTAGTTCATGCAGTGGTAACCTTGAGACTGGATGACTTCAATGTGGTCTGTGTAGGACCACCCCTGGACCTGATCCAGAAGCTCCAGCTGGCGGTAGGCAGTGCCTGGTTCAAGGCTCTTGTGCTGATATACAGAGCCCTGAACAACTTTGGTCCAGGATGCCCTAAGGACCACCCTTATATCCAAGCCTGGTCATCCGAGATCATCCAGAGGAGCTTTGTTGTTCCCCATGCCTCAGATGTCTGCCCGGGTTCAGCTAGAGGTTGGGCACTTAGCGTTGCCAGTCCTGTGCTGTGTGGAACTGTCCTCCAGCAGAGACTTGTCACAGGCACAAGCCTCCCTTTGGCCTTCCAAGTATCTCTTGAAGACCTTCTTATGTGGACAGGACTTTTGCACCTATTTAATTTTTATTTTTGACTGGCCAGTCATCTTAGCGATTATCTGTATCTTTATATTTAAAATTGTGTTTTATGTTTTGACATATTATACCATCTTTATATTTTATGATATGGTGGTATTAAAATGGTTTTATAAATACAACAGTGCAGTGAGAGATCTCAAGATGAAACTAAGCCACAGCAGAGTCTCCTTGTTAGGCAAAATGTAATTTTTTCCTTGATAGGCTTTTTTTGCTCACTTTTATTATCAGCCCTGTGTTGATTACAGCCAGCTGGCCAATGAGGCAAAATATGAAGTATAAAATACAAAATAACAACCTCAATAAAGCCAATTTTTAAAAAAGAAACAACAAGCTAAAAATTAATGATCAAAGCAGGTCCAGGAAACAAGAGAAGATACAGTGGTACCTCGGGTTAAGTACTTAATTCGTTCCGTTCGTTCTGACTTGCTGAAGGAGAGAGTTTTTTGGTGCAAATCTGACTAGAGAATGAGAAGCTTGTCTTTGCAACAAATGTAAGGGTTATTGTTGCTTTTGGAGTGACATTACTTTTCAACAGCTGCTTAGGCTCAGCTTGTATAAAAAGTCCCTGGAATCTCCAATCCATATTAAAAGCAGTGGTGTTGAATGGGGAAATGGGATGGCATTTTGATGCCAACAATGCGTAGACACTTCAGAAAACATGTATGCATGAGGGCTGATCCCTTCAATTTGGAAGCACCCTCAAAACAGATCATGCTGGACTTGATGGACCAATGGCCCTGCATGGTATAAAGCAGCTTCCTTGTGTTCCTATACGAAGCAATATCTTTTGCTGGACTTAACTGGGGCTAGACGTTTAACATGGTGATGCAGCAGATAGAGTTCCTCACTTGCAATCAAGTACTTGCCTTGGCACCTCTTTGTTTACCTGGAGTGACCTCATAGTATGTGAAGCCTTAATTAATTTCATTGTGCCTTGACTTGCAGTAATCTCCTCAATGTTTGCATGATTACTAAAGGATTTATGTGACAGTGCTGAAGAGTTTACTGAAGAACGCGCAGATGGGCAGCCTTCCCAAGCCGCCTTAGGAGATCCTATCAGCTCCATGATGGATGTTTTCTCTTCCTACCCAACTTGGCCACCCACATCTGAGGACACGGTTCCCAGCATCCCATAATTGAGAATTTTTGGACCAGTGAGTGTGTTTCAGAGAGTGCCGTGGGCGTCAGTTAAAAAATGGCTGCTGTGGGGGGCATTGGCAAAGCGTTCCTTGCTGGTGCACATATGGGGCACATTGCACTGTGGGGTGCACTGTCAGAGCGACCCCCGGCCACTCGAGCTAAATGGGGCTGCAGTGTGCCACTTGCCTGGCTGACAGTGGGGAGCTTGGCTGGGCAATGCCGCCCTGCTTTGGGGCACACTCACCCTGCAAGCCCAATGCTTCTTTGCAAGACTCGCAAAAGCGGTGCAGGAATAACGACTGAACATAACATTTTTAGGCACCAGTGGGCAAAAGGGGAAGTGACTTAAATTTTACTCCCTGGGTCTTCTGCTTGCCTTCCAGTTTGATGAACACAACACAGCTGTGAAAGGCCCTAAAATTGCTGGGTGAAAGGCACCAGAAAGCCAGATGTGTTTTGGTAGATGCAGTAATTATGTTGCTTAAGGTGTGATGATTCTCTAGATTAAATCTTCTTTGAATGTATATATACATGGGACTTGGGTGGTGCTGTGGTCTAAACCACTGAGCCTCTTGGGCTTGCCAATCAGAAGGTCGGTGGTTCGAATCCCCGCGATGGAGTGAGCTCCCATTGCTCGGTCCCAGCTCCTGCCAACCTAGCAGTTCAAAAGCAAAATAATGTCAAAGTGCAAGTAGATAAATAGGTACCGCTCCGGCAGGAAGGTAAACGGCATTTCTGTGCGCTGCTCTGGTTTCGGTGTTCCATTGCGCCAGAAGTGGCTTAGTCATGCTGGCCACATGACCCGGAAAAACTGTCTGTGGATAAACGCTGGCTCCCTGGGCCTGTAAAGCGAGATGAGCGCCGCAACCCCGGAGTCGTCTGTGACTGGACTTAACTGTCAGGGGTCCTTTACCTTTTTTTGAATACCTGGTGTTTATCTTAATAAACATCTAAATCTTAGTAAAATACATTTTTAATAAGAGAGAGAGAATGAGAAAGAGATGGCCACATCTAATGGGGAAAGTTTAGATTTAAATAATAATAATAATTGATAGTTTATTGTTGTTTGAAAACATATTTTTATTTTCAACAGATATATTCAGTGCTTTACTGTATGCAACTCTGAATATTCTTGCAGAGGAGAGACTTAACAAGTATTAAAAATTAAATAAGCATTTATTGGGGATGCAATTCCCTCCCACTTAGCTTATGTGGTTACTTGTTTTAGGCTAAAACAACATAAATCTACCATGGCACAAACTTTCCTGGACTTGAGCCCACTTTGTCTGACAAAATGGGGTCAAGCTTCTGCTGTAATCAGTGTGTTAGTTTTTCAGGTGCCACAGGACTCCTTGTTGCCCTAGCTGCCAGAATCTCACCCAGCTCTGACAAAACATTTTGAAAATTCTGAAAAAAACATTTTCAGCTGCAGTCCTGTACATGGAAATAATCCTCACTGAACTCAGTGGAGCTTACTTCTGCGAAGAGATGTATAGGATTGTGCTTCCAAAGCTAACGTCTACATTTATGGGCAGATGTGACCTTCTGCATCTCAGACCATAATCCTTAAAATAGTTTTGTAAAGTGGGTACAGCCTTCACAATGTTTGGGAATAAAACTCCCATAGACTCCCACATTGAGTGACTGGGGCTCATGGGAGTTTAGTCCACTCCAAAGCATCTGGAGGGTGTTAGATTGGGTAAGACTGGGCTATGAAACCACTCCCATTTTGCAGATTGGGCAAGTGAGGCTGAGAAAATTAGGTCCCAGATTTATTCCCATTAGGTGGTATAAATCGGTCTTCAACTAGCGGGTCATGGCCTGATCCAAGGTGGGTTGCAACAGGAGCGCTACCACCACGCAAATATATGGTAAATGATTAAGAATGATTAAGAAATGGGTCCCTCAATGCATGTTTGGGTTAAACGTGGGTCCTGAGTCTGAAAAGGTTGAAGATATCTGGTATAAATAACCCTCTGTGACTGGAAGATTTTGTATTATCAGTCCACTAAAACAAGAGACTGCGATCTACTCACAGACTTAAAAACTGGCAGTGTTGAGGTTTTTTTTAGGGTGAAGGAAAGTCCTGTTTAGGGGTGCATGGCAATCTTGTTGAGCTTTTTTTTGGGAGCCAGTGATCTACCAGAGGCGTCCAGTGATCTACCGGTAGATCATGATCTACTTGTTGGACATGCCTGCACTAAAATATATTGCTCTTTTCATTTTCTGTGTCTGATATTTTTTGAGATAAAGATATAAGGGTCATAATTTCCTATTCCTATTGTAAATAATTCCCTTTAAGCAAGTTCAAGCCTCCCATGAGAAATTTGATTCCAAAGGAGGCAAAAACAAAGTATTATTGCACTTTCTTACAATGCAATCCTATGCAATGAATCCCATGCAATACTATATAGGCCTATTCTGAAATACATTCCATTGAATCCAATTGGGCTCACTCCCAGGTAACTTGGCATAGGGTTGCAGCCTTAGAAACTTACTTTGTCCAATCTGAACTGTTTTGGGGGTGTCAGGTGAATGAGAGCAGATCCCAACTAAAATCTTCAATATTCTGTTGGGGAGGATTGTGGGAAGAGAGAGAGCCATAAAGAATGTCCGCAGTTGCTTTTTTATAGCCAAGGGAAGCATAGCTATATCAAGGGTTAGATATTAGATTATAAAGTCCTTGGGAAAGGAAGTGGATTTGAACAGTGCCTGAGCTGATGGCGCTCTCTTCCTGGAACTGAGCCTCATCAGCTTTGAAAAATACTGCTGAATAGATTTACGTGTGGCCAAAAATGGGTAAATACATCACTGCATAAATTTGCATATGTTAATTTATATGTGCAGATGCGAATTTAGAAATACGATATTTTTCGCTCTATAGGACGCACTTTTTCCCCTCCAAAAATTAAGGGGAAATGTGTGTGCGTCCTATGGAGTGAATGCAGGCTCCTTGGCTTCAGCGATAGCAACGCGAAGCCTCTGAAGCGCAGAGGGAGTGCTCCCTCCACACTCCGGAGGCTTCGCGTTGCTTTCGCTGAAGCCTGGAGAGCGAGAGGCGTCGGTGCACACTGACCCCTCTCGCTCTCCAGGCTTCAGGGATAGCCGCCTGAAGCCTTTGGAGCGCACCGGGAACTCGCGCTGCGCTCCGAAGGCTTTGGGTTCCTTTTGCTGAAGCCGGGAGAGCAAGACTCTCCCGGCTTCAGCAGAGAGGGAGAGCTGCGCAGCGCCCCTTCAGCGAAGCGGGAGGAGAAATGGAAAGGGCTCCGTTTCTCCTGCCGCTTTGCTGAAGGGGCGCTGAGCAGAGAGGGGGAGATTCCCCCCCCCATTCTCCCCCTCCTATGGTCCAGTGCGTCCTATAGAGCAAAAAATACGGTAATTGCTATAATTTAAAATAGACATACAATCCATCTCACCCTCGTGGAGAAGACATTAGGCATTAGGGACCTACTGAGTCTGCTGTCCAAGGAGGGGCCACTTCAAGGCTTTCCCTGCCTTCCTTATGTAAAACCCTTTCAAATAGAGGACTGTTCATTGACAGCCTTTCAAATAGAGGACTGTCCTCTCCAAAGTCGGGCAAATGGCCACTTTATAGGTTATGGATTGGGAACCTCAGACTTTGTGTTTTGTGTGCTCCATATTCCCTGGCTACTTGTGCTTTCCTCATAAAAACAAGATCCTTGTTTTAGTTAAGTTCCTAGTTCTCATGTGGTTACATTCTAAAATGCAGTGATCCAAAAGGTGCACAGAACCCAGCTGTGTTCTACTCAGGCTGATTTGGTTAAAATTAATGGACCTAACTTAACCATGTTGATTAATAATTTCAGTTTCATTTATGACTAATGCTGGATACAATCCTTAGTTTATTTTTATTTAGACTTCTTCAATTCCTGGAACTTGCGGTGGGTCACAATATGAAAATGCATATCAAAATTTTAATCCAGACATGCGAAAACTCCCCCCCCCCAGTGAAAAGCCTTCCCCCAGTCACCAGAAGCCCAGCTGATTAGACAAGTCTTTGTAGTGACCCTAAGAGGAGAGAGCTCCACGGTGGTGCGGCAGCCCATCACAAACAACTCCCGCCTATGTGTATTCTTGCAACCCAAAATTGGCACAGAAGTGGAATAATCTGACTCAAAAAACCAAGACACATTATATAAATGCTAAGCATTGTTAAGTGTGAGGTTTATGCAAATATGACAAACGGGAATCCTTTCATTCTCCTCCAAAAAGCCCTAGAGAAGTGAGTCAACAGAGCAATCAGCCAACTTCCCAGGAGGCTTATAAACCACTCTCTTGTTTTTTAAAAAACATATATTCCCTTCCAGGATGATGTGGTACATTCTTTCAGAGGCGTTCTCTGCCCGGCCCCCAACTTTTAAAGATCCACACCTTTCCCTAATGAGGAAGCCAAGTCCAAAGGTGTGTTGGTGGCAGCAGCGTCTGTTGCAGAACAATGCCTTGCAAAAGTGGAGGCACTTTCCTGCTGCTCTATCCATCTAAACATGATGTGGTCCTGAGAGTATTTCTGCAAAAGGAACTGTGGCTGCAATTTATTTATTTATTTCATAAGAATGATCTTGTTATGAGCTGGGGTGGGGTGGGGAAGAGGGGTGAGGCTGAATGCCTGGATCCAGCATGGATTCAGTTGCTGGAATAGCCAGCCCTGCCTGGTAATGGTCTGCTAAATATGAGTCCTTAAGGGAACAAAGGGAGTGGCTCTGTGCCAGAGGACAAATGGGTGGGCTTCCCTCTCTGGCCAGTTAGAAAGACAAAAGGTCAGAGTTCAGAGTGGAGTTATGTGAGCTGGAAGCCGGATGCAAAAGCTGCTGGCTGCAAAGTCAGACAGAGAGCCAGATTTCTGCTGGAATCCAAAGCTGGGGCTGTGCGAGAAGCAGGACCTTTTGGGGGGCTTGATGCTGTGAGCCCCTCCATTGTAGGCTCAGGTTGTGTATATGTGTAAACAAACCCTATATCATAAAGACACTACAGTCTCTGTTGTGCCTCCTTCCAAAAGGAAACAGGAACCCCGGGTAAGTGACTGGAACCCCTGCTCAGAGATTGGGACGACATGCAACCAGATAAACCACTCAATTGTACACCCTCAAGGTGCAAGGAAGGCCCAGCCCAGCTTTTCCTCTGAACCCTGAAATCTGTAACTAGTGAGATGAAACAACCTAAGAATGAACTCTGTCTAATTGAGCTACAGTGGCGCTGTGGTCTAAACCACTGAGCCTAAGGCTTGCCGATCGGAAGATTGGCGGTTTGAATCCCCGCAACGGGGTGAGCTCCCGTTGCTCCGTCCCAGCTCCTGCCAACCTAGCAGTTCAAAAGTACGCAGTGCAAGTAGATAAATAGGTAGCGCTCCGGCGGGAAGGTAAACGGCGTTTCCGTGCGCTGCTCTGGTTCGCCAGAAGCGGCTTAGTCATGCTGGCCACATGACCCAGAAAAACTATCTGCGGACAAACTCTGGCTCCCTCAGCCAGTAAAGCGAGATGAGCGCCACAACCCCAGAGTCGTTCATGACTGGATTTAACTGTCAGGGGTCGTTTACCTTTTTTTTTTTACACAAGATCTAGAAAACACACTCTCTCTCTCTCTGTGTGTGTGTGTGTGTAAAAGGCATTTTAATTAACTGGTATACAATACTGTGCTTTGATTCTGGTTATATGTTGCAACATCTTTCTGACTGGAAATTTTTTGGGGGGCCACTGCGGGCAATGTAGTGCATAATCATTCTTTTCTTAGAAATTGTGGTTAGCAGTCTTTGACCACAGTACGTATACAGAGCTGTTCTCTGACTGTTTCTATTTCATTTCCCAGCTAAATTAACCAGCGTACATCAATGAGGAGTCCAGGCATGTCTGTGTTTAAACAACAGAAAGTAGAGGACATTTATGAAATTGGCGAAGAGCTAGGAAGGTAAGCCTGAACTTTTCCTACTCCTGTGCAAATGTTACATGCGAGCTCCCTTAGCCATTGGCTGCACTGCTGAGATGTCATGGAATGTTCACAAACAGATGCAAACTGTGCTGTTCTAACATTAGATAAAGTTTGTGGCAGTGGCAGTAAAATACATTGCATAGAGGTGTACCTTTTATACTCCATTTCAATTTCTGGTTAAACACCAGCTGGTTTATGCATGAGGGCCAAAGAATATGTTACTTTAGTCACAGGGAAGGTGTGTGTGTGTGAAAGAGAGAGAGAGAGAACAAACTGGGTGAAGGGGAGGGGGCTTTAACCCTTTGCCCCCTGCTGCAGTCCTATTCTGCATCAGGGACCCACTGCCTGCTATTTGTATGGGACCAGGTGTGTGGAAGCTCTTGTTCACTCCTGCTTACCTGTTTTAAAAGTCAGGATGAATGAACTGATTTTAGTCTGCCTAGCTTTTCTCGGAAGCCACAGTCAGACATATTTCATCAAGGTTTGTGGTGGTTTTATCTTCTGAAGTAGACTTGAGCATGGCAGAATATTAATGCATAAACATAGAGTAAATTAGACATAATTTAAGAATCTTTGGGTCGCAACAAGCAAACTCTGTGGGACAAGAGGTATCGCTTGATATCTCACCTGTGGGAATGCACTCCACTGACTCAACTACATTTGAGGGGACTGGAATTCTGGCTCTTTGGTTTCCCATCTCTCATTCACAACCTGTGATGTAACTTTGGCATCAAGTGATAGGGAACGCCTGTGTGAACTAGCCCCATGTTTCTTCCCCTGATGCGCAGGGACCCAGTCACAAAGGCCCACCTTGAGACGGGCTGTGAGGGTACAGGGCGTGACCGAGGCAAGCAGTCACTTGCTTCATTCATACTTTCAATTCTGTAAACAAGATTGTTTTACGTTGTTGTCAGGTCACAGCCTCTTCACTCTGCATCTGAAACTATTCAAGGTGCTGACAGGTGTGTCTGGTGGTTAAGGAGCCTTATGTCAAGATACCTTCAGAATATGCATCACTTGCACGGAACAAAACAGGTTTTTGTTAAAACAGTTGTCAGGGATTATAAAAACCCGCTGCATCTTGTTGTTCTACAGGCAGAACTAAACTGCTACCCTACTGATCTGCCGCCATTTGCAGGAAGGGAGGGGCTGCAGCTTTCCTTTTCCATGCTGCTTATTAAAGTTTTACTTTAGGCCAGTTATGTGTTGGCTACTGTATAGACGTGACATAGCTCCTCCCTAGTAAGCTTGCATCAGGGATGCTGAAACCTCACTTTGGGGTGGGGTGGGGCTGATGTGGCCTTCAGTTATTTTCCCCTGTCTCCCCCAAGACACCGCTGCAAGAAGATTCCTTAAAAGCTCTGGTGTGGGTGAGGATGTTTATAGCTCTATGCCAGTGGTTTTAAACCAGTGTGGCGTGGAACCCTGGGGTGCCTTGAATGATGGTCAGGGGTGCCACAGTCAACACTGGCCTCTGTCCCTCTTTCCTTTCCTCTCTCCTCTGATGCCTCTTGTGTCTCTGCATCGCAAAGGCTTGTGCGACTGTTTCTTGCAGCAGCCCTGGCTACAAGATCCCCAGGCAAATGATACCAGGGGGTGCTGGTTGCCAGGAGCTGAGGTGGGCTTGGAGTAAGCAAGCGAACAGGTGAGGGAGGCAAGCAAGCCAGTCCACCAGCCCTTGCTGTTGGGAATGGACAGACAAGTGGGAGGCCAGGCAGGCAAGCGGGTGCTGCTCTGGCCTTTCTTGTGCTTGCTGTATGCAAGGCCTGCCTGGGAGTTGAGTGCCTGGTGCCAAAGGGGAGCCCTTCTGCCATGCAGACCCAGCAATGCCCGCTGCTGTCACTGCTGCCTCCCAAGGTGAATAAGGTGCTGGCTTCACATTCACTTTGGGCCAGTCACCGTTGGGCCACTAAGGATGGGGGCATCCTCTGCCAGGCCCCTGTGGGGCAGTGTGAGAAGGCACCTCTCCTGGGGGGTGGGAGCAGCAGCAGTGGTTGCTGGGATAACTCCCAAGCAGAGTGGATGGGAGAGATGACTGAGGAAACACTCCACAAGGGAGGGTGTTCAAAAATGCGTGACATAACTGGGCTCCTGAGCCCCACAGGAGTGCTGCAGAAAAAATGTAGTTGGTCAAGCGAACCGTGGACTCCAAAAGGTTAAAATCCTGTGGTTTGTGCAACCAAGAGAACAGATGTGGATGTGACCCTGTGGCCACTTGGTTTAACTGGGGCTGATGGTGGCCAAGATGCCAGCTCACAGAAGCAGCTCCTCTGTCATTGATTCTGTATTACTACTACTACTACTACTACTACTACTACTACTACTCTGGGCAAGTGAGCCCTGGGCAGGGGGCAGGGGGCAGGAGTTGTTCTGATGCTTCTCTGCCTGTGGCAGCTTCATGTTCCAGGCCAGCCCTAGATCAGATCCTGGTCCCTCTAAGCTTCATCCTCTCAGCCATGTATTTCGCACAGGACATCCCTGCTGAAGCTGCGGCAGGAAGTGCTCTTTCAACTTGTAATCTTGCTGAGATGTCTGTCAGCATCTGATTCAGCGAAGTGAATCAGCCTATCAAAAATGAAATGGCTTAATTGTTTGTTTTTTTGCTTCTGAGTTTTCTGCTAAAAGCACCCGAGGTGGTGGCTGACAATTAACTGTTGTAGAATCTGCTCATTTAAGCACAATAAACTTAATTAAATAAAAGTATGCACTCCCCACCAAAGCAGAGGGCTAGCCCGGAGAGATGATTGCCTTAATTTGATTTGGAAGGTGCATGAGCCATATTTAATTTTTTTCCAATAATATGATTTTTTACAACAAGTTTTCTAAAAATGTCTAAAGCAAGAAACAACACTAAAGATTTGATTCTCGTTCCATTTCAGCAGCAGCCTTTGTCAACCTGGTGCCCTTCAAATGTTTTGGACTTGAGTCTTGCGGGGTTAGATGGATTTTCTTGGCCCTGATCCAGCTAATTCAGGGCTTTTCTGATGTCCTATAAAACAGCAGAAAGAGGAATCAAAGCATCCTCTTTTGCCACTCAGCCGGTAAATAAAAAAATATTCCAGCGGCATGGCTTCTTGAGGCCCAATGTTTATGGAATAATTGCTTTTGCCATTGCACTAATATTTTGGAAATATTGACAACTTCTCTGAGTAGCTGATAGCTGATTTTTACAGTGTCTGGAACGAAAAGTCAGGAGGGTAATGAATAGCGGCAGCAGCAGCATTGAAATGACTGGTTCTTGTGCCTGGGAGCTTGACATGATTTGTCAGCTCTGGACAGGACTAATGCCTTGGGATCTAAAATCATCCTCCAGCCCCGTCATCAAGTCACGTCTACCTAGAAGTCCTTATTTGGCAGCCATGCCAGTGACAGACACCCAGAGGTTCTGTAATACTTTTGGGGGGTTAAGCTTCTGCTGACGAGTTGTTTGCGGTAAAAGGGAGGGTGTGTCAGTTGCTGTCATAAGCATTGTGTCCTATGTTTGACAAATTGATGTTCCCTTAACTCTGAAAAGCAGAAATCCTATTACAGGATAAAACTTGCTCCATGGCCAGTTCAGACATTTTGGCGCCTGAGTTGGTAAATTGTAATGGGACACCTCTCTCTCTCTCTCTCTCTCTCTCTCTCTCTCTCTCTCTCTCACACACACACACAGAGAGAGAGAGAGAGAGAGAGAGATTAATTTACTTGTATAATTAATTTGTAGCCCATCTTTCTTCTACGATGGAGCTCAGGATGGTGATGATGATGATACTACTACTACTACTAATAATAATAACAATAACAATAACCCCACCCATCTGTCTGGGTTTCCCCAGCCACTCTGGGCGGCTTCCAGTAGAATATAAAAACATAATAAAACATGGGAGTTCCCATCCAGATACTGACTGTCCCGAAACCTACTTAGTGTCAGTAGAGAGTTAATGGACTGTGTGCCTTGCATGGGGGACTCTGGGCTCGCACAGGCCATGGGAGCAGAAGGGGACAGTGAGTGAGACAGCTAGCTGCCTGTGAGGCTGTTTGAGAGAAAAGGAAGCACCTGTGTGGATCGGGACCTGGTAGATAATACATACATTGCATATTCAGATATGTAATACATAACTAAATTGCTGCATAGTGCTGTTATCAGTTAGAAGTGATTAATAATATGTAATAAGAGAAGGAGATGTTGTTGTTTTACTCTACATATTTTCCAAGTTAATACACAAAACATAATTGCTTTACAACAAGATTAATGCATCATGCGGGGCACTTATTATCTGCATTTAAGTTTTCTCACGCCTGTTCAGCCAGGAGTTCCATGTTAAGTAATAAGTTGTTCTCCGCAGTACATGATCTTCATATCTCTCAACTAGGCGTTCACCTGTAACTAAAACGAGATCCCTATTTTCAGCCTAATAAGTCACACCATGGGTAGATGGGGATATCATCCCAACTGCGGTACATCTGCAGTAAAGCAAAACCTTTGTGTGTGGAAATCATATTCTAATTCAGTGCTTCTGATTGCTGGATTTGCTGGATCTTGGATGGTGCAGAGCTGACTTGGTAAACATATGAATCTCCGGAAGTTGTTGGATTCCAGTTCCCATCAGCCAGTCTGGGCAATGCTTGGAGATGATGAGAACTGTAGTCCATCCACATTTGGAAGATACCAGGTTCCTTCTTCTCCTGAATTCACTGGGATCCATTTTGGGTGGTTTCACTCTTTGGATGGTAATATAAATCAACTTGGTGATCTTCAGTGCTGTTGAAGGGGAGCGAATGAAACTTTGACCAACGATGTGTAATACACGCACAAGTGAGATTGTTGGGTAAATATTGACCTGGCAAACCAAAAGTGGAGATAAGTGTGACATATTGCTGGAGGGAGGAACTGACTGAGGGAAGATAAGGCAGGAGGCCACGATAGAACACAGTCTCCCTGCTGGGGATCAGGGAATGTGAAAGCAGCAAGAGAAAGTTACTGTGAAATGTACAATCACAGCTCGACTTTATGGGTCCTTTGCTTGGATGAAGAATCCATTCAAATGGTTGCCAACAAACACAAAGCTTTACAGCAGAGGGTGGGGAACACTTTTCAGCCCAAGGGCTGCACTCCCTCATGGGCCCTCACAGGGACCGCAGGCCAATGGTGGGCGGGGCCAAAAGTAAAAGTGGGTGGAGCATCAGTTGTGTGACTCCTCACCTTTGCACAGTAGGCGACATTCCAGCCATGCAAAAGTTCAAACACTTACACTCCAGGCATGCAGGATGATAATAATTTATTTGTACCCTGCCCATCTGACTGGGCTGCCCAGCCACTCTTGGTGGCTTCCAGAATATATAAAGACATAGTAAAACATTAAACCTTAAGAAGCTTCCCTATACAGGGCTGCCTTCAGGTGTCCCCTTCAGGAGGCATTGTCATGGTTCAGTGACGCATTTGCTGTCATGCAAGTGCAGTTTAGGAGGCTGTGGAGCAGAACCAGTGAGGGCGTGATTCTGAAGGGAATCCTGAGGGCACGATAAGCTTGATGAGCTGCATTTGGCCTCCCCGCCCCCCCTTTCAGAACAGCATAAGTGAAAAATGACAATATCCCCGCTCTTGACAATAATAAAAAAAGTGGAGAGTGGGAAGGGGCCTGGGATGGATGTGAGTCAGTGCAATTCCACACAAGCTGATTTGGCATTTCTGGCTGTCCTGTGCTCATATGCTCCCATTTGTGTGCACTGCTTTTATGAGCTACTTCCACTTCCATGGAAACCTAATCTGCCATTTCACCCAAGCCAACCAAGTATGGTTTGTGCCAGACCTTCAAACTAGGGTTCTGAAACAGCTGACATTCCACAGGATAAGACTTCAAGTCCCTCCTCTCAATAGCTAGTCAGTCATCCACAGTCAAGAAAAATCTGTCTCATATTGAGGAAGCATCTGTGGCTGAGGCTGAGCGGATTGGCAGGGTGTGATATTCATGGGAGAGGCAAGAGCAAAAGGATACTGGCCCAAAGGTTTCGTTGAATCAGCATTTATTGCAGAGAACAAATCTGTAGAAGCCCTTTTTGAAAATGGTCATGTCTCTGGGTAGAAGGATTCTCTGATGGAGGACAGTGTGCGGGGAGCATTATCCATCGTGTTGCTAGGGCAAGCTGAATGTTTTGCACTTCTACATTTGTATCTTAAAAAATAATAACAATCGGAATCCACACTGTTGCCTGGACCTTTTAGCAAGAAATTGTCCTTCCACATCCATCAGCCCTCCTGGCAGCTGTTTTCCTGCCCCACAGGTGCTGGGTGGGGCTGTTTTTGTCACAGAAGCATTTTTGTTGAAAAGAAAGGCAGCCTTTGAGACACAGAAAGGGCAGCGCTGTTCGAGGTCACTTACAAGTGTGCCGTGCCTCTGGGCAGTAGCATCATCACAACAAAGGAAAGCAATTGTTGCATGTCCCTATGCAAATGGTTGATCTTTTGGTCATTTATTTTAGCTCCCTGTCTGCTCAGAAGCCACATCAGGAGAGGAGGGAAAGGACAGTTCCTCCAAGCAGCCTTCTGAGCCTTGCAGGGCTTAAAAGAATGGTGCCACAAGTGAGCAAACTGAAAACATTGCTTTCAGTAGGACTGAATGGAAGGCCCCCTCCTGAGTGTCATGATCTACCAGAAGCACGAGCCTCTCCTCCCACCTCCGTGGTGGGTCTATGATCCTCTGAATGACTGCTGCTTTTAGAAATAGTTCAGCGCGCCTATGATATCTTGGGCCAAAGGCTCTGGGGGACTGAACTGTTTGATAAAATAGTCAGGGCTGTCATGAATGACATGAGTGCAGTCCCACTTATAGCATTTGGCGCTGAGCAAAAATGTATCTGTTTGCCCTGGCCCTTTCCAGGTCATAAGATTTTATTCTGTTGGATGATCCATAGCCGGCCCTGCCGTTCTAACAGTTCTCCAGGCTCCTTGTTATCTTAGTTGCCTTCATTAACCTTTTGGGCCAGAGGGCACTTTCGGAAACTTTAAGAAATGGTCATAGGTGGTACAAAATACCCACTTCACCAGAGAAAAAAACTAGTGGTGCTCAGAACCTCCTGTTTCCCCCAAACAGAGAAAACACTTCTACACACTCCCAAATGAATAAAACAGACACAATCAGACAAGCCCCCCACTACCACCAAAAAATAAAAAGGGGGAAAAGCAAGTAAAAAAATTGAACATTTAGTTTGGTTTGGTTTTGAATGGAAGGCCTTGGTGGTCCCCAGGGGTAGGGTGTCTGAGGCCCCTTTTGTGTCCCTTTGTTGTATGATGACTTTTGATTGTTTGAACTTCTTTTTATAATAGCTAGTCTTTTATAATGGTGCACTGAACCCCACCCTGGAATCTATTAATTAAGGGCGGGACAGAAGCCTCCTAAATAATTGAAATTAATGTAAATATTCTGCTTGAATGGATACAGAAGATGTAGCAAAGCCTCTGAGTGCCCTTGGGACTGGAGGGTTGGAGTGGGGTGGGGGCACAACTCCTTCTTTGCCCCTCCAGCTGCAATAGAAACCGCCTTTCTGAAGCTTCTTGTTTGCACCTCAGGGGAACCCCCTCCCCCCCTTGGCACCAGCCACCCCTTTAAATTCTGCCACCTGCTTCCAAGCGGCAGCCGCTTTCCAGTTTTCTCCAGGACTTAAATGTCACACACACACACACACACACACACACACACAGCTGCACCCCCCTTGTATCTGTGTGGCGTCAAAGGCAGCTGCTTGTCATTCCAGGCATAATTGCTCTGGCTCCCTTTCTATCTTTAGGAAAGCTATGCAGTGAAACAGGAACTACCACGGGACAAGAGGAAATTAACTCTGGCTTTGCTGAGGAAAACCCCAAACAACAACAAAAACCAGTGGCCACCGGGGAGGGAGGTGTCACCTAGTCTGTCTCTAAAAGGCAGCTATTAGCAGGCTGCACTTTCCACACACTCACTTTCTCCGTCAGAGGGCACAAATCTGTTGTTGCTTGGAGCCGGTGCTTGAAGTGAACACAGCAGGTGGGAGGGTGTGTGCAGATGACATGGCAGGCCACTTTAGGAGTGTGTGTGTGTGTGTGTGTGTGTGTGCATTACAGCTGCTATCATGGACTGGCTGGGTGCAGAGGAGCGATGGGGGGCACCAGCTGGGGAACCCCCAAGGGAAGAAGGCCCAGGGAGGGGTGGTGGGATGACAACGAGTGATCAGAGGGAGCAGATTGGGAGGAGGAGGTGTCAGAAGCTGGAGAGGTAACATGGTTTAGTGAACAGGTAGAGGCTGTGGCAGAGGGCAGTCCAGAATCAGAGGCAGAAGTGGAGGGTAGAGAGGTGGCGGGGGTCAAGAGGCAGAGATGAAGCAGGCTGCTGAAGAAGTCAGGGGGGTCTCCCCTTCCTGCTGAGACCAGCTCCTCGTCCCCCTAGTCTTCTTGAACCCTAAAAGGTATGAAGAGGAAGGAGCAAAGAGAGATAAGACAAAAGAGTCTCCAATTGCTTTGGAAGGACCCAAAGGATGTGTAGACTTGGGCAACTGCATCATAGCAGCAAGTTCTATCAGGGCGAGTTGCTGTGCTCACTAAGCCTGGCCTCCTGAGTCGAACTCATTTCCTTGAATAAAGAGTTAACCTCATTGATGCTGTGTGATTTATTGTTGACCTGCTCCTGACACCTTGCTCCTGACAGCTGCAGTGACAAGCTCATGCCCTCCAACAGCCCTCATTGACCAGGGAATGCTCAGGAAGGCAGGGCCCCACTCTGTTCCTTTTAGGAATACCTTAAGCTGGGCTGGTTTTCCTTACACCAGAGCTTTCCAAACTTCTCATGTTGGTGACACAATCTTTAGACATGCATCATTTCGTGACACTAGCAAACCAGAGGTTAAGCTAACCCCTTTCCAGACCCGGGAGGAGGGTGAGGAGTGTTTGTGCGACCTACACACTGCAGCCGACACACTAATGTGTCACACACACACACACAGTTTGGAAAGTTCTGCCTTACATGGTGCTCCACAGCTTCATCTTTGAGTATTAGTTTATTACTACCAGCTTAGTAGTTTAGTGGCATATTCTCCTTCAGAAGCCAGAGCAAGGCAGGCTGTGACACTGTAGCTGAACGTCTAAATAGCTTGGGCTGCCAACTTTTCAAGTGACTTCTGCAGCTGTGCTCTGCAGCTCCCTCTGTGTGCACGCATGATGCTGAACATTTATTTTTATTCTGCTTGTACTAAGAGCAGGATACAGCAAATTCATGCCATCACACAATAGAACCATTAAGCACAAGTACCACTTAAAGCCAATTTCGTTGATCTATGTGCTTTGCTGTTAAAGGCACAGCTGCAAGGGCTGGTTAAAAAGTTGGCAACCTCATGTGCAGGAGGCTGAGATGAACATTTTCCCAGTTTGTAATAGTAGAAAGACTGGGAATAAAGGTGTGACCTGGTGTATTCTTGTTTTGAGTGATTTTTTCCTGTATCTGTTTGCTGATAGTCTGGAGTTCTTCCCTCCTTATTCGTAAAAGTGTTGTTTAGAGTATAGGATGTTAATCATTGTTTTATTGATTTCTAGAGAGTCAATTTCCCTTCTTTTTTGTTCATGAGTTTAAGGAGTTTTTTGGCTCCTGTTTGTTTATAGTGTATAGAGAGTCATAATTTATTGTGCTAATTTACCAATTTTTGAGGAGGTTTGTTTTTTAAGGGATGCTCTCTCCTTGATGAAGGCTCCTCTGGTGACTGCTTTCATTGTGTCCCAGGGGAGGGGGGTTGTTATGTTGCCCACATCATTGTCCTTAAATTAGTTTTGGAGAGTTTTCAAGAGACACTTTCTAGCTAGTTGGTTGTGATTAGGATGGGGCTGAAGGACCATGATAGGGCAGTTTCTGTTTCCTCTCCTATTTTGAGGGTAACTTCTACTGGGGCATGGTCTGTGATTTTAATGTTACTAATGTTTGCTGTTTCTACCAGGGGGATCAGGCCTTGTGTGAGCAGAATACTGTCCAGTCTGGATATTGTGCTGTGGCATCTAGACTGAAATGTGTGGCTGGTGTCTCCTGGGTTCTTTTCTTCCCAGATACCATAAAGGCCTCCATTTCTTAGCATTTTCAGTAGTTTGTAAGAGTCTCTAGTTGTCCCTCTGAGGAAGGTTGCCCAGGGGGTTGTAGGATGCATGTCTTCAGGGAGGTGCCTCTCATATTTAGATTGAGGTCACCTCCTAGGGTTGCTTTCCCTTTGGAGAAGGAAAGGAGATTGTTTAGTGTCTTCTTGTTTGGAGCATATATGAAGCCAATTGTCAATTTAGTTTGCCATCTAGTATCCCTTTGGCGAAAACGAATCTGCCTCTTTTGTCTTTTTGCACCATTGTGGCTTTAAAATGTAGGTCTCTACTGAGTACTATGGCTACTCCGTTCGCCTTTCCTGAGCCAGGTACCACCCATTGTTGACTGAAGCGGGGTTCGCTCAGGAGTTTGCTTCCTTTGGGCGGGTTGTGTATTTCCTGTAGGAAGGCAATGTGTGTTTTCATCGTGTTTATGTACGAGGTGATGTGTTTTCTTTTGATAGGGCTTCTCAACCCCCTCACATTTAGTGTAATTGCTTTTAAGCTAGCCATCTTACTTATCTATCTTATAGGATGATTCCCTGCCAACCTGTCTGGGTTGCCCTGTGTCTCTCACCTTGTATTATCTATCGAACCTAGTGTGTTGTGCTGACATATAATGTGGTGGGTGGGGGAAGGGGGGTTAGAGTTAGAGATGGGCTGAAGATTGGGGGGGTAGGTTATAGAGGGTCGCCTATATGTAGTTCTTCAAGTTCAAGTTTATTGCGGCCAAAGCCAGTGACACTAGACACCATAAGATCAGACAACAAAAAATCAACAACAGCTTCAGAAAAGAAAAAAGGTTACACAAGAGAACTTCACAGTGTGCCATTCAACAGAAGAGATTTACGCTTCTTAATTACTAAAGTGCAAAATTTAGCCACCTCATATGATACTGAGCTTGAGGAATCTTCCAGGAGGTATTTTCGAAGACTTTCAGGGAGGATTCCAAATAATATTGAAGGGGTATAAATTTTGATAGAAGCGGTAAAATAAGTTGAACTCGTTCTTCACTATAGAATTCGCAAGATAGAAGAATGTGTGTGACAGATTCTACCTTATTAGACATACAAGGGCAGAGACGCGCATGCATTGGAACTCGCGTGAATTTGCCGTACAGCACTGCTGAGGGCATTGTCTCAAAGCGGGCTCTAGAAAAAGCCCATCTATAGGTTTCGTTAGTGATGTTAGTTAAGTAAGGGGCAGCTGCAAAATTAGGCCAAGCTTTTAAACATCTATACGTCTCTGGGAGTAGGGCGCCTTCTTGTTGTAATTCGATATCATAAAGTCTCCGAGTGATAGTAGCTTTTGCCTTGTTCAGAGTTCCAATAAAAATATTTTCAGGGTTTAGGCCAATTTGTTTGATCTTGTTAGTTATTTGCATAAGCCAAGGAGGATAGGGAACTGCGGCCAGGAAGCAAGGTAATAGACCCTTAGGATTGTAATGAATTTTCAGCCAGAGGGATATTGCTTGTTCCCATACTTTTAATTCCACTCTATAACCTATATGTAGTTCTATAGGTGGTTGTTTGGAGTAGCTTGGACCATTTGGCTCCCAGCCGGTTGGTCCTGTGTCTCAGCTAGCATGGAGGGCCTTTTTTGAGAACAGGTCGTCCCCCCTTTCACTTGCGATAGGGGTCGGTCAGTGAGACGGTGTCAAGCGCCTTTGTGGCACTTGTGTTGGATACAAGGTTTATAAACAATGTTGTCAGTATCATTAATAGCATTGTTGGTTTGTTGAGGTATTAGGTAGGGATGTGAGTATTGGCATGCTCTGGCACCACCATTATGTTAGTTATTTGTCGGATTTTCGCCTGTTTGCTGGTTGTTGTATTGGGGTGGGGGTTGTTGTTTTAGTTCATGGGTAGGCAAACTAAGGCCCGGGGGCCGGATCCAGCCCAATTGCCTTCTAAATCCAGCCCACGGACGGTCTGGGAATCAGCATGTTTTTACATGAGTTTCTCAGGGAAATTGCGGAAGCGGATGTTGCAGCGTCTGCTGCAGTCTTCTAGGCCTGCTAGTTTGATTCTCACTTCCATGCTTTCTCTTTCTTGGCGGTTGTCCGTATCAGCTAATTTGTTTTTCAGACATGTGTTTTCCTCTCAGAGTTGCTCTATTTCTTTTAGTTGAATCTGGTTTTCTTTTTCCAGAGTGGAGATGGTGCCAGTGAGGGTTTCCACTTTGGAGGTCAGGTCGCTGATTATTGTCTTCAGGGGAGTCACTGTTGTCTTCAATAGTTCTGCTATTCTCAGTTCCATTTCCCTCAGGTTCCTTTTTGTTGTTGGGCAGTTGTCATCATGGGGGATGTTGTGATCTCTTTGTCGTTCACCATCTCCTTGGTTGGTGCCATCTCAATTGTCTTGGTGGCCTAGTCTGTGTTTTTTTGAAGTGGGGGGATGTTGTGGTTCGGTGTTTTGGTGTGGTGGTTCTTGGGTGTTGTGGAATTAGAGAGTTGTACAGGCATTGTTGATTGGTGGCTTTCTTCAGAGCGTTGGGGTTAGGCGGCCATTTTTGTTGTATCTGGGCTGTGGCTGGGTCACCGTAGTTGTATCAGCTCTGTGGTATTAGCCCCTTCTCATGCTAATTAGCCATAATATGCATTTATTAGCCTGCTTGCTTCTGTTTGGTCTTGTCCCAGTTAGAGTTCAGCCAGTAGCCCAGTTTGACTGTGCTCTGTCTCCAGGACTAGGAGGGAAAGCAGTGAAGATGAGCAGGGCAGTTTTCTAGTGTGTGAGTGAGTAACCAGAATATTTATTTGCTTGCCCCTTGGGCATTTTGCTGAGATCACCAGTGAAAGATCACCAGCAAGAAATAAAGATTACATTGCAGATGGTGAGTGCCTGGTAGTTGCCTTTTTTGATCACTAAATGGAGGTTGGTGAGTCCCCCCCCCCCCAGCTTGTGGTGGAGCAGCTGAACATGCCCTTTGTCCATTTAACTGCAAGCGAAGAGGGAGGAGGGCCCACGAGAGGAGTGTAAGAAAATTCCCAAAGTTCCTGCCTTGCGCATAATATTTTATCAGCTTCCAAGCTGAGAATAATTTGACAAGTTCTTTAAGGACTGACCTGCAAATGCACACACTCCCTCCTTCCCTCTCGTCTCTTCACTTTGAGCAGCTGCTTCTGAAAGTCATTAAACCAGGATGCTGTTTGGTGTCAGGGGAATCTTCCAGGCAGCTCCAGTCTTTCCTCTGTCCTGCTGTGATTTGGGGGCTTCTGCAAAGGTGAGGACCAAAGCAGGACCACGTACTTCACAACAGGGATGATGCTGTCATCTTCTTAGGCACTGTTTGTTGATCCTGCGCATGCCAAAGAAATAAGCATGTTCTCTGAGAGAAGCCCAACAAATCAGCTGAGTTGGGTATGTGGGTGTCTCAAACTTTCTCCCACAGGATAGAGATGAACTTACTGTGCCTTCCTTTACTTGTAGAAGTCTGTTAAACTATAAAATAGCTTAGTCTTCACCCTCACACATCCATACATTACTTGTTTATGATTTATTGTTAATGTTTGTTTCTTTTTATGATTCGTATAGTCCAATAAATTCCAAGATGAAAAACTAGAAAAGTTGTACATGCATACACACATATATAGATACATATAAAAATGGACAGAAATAAAAAGTGATAATAAAGTTATCTACACTTACACTGATGCAAAATGTCAAATTAATGCTGATTTACACTCATATGCAAAAGGAAATGCAAAAAATTAATTAAACACATAAAAAAATGATAGCCGAGACTTAGGCCCTGTCAGCACTATACATTTAAAGTAGTATCATCCACTTTGAACAGTTATGGCTTCTCTCAAAGAATTGTGGTTTGCTAAGGGTGCTGAGAGTTGTTAAGGAGACCTCTGTTTGCTTTGCAGAGCTACAGTTCTCAAAATGGTTTAACAACCAGTCTCTCTTCCCCAGGAACTCTCAGAATTGTATGTCCTAACTGCTCTTAGCACCCTTAACAAACTACAGTTCCCAGGAATCTTTGTGGGAAGCCGGAAGTGTTTAAAGTGGTATGATACTACTGTACATTAAATGTACAGTATATGGATGTACATTAAATGTACAGTGTATATGGATGAATGTTTTTCTGAGTCCTGTTACACTTGGAAGCAGGACTAAGCAGCTGCACTAGCTAGACTGAGAAGTTGTGGTCTGTCCCAGAAGCGCCTCGTGAGGGATAATAGGTGAGTGGGGATTTGAACATGCACTTCCCACACTGAAGTCCAACATTTCAGCTGCTGCACAAACAAATGTGGGGATCAAATTCCTGTCTCATCCTTAAACAAAATTGAAGATACGGAAGGGAACAAAATTGCTGCAAGTTCCAAAGTCCTATGGAAGCACCTTATCAAACACAGAAATTCTTGGAACCGTCTGTTGCAGTTGTAATATTACCATACTAAAACCTCTCAAGTATTCTGGCTTCATCCATAGACTGAGGAATAGGCTAAGCCAGGTGTGTTGGTTTCAGGTGGAGCTGCTCTGCCACATTCTCCAGCCAGCTGGGAGATGTGGGTGATACTTCGAAGCTGTGCCCCTAGTTGACAATTTGGCATCAAATGACGATTTCAGATTCACACCAAACACCAAGCCTACCTCAATCTTAAAAACAAATCTTAGATTTTGTTTCCCATAACCCTTTGCCATGCTGGGAAGCTAAAGAAGAACTTTATTGTCTCCAAGAAGAACAGCACAGTACTGAAAACCCGACTCCACCCAGATACACTTAGGTCCACTGCCACCTAGTGCCTAAACCATATAATGACATTATCCACACAATCTGAATTGATGTAAGGAAACTTAATGAGTTCCTAAAGCTGGAGAATGGAGGTCCCCAGGGAAGAACCTCAGTGGAAGATCTTGGCAATTGGACACATTTGTATGGGATCAGACAATTCTTTAAATACCCGGATCCCAAAATGTATAGGCAGATCCTTCGCCTGGTCCATAATCCCCCAGCGCTCGATGAAATGGTCTGGAATGACACTGCAGATTATAACCCATCTTTGTGTGTAGATCAGGCTAGCAATCACAGAACTAAAATTAGTGGTTGAGGGTCCGTACCGCAATCCTAAGGCATTCCAGGCCATGTGAAGGTCAAGTGTGAGCCTTATCTCTGGATTTCTGGGCTTTTATGGACGTGTGAGAGACTTTAGACCTGACTTTGGCTGTGGTCTCTCTGTTAATTATATAATACTCTTAGTATTACATTGGGAAATATGGCATTTAATTGCAGGATATGCCACATAATGTATGCCCTCTGCATACATATACTGTAATTACTATACTTGTAATGTGTTTAATGACAGAGGGAAAGTTTATAGCTCAGAGCTTCTGCTGTGTAAACAAAACCCTGTAATTTTAATCAGTCTGGAATTCTGAATGGGATTCTGATGAGAGGTGCCCTAGGGAGGATTTTCTGCATCCTGAATGGTACAGCCCCTGCTGGCACTAGGTGACAGGAGGAGGACAAAAAAACCGTTCCCTGAACTTGGAGAAAGCTGTCCTCAGGCTGCTTCATCTTCTTGATGAGGAGATTTTCTACCTGCAGATCTGAATATGTGGATTATTCCAAACAACATGTAGAATGTCTGCCTGTGAGTCGAGTTACGGATGCAAAAGGAGGAAACCCTTCATATTTTGCTGCATCCATTCACCTGAAACTGTCACAGAATTGCTTCTGTGGTGCAACCTCACAGGATTGCTGTGAGAATTTTTTTAAAAAGGAAAAAAGGTAGGACGAAGAACCACACATACCACTGTGAGCTGTCGGGAGCAAAGATGGGATATAAATGCATAATAAATAAATAACAATCAATCAATCAATCAATCAATCAATCAATTAAGCACAGTTATATCTTTCTTCAAATTCTTTCTCCCAGCTGGCCTCTTCCCAGTAGTGGAGTGGTAAATTATTGTTGTGACAGCCCCACCCCCACCCTGGTACTTACACCCACAGTGTCCCATAATGCAGGAAGCTGTGTTGACCAGTCCCCTAACTGTCTCTAGGTCAAGTATCTTCCACCTTTTTTTCAGAGCCGGGACCTGCTTTTGACCCAAACATCCATTTTAATGTATTTTTAATCTTTGTTGGAAGCCGCCCAGAGTGGCTGGGGAAACCCGGCCAGATCGGCAGGGTTCAAATAAATTATTATTATTATTATTATTATTATTAGACCCATTTTGTAATCTTTTACCACATATTAATGTGATAGTAATGCTCCTGTTGCGACCCACCTTGCACCAGGCCACAGGCCTACTTGTGGGTCCCCACACCCTACCACCACCAGTTGAAGGCTAGTGCGCTGGATCATAAACAGTAGTAAAGCGGTAGTAAAGTTTGGAAGCCTCCTTATTTCCTTCTCAGAGCAGGTGGAGCTCATTGACTGCCCTGCTGCTGCTCCTCCTCCGGCACACAGTGCCATGACTCTTTCACAGAGCTGTCCTGTCCTGCATTCTCCCTCCATGGTACCTGCTACACCTTTCACAAAGCCTTTGGCTTCAAACCCGTGTCCCCAACCTCAAGTGAGACAAAATCTAAGGACACATATCTCCGCTGCATCTATGCCCCATTGCAGTTTTCTTCCCCACTGTGAACATTTAGATTGTAAGATCATCTGGGCCCCTCTGTTTTGCTTATGTTACTCTCCAATGCAACATTCTTTTTCCCCCTTTTTAATTTTAATTTTATTTTATTTGCTCAACACATAACAAAAAGGACAAAATAAACCATCAGTCGCGCCTTACATAGAGAATTAATATAAATTTCATAATCCATATACTGTAATGGCCTCTTCTTTTTAAACCTGACTTCCCATCTACTACATAAATCAAATTACCGTTCTTTGTTGCCAATACATGTTATTACTGTCATCTCAAATCAATTCAAAATATGTTACGTCATATAACTAGTGAACGATATTGCTGGAATTATTCAAATGCCGCTATGGATTTTAAGTCATTATTATTAATTTTCAAATATATTTTAAATACTTCCCATTTTGAAATGAATTCTTTCCTTGGTTTGTTTTATTGCATTGCCACCATACATAATAAAAGGATCCTTGTTGTACTCCACATCTTCCGCAGTTACTTTTTACTCCTTTATACATTTTGGCTAGTTTCTGAGGTGTTAGATACCATTGCTGTTGCATTTTTAGGAAGTTCTCCCTGATGGTGTAACACGTAGTAAATTTCCAATTCTTCTTCCAGAGATTTTCCCGTTGGGACATTGATATAACTTATCCAAAGTCTTGTGACCACTTTATCATTGATGCAGTGACCTCCTCCTCCTTGACTTCCCAGTCAAGGAGGAGTCGGTATCTCTCCAGTGCAACATTCAATGTGTTTTGTGCTCTATAAATGCAAAATAATAATCGGCCTTCCCCAAGCTGGGTCTGATGGGAGGTGTAGTCCAAAACATTTGGAGGGCGCCAGTTTTGGGAAAGTCTGCTGTAAAGCATCATGTGAATTAGGCCTCTTTTTCTCGCCTGTCTTGGGTTTATTGCCTGGAAATCGTGAGAAGGCTTAGTACAGCAGTCATCTCTCTCTCTCCCCTCCAACACCTGCTCTGCATTCAAATCATACCTTGTGTTGAGCGTACAAGAGGAAGACAGGAAGCGGCAAAGTGATCTCATCCACACTGTACTTTATGTGGAATTCTCTGCTTCCTTCCTCTGCTAACTAATTACTTCATACCTGGATCTGAGGGGGGCTTCCATCACACTAAAATACTAGAGGATGCAGAGCTTGTTTCCTTTTTCTGAGCTATGGAGGAAATACTAAAATTGGTGGTTGAAGAATAACCTGGAAATGCAGCAGCTGCAGTCAGGTCAGGTCAGGCCAGCTGACATTTCAGAATAGTCTCAAGTTGTAAAAGTTTGTAGAGTGCTAAAACATTTAAATAAAGGCATTTGACTGGGGGTGGGTGGGATAATCCCTCCTGTAACTTTTAAGGTTTTTTTAAAAATGTGTTTGTAGACTTCATAACTCTGCAATCAGTAAAAAAAAAAAAAAAATGTATTAGGAGGTCTCCCCCTCCCACCATATCAGGATTTCATAAAATTTTTTCATTTGTGAAGGTTTTATAAATTTCTATATAGTGTAATAAATAACGCAAACATAATAGCAAAAACTAGCCAGAATTGCATGAATTTGACCAAACTGCAGGAGACAGTGGAAGACAGGAGGGCCTGGTGTGCTCTGGTCCATGGGGTCATGAAGAGTCGGACATGACTAAACGACTAAACAACAACAACAAGCCAGAATTGTATAGCAAATCTGGACAGTTTACAAGTTAATACTTTAAAAGCCTGGGAGATTTATTTATTAATAAATAAATAAATAAATAAATAAGTTTGCCTGGCGCCAAAAGGGTACATTAACCCAAGGCTAACTTCTCGGAGCCCTGAAACTCTGAGCTAAGAACACCCTTTTTATGCTCAGATTTCTTTTTATAGACAAACCAAATAAGCATTATTCGAAAGCAGACTCAAAGCTTTAAATCTTTTCCTGGTGCTTTGTTTTGGGTGCTCTGCCTCCAAGCTCAGAGGCAGTGATGCTTGAATACCAGTTGCTGGGAACCACAGGAGGGGAGAGGGCTCTTGTGTTCAGGTCCTGCTTCCGGGTTTCCCACTGGGACATCTGCTTGGCTGCTGTGAGAACGGGATGCTGAACTAGTTGGGCCATTGCCTCATCCAGCAAGGCTCTTGTTACATTCTTATGTCAAGTTATCTCCCACTTGGACCATTGCAATGCGCTCTACCTGGGGCTACCTTTGAAGGTGACCCGGAAAACTAATCCAGAATGCGGCAGCTAGACTGGTGACTGGGAGCGGCCGCCGAGACCACATAACACCGGTCTTGAAAGACCTACATTGGCTCCCAGTACATTTCCGAGCACAAGTCAAAGTGTTGGTGCTGACCTTTAAAGCCCTAAACGACCTCGGCCCTGTATACCTGAAGGAGCGCCTCCACCTCCATCGTTCTGTCCGGACACTGAGGTCTAGCGCTGAGGGCCTTCTGGCGGTTCCCTCACTGTGAGAAGCCAAGTTACAGGGAACCAGGCAGAGGGCCTTCTCAGTAGTGGCACCCACCCTGTGGAACGCCCTCCTACCAGATGTCAAAGAGAAGAACAACTACCAGACTTTTAGAAGACATCTGAAGGCAGCCCTCTTTAGGGAAGCTTTTAATGTTTAACAGACTACTGTATTTTAATACTTTGTTGGAAGCCGCCCAGAGTGGGTTGGGTATAAATAATATATTATTATTATTATTATTATTATTATTATTATTAGGGTTCTGTTGACATTTTAATGCATATTAGCTTGGCATCCAACGATCTTCGTTGTGTCTGTAGCCAGAAGTGGGGCTACTCCAGGAATTTGAACCCGTCTCCTGCACCCACTCCTGACTTCCCAAAGGATCGCCAGTTTCCCTGGTGTGGGAGAATTGCCTTCAGCTCCTCTTTCTTCTTTGCAGCGGCCAGTTTGCTATAGTGAAGAAATGCCGGGAGAAGGTCACGGGGGTGGAATACGCCGCCAAATTTATCAAGAAACGACAGAGCCGTGCCAGCCGCCGTGGAGTCCGGCGAGAGGAGATCGAAAGGGAGGTCAACATCCTGCAGCAGATCCTTCACGCCAATATAATCAAGCTGCATGACGTGTATGAGAACAAGACTGATGTGGTCCTTATCCTCGAGCTGTGAGTAGGAGAGGCTGCGTATGTGCCGAGATGCACAGGAATGCACTTTTAAAACAAATGAATAGATAAAGTTTCTAGTTCTTAAAATAAGCTAGAATATGCACAAGCAATATCTGTTGAAATATCGGAAGCCCACTGGGAAGCTGAATAAAGTATTGTGGGTTTCACCATGAAGAGTAAAACCAGACTAAATTATGCTTAATAAGAGAGAGAATATATGCAAATTATTTGAATAATTGCAAAGCAATACAGTCAGCTCCGTCTATTCCTTTGTTTATGTGCAAAATTTGAGCCCATCAAGTGCAGAATTCCAGGCCCTCTAGCCCTTAAAACCACAATTGGGACTGGACTCTTCTGTTCTTGTTTTCCCCCCTAGCAGTCTAAGATTCTTGGGATTTTCCATAGAAAACTGTGTTGGTGCTGAGGGCCACCTTGTGGAGAACTTGTGAGCAACATGTTAGCTGTCCATCAGAATTTCAAGGTTCAGTGACCAGCTTTGGTGGCACGTTGGATTTTGAATAAGTGCAAAGGCAAAGTTCATATATATCGGTGTTGGTGTGTGGATGAGTCTCATACACACCTCATTCCTGGCTCATTGTTCAGGGCAGTAAACTGCTTCGTTATATGCATTATATCCAGGTTTGTGGACCACAGGAGCTATAGAAACAGTTTGTTCATCTATTCTAAACCAAGAATTGAGCTGCAATAGGAAACACTTGCAGCATAAGACATAAACCAAATTGGATTTTAAGAAAGTTAGATCCTTAAAGGAACAAACTTATAATTGGCAAGGTGCCAATTTAGGGTGGAGGGGCAGCAGTCTTGATAGCATCCTCAGGTCCATCCCAGTTGCCCTTTCTGTGCAGTAATTGGTTTGAGGATTTTATTATGCTGCTGATGCCATTGACCGTTCATTTCCAGAAAGGTCCCATATGGGATAGAAGGTGAGGATTATAAATTATCTTAAAAATAAATGCATAAGTGATATGCATATGTAATATATCAAAATATATTTAACTATGGGACAAAGCAACAAAAAAAAGAAGAGTGTTGTAAATCTTCCCCCCAGCCTTATCCACAAAGGGGAGCTGTTGGCTCCCCAGGGTTGCATCCAGACTGTCAGTAATTTGTGAGAGGGATTCAAGAGCCTACCAGAATGTTAGGATTGTACATTTAAAGCATATTAAAATGCAGCATTGCCCTAGGGCAACAAATTTTTTTTTATGGACTTTTTGCAGTTTGGAAAGTGATGGGCAAATGCATTTAAAAATGTGGGGTGAATGAATGATTAACCAGATTATTTATAAACACTCAGCAAGTAAATCAGTAAGAATGCAGGATTAGTGCTCATTATCATATAATCACTTCTTAAACAAATTGGAACAAATGCTCAATAAAGACCAGAGACTTTGCAAAATAAAAACAAAGATTGGATACAGTCTAACCACCTCATAAGCTTTGTGCAAAGAATTCAGGATGAATGCTCTATTCAACAAACAGCAGTAGTAATTTGTTAGAAACATCCATTAGACTAATCCAGGGAACCGGAAGCAAAATAGTACGATGAATCTGCATCCTTTTGCTGTTAATGCAGCTATCACAATACTTTCTTGTTGGCTTTGTAGTGTGTCTGGAGGAGAACTTTTTGATTTCCTAGCCCAGAAGGAGTCGCTGAGTGAAGAGGAAGCCACACAGTTCATTAAGCAGATCCTAGATGGTGTCAGCTACTTACACGACAAGAAAATAGCCCATTTTGATTTAAAGGTAAGCAGGGAAGTCAGGCAGAATGGGCTTGGCAGCCACTGATGCCAACTCTAGGGGGCCCTGGGGGACCGGGCACCCACAAAAATTTTGTTGTGGATGCTTGCCACCCACACCACAGGGCCTTGGACAGGACTTCCAGGATTCCCAGGTACCTCTGCAACACATGTGACATAATGTGATGTCATGATGTCACAGCACACCGTGATATCATGACGTCACATTACGTCGCATGTGCCTCTGGACACCCATAATCTGGGGCCCAAATTGGCTACCCTGTTGGCAGCTGACTGTAGACCAGCTTTCAGCAGCCTGGTGCCCTCCATATTTTGGGGGCTACAACTCCCAGTCAGCCCTCAGCCTTTTTTAGCTTTGCTGGCTGAGACAGGTGGGAGTTGCAGTTCAAAACATTTGGAGGGCACCCGGTTGGGAAAGGAAAGGCTGGGGTGTGGTTTAAACATGCTTGGTTTTCATGGCTCCTGTGCCATGTGGACGTGTAAGCCTTTGCAACCTTCTGGGGAAAGGGCAAGTAAGAAATTCTATAAACAAATAAACCAGAGCTCAGCTGATTTGTATACACTGGAACTGTGCTCACTGTCAAAGCAAGCACAGCCTGTAATCTAATCTCAAAATCTGAGTTCCTCCCACCCTTTGCTGTGCTGTGAATGGTGGAAGATTCCTCTTTGGGGACTGGCCTGCCCCTTGTGTAGCAACCCTCCACCCTGTAAACTGAACTAGGAAAAGAACAAAGGTAGCAAATGTGATTTGCTTCTGTCTCACCTCTGGCATTTTCCTCACCTGGACCTTGCAGTGCCTTTGCATTTCAGGAAGAGAAAAGTCAGGTTAAATGGCAGGGAGGGAGGGAATCTTGATTGCATCTCTCAGAGTAAGAAGTAAGAAGGGGCGTGTGAATAGGGTAACTCTGCATGCGCGCACACACAATGCTCCACTGCAGTTTCCACCACTGTGCACCCAGGTTTCCCTCTGTGATTCAGTATCTCTGACTGAGCATGTAGAATCTTTTCACAGAGGTTCAGAGTCTGTAACTCACCTCCTCAAGAGGAGAATCAGGGGGCTTGATTTATCCAACACTTTTATCCAGGTTAAATGAGCTTTTTGTTTACAGCTTTGGACTGAGGCTCAAAGCTCTCCCCACCCTTTTCTGTTTTTAAAGGAGAAAGGAACCACCAGTACCTCCGTTAGGGAATGTAGGACTGGGAATTTTTCATGAATGAAAGTGGTGGCAGTTGTTTCAGACTGGAAAAGCAAGTGGGGTACTTGATCAAAAAGAGTGATGGGGAATGGTTTTGCACGTACTAGAAAATGAAACAAACAAACCCCCAAGTCTTAAGCATTCAAGAGAGAGGCCTGTAACATGAGTAACATAACTACCAATTGGGAAAAGATCATTAAGAACATTAAGCTGCCTATTAGCCGCTGGTTGGGCTGTTTGCCCATCTACCCCAATTGGCAAGGGGTTTTCCATGCTTGTCTCAGGCAGAGAAGGGTCTTCTCCATCTCTGGGGAACCGAGCCTTTATTAACTGGAGATGCTGCCAGAGATGGAGCCTGGGACCTTCTGTATACAAAACAGGTGTCCTGTCTCTAAGCTCCTTTTATGAAACTCTGCAGCTGCCAGATTTTGTATTGCCATTGTCTTGTGCAGTTGAAGGGGAAAGCGTAAACTGAAATTACGACAGCTGTCAAAATATAAATCTCTTAATATATGATGCTGGAGCTGTCATCTGAGTCCTTTGCTAGAGCTGCAGACCATGACTCAGCATGACACAGCAACATTTGCTTTGGTGCATAGAATTGCATTTTGCATCTGTTTTAGGGCAATCAGAGGCGCCCTTTTCTATAGGCCCACCTGAATCTAGGTTAGGGGAGGGCTGTAGCTTAGTGGTTTAGCATCTGTTCTGTAAGCAGATGGTCACAGGTTGAATCCCTGGCATTTCCAGGGTGGGTGTGGGTGGAGTGTTTGTCTGAAAGCAATCCACACATCAGTGTAGACAATACTGAGTCTGATGGACTCCTGCTTTGACTCAGTAAGAGGCAGATTATTATATTCCTGTTAAAAAATAGGGCTGGATCAATCCACAAACCTGACTTTATTATTTCTTTGTATGTGTGTCTTCCCTGTTATCCGATAAGCCTGAGAATATTATGCTGCTAGAAAAGAATATCCCCATCCCGCACATAAAACTGATTGATTTTGGTCTGGCTCATGAAATAGAAGATGGCGTTGAGTTTAAAAATATTTTTGGGACACCAGAATTTGTGGGTAAGTCTAAGCCATTTCACTGTTAGTTGTTGATTGTTTAACCAGTCACTCAAAGTTTATACTACAGTCTCTGGCATTCCTTATGGCTGCCACTTGTTTAGATTAGCGCGACTGAAAAGTATGTGTGCTTCATGGAAACTGGCCTGTGGGGGTCCCTGCACTGGAGGGGTTGAGATGCTGTGGCCCTCCAGACGCTGGCAGACTACAGTTCCCATTCTCCCTGCTTATGGGCTCTGCTGGCTGAGGCTACCCAAGTCCAGCAACACCTGGAAGGCCACACATTTTCCATTCCTAGGTTAAGCTTTGCCCCCTTCACATAGATCCACCTGCAAGTGTGAAAATGTTCTCAGATGTTATGAAATGCCAGCAAGCCCTCCCATGACCTCCTTCCAAAGGAGACCAGCCTTTGGTATGAGTTATGCCCTGGGAATTTATTGTTGTTTGTGGAGGTGGGGCATGAGCAGTGGCGCTGAGAGTGCGGGTTGGGAAGGAGGAGGGGAATTGTGTCCTGGGGGCTCCAGAGGGCGTGTGTGTGTGTGTGTGCGCGCGCGCGTGTGTGCGTGCCTGCCTTCTAGGTTTGTGGTTCTATACTTGCCTTTAAAATCTTTGGTGCACCCTCTTGCTCATTCTTGCTGTTCCTTTCAGCACCAGAAATAGTGAACTACGAGCCTCTTGGGCTGGCTGCAGATATGTGGTAAGGATTTCCCTCTTTCCATTCCCTTCCAGTATAGCATCACTTCTTGTCTGATGGTTCAAGATCAGTGTATAAAGGCAAGATACCATCTGCAAACATTATTATACTGTGTTGCATATGACTGCTTTGAACTCCAGTTATTATCGGGTCATTTCTAATTAGTTCAGCCAGTGGTTCCAAATAAAAAGGGTGAAAGTGGACAACCTTGTTTTGTTCTCTTATAGACTGGAAATTGATTAGAATCTCTGACCACTAACTCAAATATGGGCTAAATTGCTATTATAATGCCGATCAATAATGCCTATAAACCTTGGGTGCCAAATTCTTGAAATTTTAATAATTCTTTATGAAAATCCCAATTAACTTTATCAAAAGCTTTGGTTGCGTCAAGCGAAAGAGCCACTGCTGGGGTTTTATAAGTTGGTAAATATTCAAAAGCTTCTTAACTAGTTTGGCCAAGTTCTGTGGAAAAACACCAGCAATGCCAACACTCTCCTATATTATTATTAAAAACAACCAAACATGGTATAAAATGTGTTTATGTGTCAAAGTTAGGTCCCACTGTGGCTTTCTTCTTCCCACTTTCCATCTGCATATGCCAGTAGATTACACAATAGTGGGTGTTAATTTAAATATTTCCATCTTTTTTCTTTTGCTTTGTTTCAGGAGTATAGGAGTTATCACTTACATTCTGTAAGTACTGCACTGGATTATATCTCTGTTTTTGTATTGCTATTATGCCCTGGAGCTCAGTGTGACATACATGATTCCCACCCCACCATTTTATCTGCACAAATTGGCCTCCAGCAAATTAAAGCAGAAGTCACTCCCAGTTCCTGGATTTGTTGCAGAGAACGCTAGGTAGAACTTGCTCGATCTTACCCTTGATAAGGAGCAGTCCCTCCCTGGAATCATTCCTTCTCCTCCACCCCAAGATCATATCCAAGAGCAGGCCATTGGCAGGGATTCCATGGGGCAAGGGGAAGCCCCACTGTTGTTAGCCCAGCACCTCTCTAGTCCCCAGAATCTGCTTGAGCCACAGCTGCCTTCTTGCCACCTCTGGGCATGCAGGTGCCTTTCTCCAAATTCCAGTTCCACAATGCAGTTGCCAAGGCTGCTTGCTAGGTGGCAGTGCAGTGTCTTCCTATGCTGAGCTCTGTCTCCCCCCCCCCCCCCGCTCTCCCCAAAATCAGCACTAGGTTCTTGTGTGCTTTGAACACTTTGATGCAAGCTGTTGTTACCCTTGTCCTTGGGCTGGAAGTAGAATTTGTGCAAAGTCACTGTGGGGGAGTCTGCAGAAAGCAAAGAAAGGGGGTCTGTGTTGCTGGAATGCTCCTCAGTCTCAATGAAGTTGTGTGTCCCCGGTGTCTAGTCTTTTCCTGCGTGTTCTTTTCCTATCATCTCCCAAATCCCCCCCTCCCACAAAAAAACCTTGCTCAAATGGAACTAGTGTTGGTTAGTGGTAAGAAAGTCCTCAACTCAAATCTTGCCTCTGACACAAAGCCCTGAGACCTTAGGTGAACCACTTGTTTGTCTCTCTGCCTCCTTCCCCAACAGCTGCAATATGCAGATACCGAGACTGGCCTACCCTACAAAGCAAATTACATAATCAGAAAAAGTGATGCACAAAAGCAACTGCAGTAAAATAGCACATAAAGTAAAGAAGAAGAATTATGATAGCATCATCCACACCAGTTTATTATGGACAACTGACCAGAAATAAGACCAACAATATACCATAAAGTCTTCCAAAATCTCAAATGCAGGACAGTTTTTTAAGTGTAACAACAGCTCAGTTCTATGCAAAATAGTGGATAACTTCAGGTATGCCCCTGGAAATAATGTATTGCAATACAGAAAGTAAAATAGACTCCCATTAATTACACCGACCAGCACAAAAATCCTTCCAAATTATTGAGAATGTATTCAAAGCTCTGTATTGATGCAGAGTGAGAATATGACTCAGTGGGGAAGGGTTAAGCATCCCCCTCCTCAGTAATGAGCAGGTCTCCCTGGTTCCAGATGAAGCCTCTGTCCACTCTTCCACATTGACCTCCTTTCCTGTAACAGGGACATTCCTACATTATGGTCAGGAGATGCTGCCACAAACATATTAGGATGTAGGAAGCAGCCTTATACTGAGCCAACCCATTGGTTTCTCTCAGTGTTGTCTACACTGACTGGCAGCAGCTCTCCAGGGTTTCAGGCAGGGGATGTTCCCATACCTACCTGGAGATGTTGTGGGGCCTGAACCTGAGACCTTCTGCATGCAAAACAGATGCTCCACCTCTGAGCTAAGGTCCGTCCCTATAAATAGCATTTAAGCTGCACAGCCTAAATATGGAAGGTGACTGTTATAGACCTGGAAGTGGGAGACTGTTTCAGCCCTTGGGACAGGAGCAGCATTTCCCTGTCTCTTGATTTCACAACTCAGCATCCCTCTTCAAAGACAGACAAGAAAGTGCTATGACACATTTTATTTTAAAAAGAAGGTAAGCAAAGGACGTTGCTTACAGTGAAGGGCGTTTGAGAAAGAAGCTGGGCTCCTCTCCAGGGCTAAATAAAGACTGCTGAGCACCCTCTGGATTATTGGCAGGCAGGCCTTCTTTCCTTGCAAACAAGGCCAGCTGCTGAACCTTCAGAAAAATAACTTCCTCCCTGCACCAGGGGCTTCCCGGATTTGATTTCACTGCATCTTTCCTACCCCTTGTCTTGAGCGAATTTTGGGTAGGAGGAGCCCAAGACATTTTTGTCCCGAAATAGGAAGTCCAAATGGCACTAACTTACATAGGGCACAATCCCCTGGTGATTTATTTCCGTGCAAACCCCATTATTTATTTTATATATTTATTTTTACATTTAAATCCCGCCTTTCCACCAAGGAGCTCAAGGCTGCATACATGCTTCTCCTTCTTTCCACTTTTATCCTCACAACAACCTTGCAAGGTACCGGTAGGTTAGACCCAAAGTCACGCACTGAGCTTCATGGCTGAGTAGGGATTCGAACCCTGGTCTCCCAGGCCCGAGTCTGACACTCTAGCTAGTGCACCACACTGGCTCCCAGTAATAAATGGGAGCCCCACAAGTGAATGTTTTGCTCTTGAGGAGCTCCCATTTATTTCACAGGAGAAATTCCCTGGGTGTTGTGCCCTATAAGATCAGATCATTCTGTCTCCTATTTCGTAGCTCTTCATAAGACCCTAGATTTAATCCACGATGGAGTCTGCCTCTAAGAGCTTCATGGGCTCAGCCTGCCCTCTCCCTTCCTTCAGAAGCTGTCAATACAGTGGTACCTCGAGTTAAGAACTTAATTCGTTCTGGAGGTCCGTTCTTAACCTGAAACTGTTCTTAACCTGAAGCACCACTTTTGCTAATGGGGCCTCCTGCTGCCGCTGCACCACTAGAGCCCAATTTCTGTTCTTATCCTCAAGCAAATATTTCTGGGTTAGCGGGGTCTGTAACCTGAAGCATATGTAACCTGAAGCGTATGTAACCCGAGGTACCACTGTACCATTCAGCCCCCCCCCCCCCATAGTCCGTTTTAAAGCAGGCAGAAAAACTGCAGGCATAGCATTCTCTGCTATGGGGTCAGGAATGAGACCAATTTTCCCTGTTTTTCTCTGTAGGCTAATGACCCTTCTCTCTCCCTATGGTCCTCTAGGCTTAGCGGGGCTTCGCCATTCCTTGGAGATACCAAACAGGAGACGCTGGCTAACATCACAGCTGTGAACTATGAATTTGACGAAGAGTTCTTCAGCCACACCAGTGACCTCGCCAAAGATTTCATTCGGAAGCTTCTGGTAAAAGATACCCGGTGAGCCTCAAATGACCCGCCAGGAGGAAGATGAGAGGAAGGCCAGTCTCAGAGCTGACCCATACCTTGGCTTAGCGTGGATGGTGACCCCCTTGTGCCGCCTTCAGTTCATTCCTCCTCTTCCACAGTGAATTCTCCTCCAACTTCTGCTGTCTCACACTCTCTGCTCCCTTAGCCCACAGATTCCCTATGTAATCATAGAATCATAGAGTTGGAAGAGACCACAAGGGCCATCGAGTCCAACCCCCTGCCAAGCAGGAAACACCATCAGAGCACTCCTGACATATCCGTAAATCAATGTGTTGTTGTTGTTGTTGTTTAGTCGTTTAGTCGTGTCCGACTCTTCGTGACCCCATGGACCAGAGCACGCCAGGCACTCCTGTCTTCCACTGCCTCCCGCAGTTTGGTCAAACTCATCCTGGTAGCTTTGAGAACACCATCCAACCATCTCGTCCTCTGTCGTCCCCTTCTCCATGTGTCCTCCATCTTTCCCAGCATCAGAGTCTTTTCCAGGGAGTCTTCTCTTCTCATGAGGTGGCCCCAAAGTACTGAAGCCTCAGCTTCAGGATCTGTCCTTCCAGTGCGCACTCAGGGCTGATTTCCTTCAGAAGGGATAGGTTTGATCTTCTTGCAGTCCATGGGACTCTCAAGAGTCTCCTCCAGCACCATAATTCAAAAGCATCAATTCTTTGGCGATCAGCTTTCTTTATGGTCCAGCTCTCACTTCCATACATCACTACTGGGAAAACCATAGCTTTAACTATATGGACCTTTGTCGGCAACGTGATGTCTCTGCTTTTTAAGATGCTGCCTAGCATCTTACATTGCAATCAATGTAGCTCTCCTATTTGCATCTTCTTTTTCTTCTCTTTTAATATATGTTTATTAATTTTTGAGAATACAACTGCAAAAAAAACCCCAAAAGCATAACTCTAATCCTCAAAGCAAAGGGTATCTGTGGGTTTAGGGAGGAGAAAGTGTGGGGCAGCAGTAGTTGGAGGGGAGTGCTGCGAAAGCTGTAAGCTCCATGGATGAGGGGAAATTAAGGGAGGCGGGAGGGATTAAGCCGAGGTACAGGCAGGCCCTCAAGCTTCCTGGTCCTGCCCACCATGGTTGGGTTGATTGGTTTATGCCTCACAGCATAAACCTATCCAGGCAGCTTACAGTAAATAGCAGGAAAAAATGTAAATATGAAGTTAACCATGAAACCACAAATGTCCTAAGTACAAAAAATGCAAACCAAAGCGGACTGAACCAAAAAATTAAAAACCACAACTACTACATAGTTGTTTAGAAGGGCTGGGCGAGCAGAAAGCTCTTTTGGAGCCAAGATGACCACAAGGATGGAGCCAGGCAAGGCTCCCTGGGAAGATTGTTCCATAAGCTGAGAGGAATGGTCACTACCAAAAAGGCTGACTCCCTGCTGGTTGCATGGGCCACAGGGACACTCAGGACACGGCCTGCAGAAGAGAGCTAAGCTTTGGCAGGGTGCATATTGGAGAAGGCAGTTTTTCAGGTAACCTAGTCCTAAGTTGTTTTTAAATGTAATTTGAAGGTAAATTGTGTCTGGAAATGAACCTGGGAGCCAATGCAATATTGTCCCAGTTCATAATCTTGTGCCTCTGTACAGTGGTGCCTCGCAAGACAGAGTTTACTATACAGCGGAAAGGAGCAGCCAAGCATACTAGGACTCAATTTCTTGACTTTAAGAAAGCTGACTTCATAAAACTTAGGGAAGTGCTGGGTGAGATCCCATGGACAGTAATACTAAAAGGAAAGGGAGTTCATGATGGCTGGGAGTTTGTTAAGAGGAGATACTAAAAGCACAACGTCAGGCAATACCAATGAGACAGAAACATGGAAGGTGCCTAAAGAAGCCAGGGTGGCTATCTAAAGAACTTTTAACTGAGTTAAGATTAAAAAGGATGTGTACAAAAATGGAAAAGGGGAAACCACCAAAGAGGAATTCAAACAAATAGCCAGCACATGTAGACACAAAGTCAGAAAAGCTAAAGCACAGAATGAACTCAGGCTTGCTAGAGAGGTTAAAAGCAACAAAAAAGGCTTTTATGGGTATGTCCGTAGCAAAAGGAAGAACAAAGAAACAGTGGGGTCACTCAGAGGAGAAGATGGTGAAATGCAAACAGGGGACACAGAAAGAGCTGAACTCCTCAATGCCTTCTTTGCCTCAGTCTTCTCCGATAAAGAAAAAATGCCCGACCTGAAGAATTTGGAGCAAATGATTCAGCAAAGGAAACACAGCCCAGAATAACTAAGGAGATAGTACAAGAATACTTGGCTAGTTTAGATGTATTCAAGTCTCCAGGGCCAGATGAACTGCATCCAAGAGTATTAAAAGAACTGGCAGATGTGATCTCAGAACCACTGGCAGTCATCTTTGAGAATTCCTGGAGAACAGGTGAAGTCCCGGCAGACTGGAGGAGGGCAAATGTTGTCCCTATTTTCAAAAAGGGGAAAAGAGAGGACCCAAATAATTACCGCCCAGTCAGTCTGACATCAATACCAGGGAAGATTCTGGAGCAGATCATTAAGCAAACAGTCTGTGAGCACCTAGAAAGGAATGCTGTGATCACCAATAGTCAGCATGGATTTCTGAAAAATAAGTCATGTCAGACTAACCTGATCTCAATTTTTGACAGAATTACAAGCCTGGTAGATGAAGGGAATGCAGTGGATGTAGCCTACCTTGATTTCAGCAAGGCATTTGACAAGGTGCCTCATGATATTCTTGTAAAGAAGCTGGTAAAATGTGGTCTTGACTATGCTACCACTCAGTGGATTTGTAACTGGCTGACTGACCGAACCCAAAGGGTGCTCATCAATGGTTCCTCTTCATCCTGGAGAAGAGTGACTAGTGGGGTGCCACAGGGTTCTGTCTTGGGCCCGGTCTTATTCAACATCTTTATCAACGACTTGGATGATGGACTCAAGGGCATCCTGATCAAATTTGCAGATGACACCAAATTGGGAGGGGTGGCTAACACCCCAGAGGACAGGATCACACTTCAAAACGACCTTGACAGATTAGAGAACTGGGCCAAAACAAACAAGATGAATTTTAACAGGGAGAAATGTAAAGTATTGCACTTGGGCAAAAAAAATGAGAGGCACAAATACAAGATGGGGACACCTGGCTTGAGAGCAGTACATGTGAAAAGGATCTAGGAGTCTTGGTTGACCACAAACTTGACATGAGCCAACAGTGTGACGCAGCAGCTAAAAAGGCCAATGCAATTCTGGGCTGCATCAATAGGAGTATAGCATCTAGATCAAGGGAAGTAATAGTGCCACTGTATTCTGCTCTGGTCAGACCTCACCTGGAGTACTGTGTCCAGTTCTGGGCACCACAGTTCAAGAAGGACATTGACAAACTGGAGCGTGTCCAGAGGAGGGCAACCAAAATGGTCAAAGGCCTGGAAACGATGCCTTATGAGGAACGGCTAAGAGAGCTGGGCATGTTTAGCCTGGAGAAGAGGAGGTTGAGGGGTGATATGATAGCCATGTTCAAATATATAAAAGGATGTCACATAGAGGAGGGAGAAAGGTTGTTTTCTGCTGCTCCAGAGAAGCGGACACGGAGCAATGGATCCAAACTACAAGAAAGAAGATTCCACCTAAACATTAGGAAGAACTTCCTGACAGTAAGAGCTGTTCGACAGTGGAATTTGCTGCCAAGGAGTGTGGTGGAGTCTCCTTCTTTGGAGGTCTTTAAGCAGAGGCTTGACAACCATATGTCAGGAGTGCTCTGATGGTGTTTCCTGCTTGGCAGGGGGTTGGACTCGATGGCCCTTGTGGTCTCTTCCAACTCTATGATTCTATGATTCTATGATTCTAAGACGAAATTAATCCATTCCGCGAGTCTCTTCGTCTAGCCGTTTTTTCGTCTTGCGAAGCAACCCTATTAGCGGCTTAGCGGATTAGCGCTATTAGCGGTTTAGCGGCTATTAAAGGCTTAGCGGCTTAGCGGCTCTAATAAATGTAGGGGTTGCTCGTGCGCAAGTTGGTGCCACTCCTGGCTAGGTTGCCTTGTTAAACCTTTTCTGTCTGGACAGCCCTGCACTTCGTGGCTGTTCAGTCGCTAGCAGAATCCGTCAGTGGGCGTTTCTTAAACCTTTTCCAGCATAAAAGTTGTTTGACTCCAAGTCTCCTCCTACTCTCCCTGCGCGGAAGCCTTCTGCGCAGGGAGGGCGTGGGTAGCGGAGGACCCGTGCTCTCCTCGCTGATCTCCGGCGAGGAGTCCTGGAGCCCCTCGCCGATTCCCCCATCTGCCCCCCTTTATCCCTGGTGTTACGCTGATTTCTTTCCCCAGCTGGTGAGCCGCCTCTCCCCCTGCTGGGCCCTTCTCCAGCATCGCTTGAGAGCCTAGCCTCCGCCTCTGGCTCCGATGTCAGTTCCCTGACAGCGGCTTAGCGGCTAAAAGGCTATAAGCGTCTTAGCGGCTTAGAAAAAGGGGGGGGAGCGAAAAAAATCTCAAGACTCGCAAGACATTTTCGTCTTGCGAAGCAAGCCCGTAGGGAAATTCGTCCTGCGAAGCGCATCGAAAAACGGAAAACCCTTTCGTCTAGCGGGTTTTTCGTCTTACGAGGCATTCGTCTTGCGGGGCACCACTGTAGTTTCAGGCCAACTGTAGTTTCTGGACCATTATAAAGAGGCAGGGGATGGGGATGGGGACCTCTTTTGGCCCAGCAGGCTAAATCCTTAGCACCTCTGTGGGCCAAATTGTGGCAGATGGGTGGGGCAACCCACCTGTCAATTACCTGACATCATTATGGCATCAGATGATTGACAAGAGGGTTGTCACGCCCAATTGTCAAAGTCTCAAGTGCCCCAGCAGACAGCTGGTTGTTGGGTGCCTGAGGACCACCGCGCAAGGGCACTTCCTCCAGAGAGTGCCCCCCCATCTTCTTCTCAGGTGGCCTCCCATCCTGGCAGTTCACGGGCACAGATCTGCTCTCTTTCCATGTCTCCTTCATCTTCAGCTCATCCTCCGACCTCTCTTGTGGTAGCTTTAGACTAAGGATGCTTTTAAAGAGGGAGATGGACAGGGCTGTCTCTGCAGCCAGTATGCGACACGCTTCAAGAACAGTTGTGACCAGCAGCTCTTCCCTGCAAGGGGGGCTCGCTTACTTAACAAATTTTCTCCCTTTGCAGGAAACGACTCACCATCCAAGAAGCTCTCACTCACCCCTGGATCACGGTAAGCCTGGAAGTGGGGCATGTGGTGTCACAGGGGAAGGGGGTGTTTTTTAATTCGGACAGAGCTTTGTATGGAGTTCTGCATTTTGGCATTGAAATGTCACCTGTCATAATTCTCATTTGCTTTTGCATATCTGACTTTAAACATTACGGCAGCATGACAATGACCTTCTAGTTTGGTTTCTCACAGTTTTAACCTCACTGGAGGAGGGAGATTAATTTTTGCCAAACATTGTCAGAATCTTTGCAAAATAAAAATACATGTTGCCTTTTTTAATGCTTTCTTGTCTTAAGCAAGAGATAAAAAATATGCGATGCTGAGATGCGTGTTGACAAGCATACAATTTTCCGTCATGGAATGTGTTGTGTGATGGTGATACATCTGCCTACTGTTTGCATGGACAGACATAAACCACATTCCAACTGTGTTTGGCTGGGCTCTATCTGGTATGAATTTGCTCCATCCAGTCCACCTTGAAATCTATAGGAAGTTGTAAAAGACACTCCATTGCATTTGTACAACTTTCCAAGGGTGGCTATAGCCTAGTACCCAGTGGACCACACGCCTCTCTGTGTCTTTCTTTGTGTTTGTGGTGTTCTGCTGTGTAGAAGATACAGTGGATGTCCTACATTTGCCCAGTGTCAATACTCACATCTGAATGTTGAAGACCCCAGACAAATTTTGTGAATAATTGAGAACACAGTGATATGTGATATTAATATGGGGCATCCATTAAGTTCATCTGGAATAGCCAATTATTTACAGGTGAAACTCAAAACATTCATTCAGTCCTGGACATCCATTGTAACATGGAATATATGCAGCTGGTCTTTGCATGCTGGAATCTGGAGTGCTGGATTCTTAAGATTTTTTTCACATCACAATGAATCAGGCGCTACCAACCTTTTTGGATCAGTGGGCACATTTTGAGAGAGTGCTGGGGGCCTAGCACAAAATTAGAGAGGTGGCCAGCCCCATCAACCTTACGCTTACTGTGGGAGGTCAGCCATGTACTTCTGGCTCTGATTGTTGAGATCACACAATATTGATTATATATATATAAATACACACAAACACACTGACACTCTTGCTTTCGAATGGCAACAGGGAGCATTCCTCAGTAACAGGAAAAATAGCCACACAACACTCACACTCATTTCACAGAAATGACTTAGAAAGGACCTGTTTGTTTTGTCCCATAACTTGCTTTCCAGGAGGGCTACAGACTTTGGTGACCCCAGTACACACAGACACACACACACACACACAGAGAGAGAGAGAGAGAGAGAGAGAGAGAGAATGCTCAATAGTGTATTTTCTGAAATATTTTCTATTTTTTACAAAAAATGACCACTTTTGAAACTGTAAATGCACAGATGCCAGCATGCAGTCAGTCATAGTGCTCACAGGGATGTTTTTGTTCCACCAACCTTTTTTCGTGAAAATAAAATAATGTCTGTGACATGCATGAAGGAATCCTGTTTTCACCCAGCACCATGGATATGTGTTGTGTGTTTGCCTTCCTTTTGCCTGCTGTGTTGTGGTTGATGCTGTGGTGTCTATAGAAGCAGTTTGCATGATTCTGCGGATCAGTAATAACCATGCCCTACTACTTCTGTCTGAAGACTCACCAGCCCAAGGAAGAAACAAAGGTCCCAGAAAGCAAAAGGGCTGAGAACCAGCAACTGAAGACCAAGCGCCTGAAGGAGTACACCATCAAGTGCCACTCCAGCATGCCACCCAACAACACCTACATCAACTTTGAGCGCTTTGCCTATGTGGTGGAAGACATCTCCAGGATGGAGCAGAACTTCAGTGCTCTGGCTGTGTCCCATGATGCTTTGCAGGAGGACATTGACGCCCTCGTTTCCATCTACAACGAGAAAGAAGCTTGGTACAAAGAAGAACATGAAAACGTGAGACATGAACTTTCCCAGCTGAAGTACGAGTATCGCAAGATTGAATCTCTGAAGAAGCACCTGCAGGAGGACATAAGACTTGTGGGCAGCAGCCTCACTGGGGTTGCCAGCAAGTACATGGACCGGCAGTCACATTACGAGTCCTTGAGTAAGGAATTGTCCGAAGAACTCAAGTGGATTCAGGAATTTACAGGCAGCTCTCAGCTGGAAGATGGAAGTGACGCCTACATCACTGGAAATTTTGGCTCCGTCTTTAACAAAGATATAAATGACTCTCTTAGGGAGCTGCTAAATAGATCCTGCTGTGAAGAATTCCTAGCTGCCTTGAACCCAGGTGTTGCAAAGTCAAGTCAGTAACTCTGTCTAAAATGGAGTTTCAGATTTATCTATTCATGCCACCTCAAGATTCCTGCATACTAATGGTGACGCCCCACTTGTTCACTTTATATCTGAAAAACATAATTGACAGTCACTGTCGCAGTTGACTTTTGGAACTCTGAACTCTTGCCAATGTTTTACCCTTTTTAACAGGGAGGCTGTGAATTTTGCCAGTTAGAAATGAATTGAAATTCCTTTGAATAACACCCTGTTCTCTTTTTGGAGCATACTTTGCATTTAGAAGTGAAAGCCTTTGCTGTCATTGTACTTTGGAAGATGGAAGCAGCTTACTGTTACCATGAGATACCTCCTAAATACCTGATTGTAGATAGTTAAGCATCCTTAACAGCCTCTATTGCTGTCCTGTGAAAGAGTCAGCAGTAAGAATGCATTGATTTGAAACTCAGTATGACTGGTGCTTTTAATAGTGATGGATTCAGATGGAGAAGCTCTTTCTTGCCCACAGCACCCTCTGCAATCCTGACCGCAGTCTACTTCAAACAGTAGCAGGCATTTCAGTTGAAAAGCAGAATTGTGAATGTGTTACGGAGTGAATGGCGAGCTCTAAAATCAACTCTACGCTCAGCATATTGACTGGGGTGATGCGTAAAGCATTGTCAAGAGACTTGACATTCTTCCTCACCCCAATCAAAGAACATGGTCCAGTGAAGGAACCAGATGACTGAAGACTCCTATTGTGGAACTTGAAACTTTGTTTTTGTTGCTGTTTTGACTCAGATTATTAGAAGGGGAAAGTGTGGGAGAGGGGAGTGAGTTATAATTGAATTATGCACATTTTTGTTCCTGCCTTTGAAAGAGAAGAGCATTGCCTGAGCAGCAATGATCTTCTCAAATGTGTAACTAATTTCACACTTATAGAGACAATAAATATTTATTTAATACATTGTGGTTACTTGCAGCACCATCTGTCTGTATGCTACACGAAAGAACATAATAAGAGCTTGCTGGATGAGGCCAGTGGCCTGTCTGGTCCTTCTCAGAACAGCTACCCAGAAGCCCGCAAGCAGGATTTGAGCACAAGAGTCTTTCTCTCCTCCTGTGGTTTCCAGCAACTGGTATTCAGAAGCATTGCTGCCTCTGATTGTGGAGGCAGATCATAGCCTTTGTGGCTAGTTTTATCCTCCATAAATTGGCCTAATCCTCTTTTAAAGCCATCCAAATTCGGGGCCACCACTGCCTCAGCCCACGAATTCTAGTATTATTGGCGGGGCGGGAGGCACGGAATTCTCTAACTACTTTCGCCATCCCTTGCATAATGTTCTGCCCTTCTGTCATGTTGCCCCTTACTCACCTTTTCTTGATGGTCCCAGACCCTACACCCTAGGATTGGTTGAGTGAATAATGTTTGCCCATTGGCTATTGATTTGTTTCTAGTGATGGTCTCAGCAAGATGAGGCTGTCGCTTGAGGGAGGGAGTGTGCTAAGTACTGGTTTGGGTTCAATCCAGGGAAAGTCCAGCAAGTCCAGCTTCTTCCAAGGTTTGAAGAAAGTAGCTTCCAAACTGACATGTGGGTCGGCTTTGAATATGCTTGGAAGCTCTCACTCGTGTGAGATAAGGTAGGTACCCTGAGGCCTGTCTGAATTCTGCATAACTGGATGTCCCATTGGAGCCAGCTAAGTCCTAAGATGTAAATTATTTGCTACCATTTTATTGCTGTTACACTTGGTTGTGCCAGTCTCATCACTGTCAAACTTCAGACAGAGAGGATGAGAACGCCAAAGACTTGAGGTCCGGATGGAGAGCCTGTGGCTTGCCTGATGCTGTTGAGTTACAGCTCCCTGATACTTGGCCGTGCTGCCTGGGACAGATGGGAATTGAAGTCCAGCAACATCTGGATGGCACCACAATTGCCCCACCCACCCCCGTACTTAAAGCGCACAACCCACATAATGTATATTTAATGTCCCAGGCTTTCTGAAGCACTGAGCTTGTTCTCTCTTGTCTTTCCCAGCCAAAGGACAAATGCCAGGCCTTGGTGAGGCGGGAGTCGGTCATTAACTTGGAAAACTTCAAAAAGCAATATGCCCGGAGGCGGTGGAAGGTACTGTACTTGGAGTGTGGTTACTGATGCATGTGTGGTGCTCTCTACAAAGAAGCAAGACTTCTGTTTTGTTTTGTTTTGTTTTGTTTTGTTTTGTTTTGTTTTGTTTTGTTTTAAAGCAGGGATGGGCAGCCTTTGGTCTTCCAAATGATATTGGAGCTGGTGGTTGTTTACTCCAGCAACTTCTGGAGAGCCACAGGTTCCCCACCGCCATTTTAAAGAAACAACATTATTTTTTTTAAGTGACATAAATTGTACCTTTCAGAGCTATCTGCAGAACTGGCTTCTCTCTCTCTAGAAGCTAGCTAGTAAGTGCAGGCCGGTCTTGTTAACATCAACATTATTGATTATTATTTTAAATTTATATGATTACCCATTGATAAAGTTCTCCTAGCAGCTTGCAGTAAAACAATTTGCAGCTCAACATAAAACCACACTTTAATGTGTTATTAGGATAGGTGCCTAGGCCACCCTTCCTGATCTTGTTGGACTACAGCTCTCACCAGGCCTGTTCTTCACAAGCTGAAGTTTTCAAACCGTCTCCAAGGGTAGTCCCTAAGTAATCAAGATGGGAGGCTACATCAAACCAGGAATGGCCATAGCTGGCAAGTCAGCCAGAGCAGGAAATAAGCACTCCTTGATATCAAAGCTGAGCCTATAATGACCGAAATGGATCCAGGAACACCTCAACACTGTGTACCTGCTCCTTTGGGGGAAGTATGACTCAGCCCAGAACAGGATAGATAGCGTGTGTGCATGCTTTGATCCTGCCCACTACTGGCCTCTGGCCTCTGATCACCTTCCCCACAGAGGTAAGCAGCTCTCAGGAGCAGTGGATGGGTGGCTTCCCAACCCTCTCTTATTGCTGAGGAACACAGCTGCCTGTCCCAGTTCAGACTGTCTTCAAGGGTTAGCCCCATTTAGTCCCCGATAATCATTTCAGCTATACTGAGCACTTTGTCTGAGCACTGAGATCTGCCTCCTTCTGACCCAGGTGAGCTCACAGTGAACTGGATCAACCAGAGACAATAGGTTCCAGCTGAATCTTTTCTGTATTGCTGCATTTTAACGTATAACATTTTCCTGGTTTTGTTAGCTCACTAAATCCCCCATGCAGCTTTTTAAGGTCTCCCTAGTGCTGCTTTCAAACCTCACCTGTGTATTGGAGGCTGATGACAGGGCAAGCCCCTTGGTTGTGCCCATAAAATGCACTGGGGGTTGTGGGGACATCCCATAAGTGGCTCTGCAGGGGCATCTTCTGCCTTTCAAGAGTATAACCACAATATCCTTGTTATTCCCCCAGCTTACTTACAGTATTGTTGCACTGTGCAACCATTTATCTCGCACCTTGGTGAGAAAAGTTCGCCTAATGCAAGATGAAAGCTTGGTAAGTACATGGGGGCAAAGGAAGTGGAAAGTTGACATGCCCAGTTGTTTGCGACAGAGGACGGGCAGCCAAGGCAATGCCTTCCAAATGTTGCTGGAGAGCCCTGTTCAATCAGGCAAAGGATCACCTAGCTCAGCATTTTGCTTCCTTCAGCAGCTGGCTAGCCAACCAACCAACCCCTGAGACGCCTATGCAATACAATAGCCCTTCTCCCGTTGCTGCTTCTTAGTATTTGTCATTCAGGGGCCTAATGTCCCTGTGCCTGGAGGCTGCATAGAGCCATCGCTCCCCCTAATAATGACATTAGGAGGTGAGCGCCATCCAAGACAGGGCTGCTGAGGAACAAGAGGTTGATATTGGCATGCTCTCTCACGAATGCTGAGGAATACAGAAATGCTACCTCAGCACTGCTGCTTCACATCCTGAACATCATGGTTAGCTATGCAAGGCAAAGTTAAAGAGCTTTGAGCAGAGCTCTAGATTCTCCAGGTGGTGGGTACAGGAGCATAGTGTGGGGGGGTGCCAGAGGGGCTGTGGCCCTGTGCATGGACTTTTGAGGGGGCACGAAACAGGCGCCCCCACGCAGGTGACTGAGGAGAGACAGTCCTTGAGGTATGGCGCTCCTGAGCCATTTAAGAGTTACCTCTCACCCACTCCTCCATCTCCCCACTTGGGAACGTCTTTGTTGCTTGGGTTGTTCAGTGCAGGAGCAGACAGAAGACAGATGGGGATCTGCTGGAAGATGACGGAGTGATTTGCAGAAGAGCAGCAAAAGTTCTTCACTCTCAGTAGCTTAACCATAGTAACGAGAAGGCTTTTTCCCTTCTAGATTAGGCTGCTGGAAATCAAGACAACCGGGGATGAAAAAGGAGCCGATGTAGGATGTGTGTGTGTGTGTGAGAGAGAGGGGGGGGGTTCCTGAGCTGAGCGTGTGTGCAAACGCACCGGGACCTGCAATTCAATGCTCATCCCCTTGAGTGACTATTTTGTACCTTCTCTGTTTGCTGGACCTTGGGTTTTGTAATGAAAAACAAAGTTGATCATGCAAGCCGGAAGTCTGCCCACCCAGCAGTGGAGCGTGTCTCCATGTTGCCTTGGGTGGGGGTGGGTGCACCCAGGCACATGCCCCCATGCCAGGGGCGGCGTGAGGGGCCGAGGACAAACGGACCCTACTGCACCTGTCCAGCCCCTGTTGGAGCTGGAGCAACACCAGCCCTGGCAGCCATGGCTGTTTCACCCTCCTCATGCCACCCTCCTCAGATCCTAGCCTTGCAAGGCTGCAGGGGGGGATGTGGCAGCCATGCACCCCTCGATCCTAGCCTTGCACAATGCTGGGATCGAAGGGCTCAAGGTTGTCGCTTCCCCCCCTTAGCCTTGCAAGGCTGGGATCCAGGGATGGTGGCACACAAAAAACATGTGCTGCGCCACCTGCCCCGGTGGGAGAGCATGCCCCCCCCATGCCAGCACCCCCAGAGGGGCCTGGTGCTCCTCTCCATGAGTGTTGGTTCCTCCTTTGGCGGGCAGGGTTATTGTTACGGTTTATTACTATGTTAGGTCTTTTTATATTGTGAACTGCCCTGTGTTCCTCAGATGGTTGTATAGAATAATAATAATAATAATAATAATAATAATAATTAGTGTGTGTATAAAAAGAGGGGCAAGGAAAAGTCTGCAGATGCTGAGCCCTGCCTGAAACGTCACCTATTTTCTCCTTTGTTCCAGCGCAATTGTGAAAGTGACCACGAGGAAGATCTTCCCAGCCGGCCGTCCCCTCACCATCTCTTGAGGAGGAGGAGCAGTATATCTTAACTCCGCCAAACAGAAACGGGAGTCGGACTGAGATTTCCAAGTGCCTAACAGCGCAGCTCTTGCACAACTGAACACTTTGTCTCGGGGGCTCTTTCTACTCCCAACGTATACGCAAGCACAGACCAGAAAGGCTCGTGCTGCCCCTTGGGGACTCTGGATCCTCCAAAGGCAGGAAGAAGCCACAATGAAGTCCCAGACGCGTTTGGTGCACTATAAATTGTCACATACAAGCCAAGATAGGAGTGGACTGTGGGGTATGAGGTGTCATTTCTAGAGGAAAAAAATTGACTCCATTAGTATTTTAACTGCAAATAAGAAGTAAGACATGTGTGTGCAGAGCTGGTGATCCAGGGGGAAGAGCTGGGCAGGAAACTGAGGTGTTGGAGCAGGAGGAGGATGATAAGGTAGGAATGGTGTCCATTCCAGGTGCCCCCCAGTCAGGCAGCCAGCTGATCTTGGGCGCTGTGTAGGTGAGAGCAACCTCCCCCTTCTTCTTCGAAGCCCTTGAGGGCAACCCAGCCCCCAGATCTTTCTTGCAAAGAGACAGGAGATTGTTTCTCTCATGGGCAGCGGACAGGAAGAGCAAAAGCAGGCTGCAGGGTGTGCCTTTTTGATGAGCTACATTTCCCACCAGTCTCTGTTCTCCTGCAGAGTTGGGTGCATTTGGCAAACATTTGATCCTAATCAGTTAAATGTAGTGATTGGGCACCAGCCCTCATCTCCTGGCGAAGGCCAGAGGAAGAAGCCTCCTTTCCTTAGCACCTGCTGCATCGTCCTTCTGCAAACACATCCTGCCTCCCCTGCCTTGCCCCTCTCAAGGATCAAAGCGACTTAGTCAATGGCACCCCTGCGCTCTTCTGGCCACCCAGGACGCAGGGCGCCTTAGCCCAGAGGGGAGCAGTCACCAATTTATTTATTTATTTCACAAAATTTATAAACTGCTTGGTTGTTTAAAGAAAACCCTCAAAATGGTTTGAGCAAACAGCAAAATCTAGAAAAATGAATAGCCCTACTTTAAAAACATACAAAAAGTTAAAAAATACTGAAACAGATTAAAATGACCTCAACTTTCTAAGCATCTAGGTAAAGGTAAAGGGACCCCTGACCGTTAGGTCCAGTCATGGCCGACTCTGGGGTTGCGGCGCTCATCTCGCTTTATTGGCCGAGGGAGCCGGCGTACAGCTTCTGGGTCATGTGGCCAGCATGACTAAGCCGCTTCTGGCGAACCAGAGCAGTGCACGGAAACGCCGTTTACCTTCCTACCTTTACCGCTAGGTTGGCAGGAGCAGGGACAGAGCAACGGGAGCTCACCCCATCACGGGGATTCGAACTGCCGACCTTCTGATTGGCAAGCCCTAGGCTCTGTGGTTTAACCCACAGCGCCACCCACATCCCTTGTAAAGCATCTAGGTAGGTTTGTCTAAAAGGAATGTTTTCAGCAAGGGGGCACATTTCGGATTTAGAGAGAGTCACAAAATGGCTGCCCTACGGCAGGTGGAGACTGCAGGCCAAACATGGTTGCCGTGGGCAGCAGGCATAATTCAAAAGTTTGAGAGTGCAGTCAATACTGCTGCTCCCCCTCCCCTGCTCTAGCCAAGCTCATGCTTACTATGGAAAATCAGATTCGTTCTGCTGGCAGAGATACAGCTGTTAAAGGCACAATAACCCTGTTTTCCCCTGTGATGGCCCTAAACCAAAGCCTAGGTTGCCATCCTGGACACAGTTACTGGGGACTAAGCCCCATTTAAACACAAAGAGATTTGCTTCTGAAGTAGACATATACAGTATACCATTGTTTGGTCAAGTGAATTCCTCACACGCCTAAACATCAGCTCCTGCACAACCAGAGACATGCCTAAGTTTCTTTGCAAAGTTTTCACATTTTGCATTTGCCATTTGGATAGCGGATTCTTTAACATTGTCATGCACCTATTATGCCGGGATTACCTGATCTGAGAGGAACCCACCTCAGGGAAAATGCATCCTGATTTCTAGGAAAAAAGGAAGGGCAAACTATGGAGATTTCAAGTCAAGATGGTCAAACTTGTGCTGTAATTCCTGATGTTCTTCCCCCTCCCCTGTGCGATTTATTCCATTCCAATATATTTCATCCCATCCACCACATGTTTCTGCTTCCTGAGTCCTGTTGGGATAGGCCTATGGAGGCTCTGTTCTCAAAATTTATGTTCCTAATTCTTGGTTTCTCCTCCTCTTCCTTCTTCTTCCCTGCCTTCATCACCTGCCTGGAATGAAGAAAAGCCTGCTGGGACAGCTTTACATGTCTTTTCATATATTATTAAAGGGAAAAGGGGGAACAGTACTTTGCTCCTAGTGAGTTATAAGCCATACTGCTGTTTCCACCAACATATTCAATATTATTTTGGAAATGTACTATTCAGTTAAGTTAGTTGTATCATGTTGAAAAATCACTCTGCTGTGCTTTTATACTACCTTGTGGTCCTTTGGTCCTTTGGCCCTGTGGTCCTTTGGCCCTGTATCTCCATGTTTGGCCCAGATCTCCATGTTTTTTACTTAAGGGTTGTATGTGGGTATATATTTTCAAACCTCATTATGGTCAGCATTTTGCTTATGCACTTGTATTTTGGGTTTTGATATTCACTATGATGTATGCTGTGTTTTTGTTTTTCATTTTTTGTGTGTGTTGCAAAAAATTCCAATGTACGTTTGTTGGGATTGTCCGCTCCTTTGCATCGCCAAAGACAAAACACCAGTGGGTTAAATGTTTGAGGGCAACTTCTTACATTTATTTTGATGTAGCAAATTATCCAAGAGGCAAGACCTGTGATCTGTCACATCTTCGGGGGGGGGGGGGGGAGTAAAGTAAAGTACTCCAGGACATGTTAAATCTCAGCTTTCACCAGAAGAAACGCTAATGCAATCTGATTCAGACAAGGACTCTCTTTTCCTTGCCTGCTCTTCCGTTTTGAAGCTGCCATTCCTTTTGTCCTCGAGGCACAGTTCCCCCCCAGTCCAATATCATCACATTGCAACATTTGTACCTATTGAGCAGCCCCTCAATACCTGCTTTTCTCATGTTGTGTTCAGCTGTATACCAAAATGTACCACCCCTCTTATCCTGAGGAACATTTTTCAGAATAAAACAGTTACATATTTGCTTTGTTAGGAGATAATGAGTTAAAAATTCTAAACTTGATACAGTAGAACCTCTACTTACGACCGCCTCTACTTGGGCCCGATCCAAGTTGCAACCGCAGCAAACCTGGAAGTAAATACTGGATTTGCTGTGATTCGTGCACGCGCAGAAGCGGCTTCTGCCGTTTGCACACACGCAGAAGTGTGCTGCCGCCGAATGCGCCTGCGCAGAACGGCGCTTCTACCAGCGACCCGGATCGACTTACGGACGGACCTCTGGAACTGATTACGTCCGTAAGTAGAGGTTCCATTGTACTGTATTTGGGCATTAGATCTGTAGTACATATTGAAGAATATACAGAAGGTCAAAAAAAAGAACTGATTTGCAGAAGATTCAGGAATTCTGGGGCTCATCCACTCCATGGAAGCAAGTTGCAGTTGTTCACTCCTACTAACATAGAACAACTGCACCTACTTCCATCTGCAAAGGACACTTAAAGGATAGATAATGCAGGAAATAAAGCTCAGGTTTGCTATGTTCAGCTGGTCATAATGCAGAAAGGGGAAATTGTGTGCACGGTATTACATTAAGCTTGGCACCGTAATCTTGATCCCCTGCATCAGTGATTTTAACATGCGTAGCATCACTTGAGATTAATTGTACGGGAGATCATTCAGCATTCAGCAGCTACATAAACCAAATCAATGCAATCTGCATTGCAAAGGAGTTTAGCTCATTGCAGTAATGGGAAATATTTGAACCGTTTCCAATGTAAAGTTCACAAACTGCCTTTGATCTCTGGGTTTGAGGCAGTGGAAAGCTTTGACTTATTACAATATGTGCATTTTGCAGTTAAAAATTGCAACCTTTGTTTAAAACCTGCTCAATGGTGCCTTATTAAAGGTCAGAATATTCATCCATCTAGCCCAGCATTGTCTCCTCGTGATTGGCGGCAACTCTCCACAGGGATCATGGGCAGAGAGGAGGGTCTTTCCCATCACCTTACCCCTGGATCTTTTTTTAAACCAGAGATGCTTAATATGAATTAGACTCAGAAGCTTCTGCTGGTGCTTTACCACTGAGCTATGGTCCTGAATTGGCTAGGGACTAACATAGTGTGTTCATTGTAACCACCTTCTCATTCCATGGGTAGAAAAAGCAAGTTACCTGCAGATTCCCTATCACAGGTAGCTGCTTTGCACTATCTGAGAGGCACATCCCACAATTCTTTGCAATGCTGGCATGTGAACCAAGCCAACTTGCGTATCTGACATTGCAACGCTCAGCAGCACCTTTGCTAGATGTTGTACAGTTGTAACAGCCCCGCCTTAAAAAACAGTAATTCAAAACAGTCTATTGACGTGATTGTGCACTCAGGCTGGCCCTACACGCATGTTCCACCAAGCAAAAGAAACCTCTTCCCTTTCTTTAAGAATCTGTCTCCTGTGCCAAGTCACAGTTGTTGCTTTTTGAGGGTACAGCAAAGATCTGGGGTCTGCATGTTTCCAATAGCAGCTACTTCTGCTAACTATCTGATACCTCCTTTGCATGGATGGAGTGGGCACAGGATGTGTTCGTGGTGAAATGGGCCTCTGCAGCCAAAAGCTCCTGTCTCAGTCTAGCGTTGGTGCAGTGGAAAAGCCACCTATTGGTTTTAATGCTTGCTTTGAGGGTAGGACTTGGTGAAGCGCAAAGAGCTAAAGTCCTGGCAAGGTTTGGGTTGCACTGGATAGAATGGGTGGTGATTTGGAAAGGAACTGGAGGCTACCCATCCCAAGTGACTCAGCCACCTGCAAAAGGGTAGGGGAGATTCACAATCAATGCAAGTGAGGGTTCAGGGGAAGGGATGATGGAGTTGGGTCAGGGAAAGTGGGTCTTGACGCACTTTTTCCCAGCCCAAGTGAAGCAGTAGATGGTGGGGGGGTGACAGCAGCTGTAGCAGCCCCCACTGACCTTTCATCCTCTGCTCCCCCAGTATGGGTAAAACTAGGGTCTCAACTAGGGCCAGGGCCTTTTCAGTACTGGCCCTGACTTGGTGGAACGCTCTGTCACAAGAGACTAGGGCCCTGCGGGACTTGACATCTTTCCACAGGGCCTGCAAGAAAGCCTGGCCTTTGGTTTGGACTCAGTCTGACCCTTATGTTTCCCTCCCCTTATGGTTTGGATTTGTGGGCTACTATTAAAATGAGGCTGCATTTTAAATTGTATTTTAACCCGTATTTTAATAAACTGATTTTGTTTGTTTGTTTGTCCCCATCCCCACTATTATGTTTTATTGTAATTTTATTGGTGTTAGTTGCCCTGAGGCCTGGCTCTGGCCGCGGGGGGCAGGGTATAAATAAAAATATTATTATTATTACTATTATTATTATTATTAAAATCAGGCTGTGGATGTAAATTCAGCAAACCCATCAAAAGAGAAAAGTAGGATAGGAATGGACAAAGCTGGCATCAATCCATGAGGATGCCACACCACACCTTTGTGGCAAATATTCATCTCTGGCCCTGCTTCAGTTCTCTGAGTTTTGGCCCTCTGGGAAGAGGATTCAGGTGGCAGTGGGGTGGTTGGCCTCTGCTCTACCCACTGAGCTGTCACCAGCTGGTTCTTTAAAGCCAGCTCCGTGCACGACCAGGACTGTGCAGCTGGGCTTGCAGGTGTGGCCAGGCAGCTTCATTTGGTGCTCTGCCTCAGTTGGGCGGCACAGCATCCAGCCCCAGCTCTGCCCCTTCATCCAAACCTGTAGAAACCTTGATCTCCCAGAGGATTCTGCATGTAAAACCACTTAGCATAATTGTGGGGTAGTGGTGGCTGCTGGCCAAGATGACTTTGAAAGGGGATTCAAGCCATTCTTGGGAGAAGAGGAGAGGCCTGTCAGTGACTACTAGTTCTCATGGCTAATAAGCTAGTTTATTGTTCAGAGGCAGTGACTATCTCTTGGGGTGGGGGTGGGGAAATAAGAGGGAAGGCAATTATCTTCATGTCCTGCTTATGGGAAGCTTTGACAGGCAGGTGTTAGAAAGAGGATCTTGAACTAGCTGGGTCTTTGGGGATCTGGTCCAGATGGTCCCTCCATGTGTCCTTATATTCTCAAGGAGGAAGTAATTTTTTGTGCCAAACATCAGAACTGGGCGTTTGCTTTCACGGAAGAGTGAAAATTCGCGACACTGAAAGATGACACGAATTCTTGGCCACACCCTTCCCCTGACACTGACAACCTCGGAGAGAACCTTAGGCAGGGCGTGTCTGAGCCCTGGCTGCCCGCCAGTGTCCTTGCATCCTTGGATTCGGGGGTTTCTCCTCTCTCTTTCCTCCTGCTTTGCCTCCTGGACAGCTCCCCTCTGGCTGCCACGCGCGTCTTGGTACCAAGGCAAAGCTGCCCTTGCTCTGGCTGATGGCGCCTTTGTCAGCGAGGGAGCAGCAGCTCTTCATCAGCGCTCAGCAACTGGACAGCAACTCTGCCGCTGGCGCCTCCCCAGCTGCTCGTGTCAGCGCTTTGGAAGCGCTTCTTCCTGTCTCGGGGCGCCTGGCAAGGATGGCCGGGGCGGGAGGGAGAGCAAGGGGCGCAGACGCAAACTGGATGCAAACCAGCAGCTTCATAGTACTGTGATAGCGAGTGGGACCGGGAATGGGCGGCGGCCAGGGCGCAGAGGGGATTGCCTGCCAGGCGACCACCAGCTTTTCCGCTCAAATTGGAATTGGCAGTTCTTAGCTTACGTCTCCCGATCCTTGATATCTCTTCCCCTCCCTTTCTGCCTGTGTTTCCCCCCTTATCTCGCCTCCTCCCTGCAGAACTTCTCATTGCCGCCACACACCCGCCCCCCGGCGCCGCCGCCACCTTTCCTTCCCAAGGATACATTCATAAATAATCCTCCCCCTGGAAAACCTCTCCTGCCTGGTCTAAGCAAGCTGATCCCGAGTCAGGCTGATGGTCCGTCGAGTCCAGGAACCGGCACTGGCTCTCCAGGGATTCGCCCAGGAGTCTCTCCCAGCCCTGGGATGATGGGTATCAAACATGGGAGCTCTTTCTTGCATAATTACATAGGACCAGGGCAGCAGGGGTGGGGGCATGGGCGGGGATTTCTTTTAGGCGGGGGCAGCCAAAGTTGGGGGGGGGCAGAACCTCAGATAATTGAGTACTTTCAATGCTTTGTGGATCTAGGGGGGCAGCTGCCCATGGGTTCTTTCATGCCAGCCTCCCATCCTCCAACCATGGGCTTAGCCCAAGGGGGCAGGGGGCAACTGTCCCCCCTAAATCAATACAAATCTGAGGTTCTGCCCCCTCAACAAAAATCCTGCAGGTACCTTTTAACTGCAACAGGGCTGGATGAACCTTTGTGGTAACTACATTAAGGGCTTAGAGTGCCAATCTAACAGGGGAGACTGTGGTGGTGAGATTTTATGGGAGCTTCCACTGACGGGGGTGCACACATGCCCACCCCCTTTACACCTGGTTGCCATTCTTTGTAGCTCAGAACATCTTGGCCACACTGTCAGGACAAATATTTTTGTAACCTGCTTAGATACTCTATTTGCAATCAAGAAGTGTATGCATTTTTTAAAAAATTAGCAGGCATAACTCTGAACATGGCTGCTGCCAGCTGCTTCTTAAGGTATGTTTCATAACATGGGTCTTGGCATAATAGAATGGACCTCCTAGGAGTCTAATCTGGGGATCTTGAAGCGCTGTACTCTTTTTCTCTCGCTGCTGATGCAAGCTCTCTTATTCTCAGCTGCGTTGGGACATAATTTTGCAGGAAGTTCATGAATAAGCATTTCTGAAGCAACCCCACACCCTGGGCTGAGGCTGGAGAGAGCCAAAGGCTAAGTATAAATCATGACTGCTGGGAGAGAGGGGGAGAGGAAGTGGAGTCAAGGATGGATCCCTGCCCTAACCCTAGCACAACCTTTCACAGTCAGTTGCTTTTGACTGCCCAAGCATATGGGAGCATCTTTTTACTAACACAGGCCCCTTGGGACCGACCTGTCACATCACCTGTGTGTGTGCCTCTTTGACCACAAATGCAATCTAGGAGACTTTCATTTTTTAAAAATGCATTTCTAGTGGGATTGCTGTGTTAGTCTGTTGCAGTGGAAACAAGGTCCTGTGGCACCTTCAAGACAATTAAGCTGATTACGCCAACAAGGCTTTTGTGAACTAGAGTGCAAGACTGCGCTATTTTGCTAGACCTCATGGTTACAAGAGGTCAGGGATGGCTAAACCTTTTTGCTTGAGGATCATATTCATTATGGCAAACCGATGGGTGGGTGGCTGTGTCCCAAGGCGAGTGTAGTCATCTCACACTCTCACATGCACAAATACTTGGGAGACACACAGGCACACAGCCCACCCCCAAGCGGATGTGTTCAGATCAGCTGAGGAGAGGAGTTAATCACCTAGCACTACCTCTCTCCTCTTGCTGTGGTTGCCAAAATTGGTGGTCTAGAAAAACATTACTTGGGGCCCATATCAGGACCCTAAAGTGGGGATTGGCAACCCTGGTCTGTGTGCTCATGTGCATGTCATGGAGGCCTTAGGAAGATGTAGTGGCCTGGCCAATGCAAAGCAAAGGCTGTTAGTGTCCTCTTTTATATACCCACTTTCAAATTTTTTGATGGGGAAAGGAGTCCTACCTTATGTTAAAAGAAATGAACAAGATGCTTATAATATGGTATGAGGAAGCCAAATGGAATATTCAGTTCCCAAGGCTTTTCCTTAGGCAGCAACTGTTTATTTTCATTTATTTCTCAATTTCTCAAACACCTCAGCCACTTGCAAAGGAATGATATTTCCAAAATTTCAAAAGCCAAGGCATGCCTGTGGGCTGGGCCAAAGGAAGCTCAAGTAGGTACACAGAGCACTAGACAGAGCGTTAAGTTTTGCCTTGGGTTCTAGTGCACTCCCTTCACCTTGCCTTTGTCTTCTAGCCACTAGCTGTAAAATGGGTACAATTTTGATGGGGCTATGGTTGAAGCTCTTGAGGAGCTGAAAGTCAAAAATATTGTACAAATAAACATGTATTTTGTGATATACAGTAGCATTGGTCCAAAAGTGAATATAAAATGAAATTTATTTGTCCCATTTCTTTAATAAAATGTGGAAGGCAATGCAATAAAAACAGGATAAAACAACCAATCCTGGGTGCAATAAAAATGATTGAAACAACATCAAAGAGAACAAGCAACCAATTAATATCAGCAAGGAGTGTCAATTTCCACCCTGTTGAACAAAACAATTGCATTGAGATTTATTACAATTTGAAACCCAATTTAATTTTTTTTAAAATGATATTTATTAAAGTTTCAATAAAAGATTAAGCATAAAACATAAAAAAGAAATACACAATTCAAAATATACAATACATAATCTAAAAGAAAGGAAAAAAAAGAAATAAAGAAACAAGAAAACATAAGACAAAAAAGAAAGTAGAACAATTAAAAACAATATCATCTTTTCGTCTCCACCTTTAAATTTACTTATTTTCTGGACCTCCTCATACCTCCCTCTTTTGTATTCCAGTTCAAATTGTTTGTCCAGCAATTTCTTTCCCTCTTTTTTTAATCCCAATCTTAACTCTTAAAATAGTATGACATTAAAATTTTACCTTTTAAAAACCAATTAATCTATGCATAATTTTAAATCCTAAACAGCTGGAAGCCACTTATTTTTAATCCAACATCACTCTAGCATTCTTTAATTTTTTGAAACCCAATTTAAATTAGAGTGCCTGAGGGATTGGGGGGTGGGTGGGGATGAATAGGGTCGTCAACCCAATAAATAAATCTCCTAAAGCAATTCTATGCCTCAGTCCTTGTTAACTTGGGGCCTTCCAGGTGTTTTGGACTGCAATTCCCATCAGCCCCAGCCAGCTCAGCTATGCTGACTGGAGCTGATGGGAGTTGTAGTCCCAAGCAGCTGGAGAGACAATATCACTTTACTCAGAATCAAGTCCTACTTTATTAAATGAGCCTCACTCACATGTAAGTATATGCAAATGAGTGGAGCCAACGGGGATTAACTGAGTGATTAATTTTGTAAGTCAAGAGTTCGAAAGCCAAACAAACAAACAAACCTGCTTGCACTGTGACAGAAGAGGCATTTGCTCCTTTGACAGAGGAAAGAGAATGTTTCTTTTTACGCAGTGCTTTTTAAAATAAACAACAGAGATAAAAATAATATTTGTAAAAGCTGGATCAGTCAGGGTACTTTCACCTGATCAATTAGGGACCTTTTTTTAGTAGAATAAAAACTTCTAGTAATAATAATTTTTTATTTTACAAGTACTACTTGGCAATAGTCTATATAAGCAATGTTCTGGGACTGTCTTATCAGCAGCTGAACAGGAGACGGTAGCATGTTGTGGCTGCAAAAAATGCTTTATGGGATTTTTGGCAGCATTAATAAAAGTTTAACTTGAAAGTCAGAGTTGCCTTTATTTCACATTAGTCAGGGCTCATCTGGAGTATTGAGTCCAGTTTTTGAAATGAAGATGGAAAATGTCAGGCCTCTGAAGACAAGTTGAAAGAATGGAATGATGCAGGACGAGAAGGAGGACAACATGTAAAGCAGCACTCTCTGCACACAACATGTAAACAGCAGCACTGTTGCTATTCATAACTCCTGGACACACTACTGCTTATCAGGCAGACACGATACTTGCCAGCCTGCCTGCCAGCCTGTTGTGGTCAGAGGAAGCCCCGTAGAACACCCTTCCCCAGCCTGAGGCTGCCCATATTGGAGGAAGCCCCCATTGGATGATTTGCAGTGCCTCGTCACAATCTTGGATTTCCATGAAGAAAAACCCAAGAGGCCAGGAAAAGTGAGCTTAGTAGTTGCATGGGGTGGGAAAAGGAAGCTCTAGGGGTTAATGTGGGAGAAAATGGCTGGGAGGGTTGGAGAGTTGAGTTAGCAGGGGTACAGCTGTGTGTGTGTGTGTGTGTGTGTGTGTGTGTGTGTGAATAATGCCCTCCAACGAAAATAGAGACGCTTTATTCCATGATGATTTTATTATTTATACCCCACCCATCTGACTGGGTTGCCCCAGTCACTCTGGGCGGCTTTCAACATAAATAAAAACATTATAAAACATTGAACGTCAAAAAACTTCCCTATACAGGGCTGCCTTCAGATGTCTTCTAAAGGTTCTGTAGTTACTTATCTCCTTGGCTCAGGGGTCACATAATTCCACACCCTAAGGAAAAGTGGGGCATTCCGGGATCAAATCAGAAAATGGGACAGCTTCTGTAAACCCAAGACTGTCCCTGGAAAAGAGGGATACTTGAAGGGGCTGATATACATAGCTACAATTTCCATCATACTGACTATTGATCAAGCTTGCTGGGGTTAATGGGAGCTAGAGCCCCACAAATATCTGGCGGGCACCATGTTGAGGAAGGCTAGCCAAGGCATTTGACATGAAACATACCCAGCAGGATGTCCCACACAAGAAGCCAAGTATTTATTTTCTGCTGTGGCTCCAGAGGGCAAGGTGAGATCTAAGAGCTTGGGTAGATTTGGGTTGAACATTAGGTGAAACTTCATGAGAGTAAGAGTGGCTGGGCAAGGGATCCGCTTCCCTGAAAGGATGACGGGCTCTCTCTCCTAGGAGGCCTATGAAAGAGAACACCTTGGGAACACAATGGCTCTGGATTCCCTCCATGGAGCAGAGGGTATGGCTAGCCAGGATACAAGAAAGCCTACAACTCTATGATCAACAAGCCTCATCCACAATGGCCATGTTCTGCTGCCACAGTCAGAGGCAGTACACCTCCGAACAGGGATGGCCTACCCATGAGGCAAAGCGAGGCAGCCGCTTCAGGCCACAAGATCTACAGGGGCAGCGTATCTTGCCTCCAAGGAACGCATTGTCCACTGTTGTCATCGCTTTACTCCTCCCTTGTTCCCAAAGTCGATATTTATCCCCAACCCCCTGTTCCTGATGTAGGTCTTCACTCACCTGTTCTTCCCTGTTGGGTGGAGAGGGCCATTTCGTGGTTTGCCTCAGGTGCTAAAATGTCTTGGGCAAGCCCTGCCTCAGGATACCGGATGTTGGGAATCGCAGGTGGGCAGAGTGCTGTTGCCCTCAGGTCCTGCCTTTGGGGTTCCTCTGGAGCCTCTGGTTGGCCACTGTGGGAACAGAACTGGACAGTCTGATGATCTGATCCATCAGGCTCTTCCTATGTTCTTATGATTCTGTGATAAATTAATAGCAGTTAATTGCTCTCCCAGCCCCACCTGGAGATGTTTTCAAGAGACTGGCCTTGGCACCTTCCGCATGCAAAGGAAGTGCTCTCCAACGGAGCCGCTACTGCTGCAGCTTGGGACACCTCTGGACTGGAGCTGCCCCTCAGCTTCTTGCTGGAGTAGAAAGTGCTTTCCCAACAACATGGTGTCTGGGGTTTGGGGGTTTTTTGTATTTTTTTGTTTGCTGATACGATTCCTTAAAAAAATCACACCCTAAAGTGAAATATAAATGTATTAAAATAAATAAAAACAAACAAAAGAACCAGAAAACCACTATTAGTATAAAAGCAAGAAAACAACTATGATTATTATTGGTTGTTGAGATGATAATAATTGTGCTTCTCCAAGCTTATGACAGGAATAGGATTTTGTTGATGGGTCGCAGACACCCCGGGAGGCGCCCACCGCCCTCCAGCAGGGGGCGCGCTGCCAGCCCCTCCCGCCCTCCCTCCCTGCGCCTGACGCTAGGGGGCGGCAAACAGCGGGAAGGTAGAGAGGAAAAACTGAAGCGGGCGAGTGCGCGGGGCGGGGGACAGAAGAAAGAGGCGGCGGCGGCGGCGGCGGATCTCGCGAGGCCCCTGCGGAAATCCCGCGAGATCTCGCCGTCTCTTTCCCTCCCCGCGTCATGTTTCCTCCCCTTTGACAAGCTGCTGCCGGAGAAGCAGGAGAAGCGGGGAGGACGGGGCGCCGCCGCCGCCGCCGCCGCTGCCGCCGCCTCACGGGACCTCCCGCCGCGGGCCCCGCCAGCCTTGCCCGGACCGCACCTCGGTAAAGGGGTCTCCTCCCGGCGCGCTCCTCGGCGTCCCCGCGGGCGCCCGCGCTGAGGGAAGGCGAGGCCTGAGGGGAGGGGGGAGGGGCAACCGCCACCGGGGAGGGGCGAGGGGGAGGGGAGCCCCGCCGAGCGGGGAGGGGAGGGGCCCGCGGAAAGGGAGGGGGCCGGGGCGACCCCGCCCGCCACCCAGGGGACCCCCGCCCCGGAGCCACCATTTGGGCGCCTTCCCCCATTATTGGGGGCGCTCCTGCCCTCGACCTCGCCGTGACGCCGCCGCTCTTCATCTCGCTAACTCTCTCTTATTTATTATGATGCTGCTGGTGTAATAATAGATCTTGGACTTGGCTGTTCTTACGGCAATTCCGCCGCCGTCGCTCGTGGTCTTATTTGTGTCAGTGCCATCCATATTACGAGATTGTTGCTGCTGCTGCTGCTGCTCTTGCTGCTGATTGTTATTGTTATGTGTGACAGTGCGCATAGCAATTTCCACAGATCTGTAAGCAACGTTACACACACACACACGGCCCTTTCCCCTCCCTGTAGGCCCATACAATCTGAAATCAATTGTGAGGGAGAGAGGATGGTTCCTAGGGCTGAACAGGAGCTTGTTGATGCCTTCTTCTGTTCTGTTTTCTCAGCAGTAAAATCCCTGCCTCAACTTCCCGTCTTGGAGCCTGAAAGGCAATTTGCTTAACCACGTGGAGTTATTCTTGATTTTTTCCTTTTCCCTTTATAACAGGCTACATCAAGTGTCCCGTAAGGGGTTGTCTGAAATAAAAATCACAAGCAAAACCTGCAATTAGGCCCACATCAGTAAATGCACCCCGGCATGTGTTGAGTGGTGGCATGTGGGTCTGCAACTTTTGCTTCTGATGGGCAGTTTGGGTGGCTCATCTAGCCATGTGCGTGCAGTGCCACCTGGGCTGGGGGATGGTGGGAATGGCTGGCCAAGAGGGTTTGTGTGCATCTTCCCACAAAAGTGTATTATTTTGCAGTGGTTAATGTGAGATGCTCTCACTGTGAAAGCAGAGCACTATAATTGCACCCATAAAGATATAATGAAAGAACAATAAGTGATCCACCCTTGAAGTGCCCCATTAGTCTCCAAGCCTTACTGCAACTGGTAGTAGCTCCTGTGTGGCAGGGAGGCTTTTTAAACCAGGGGTGGGTAGACTTGCGGTTATTCAGATCTACTTTGTTGTTTACTTGAACCTCAAGTTCCACCAAAGCCAGTTGAAAAGACATACAATTAGAATTTAAAGAACAGCTTGCTTTTGAGAACATTCTGGGCCTAGGTACCAGAAATGAACTGAACTCAGTCATTGACTCCTGGTTTATTCATTTCTGTGGCCTGAGATAGGAAAAAGAGGCATTGTTGTTAAAACAAATGGGAGTCAGAAGGTCTCCTGCAAATCACCCAGATATCTACCATCCCTGATTTAAATGACCTACATATCTGGGTCTTTCCAGCAAAATTGGCATATCCCCCACCTGTTGCTATAGTCCGTTGTGTGCACAGGATTTCTCTGTTGTTGGATATGTGAAGTGTGAAATATCCAGCTGTCAAATTTGTTGTGAGCTGGCCTTCATTGCTGAGGACCTGTTTGTTATTCCACAGCATTACAGAGCAAATATGGTGGCACTTTTGGCTAGTTCTCTTCTTTTTCCAGGAATGCAACTGCTGTGTTAGATGGGCCCAGTGTTTTTTTTTCCTAAAAAAAAAAGGTTAGGGGGACTCTCATTTTCCTATTCATATTGAAATACTGCCCCTCAATGAGACCAAACTTAGATTCACAACATGTTTAGTGATATGCATACCCCTGCGTCCCCCCAGGAAAAAAAGCACTGTGCCATATATACATTTGTTACTTTTCTAATTTTCTCCTGTACACATCACTGGGCCTTATATATCTGTTTGGCATGAAATGAAACATTTGTGTTGTCTAACACAAAGCTGTAACAAGTGTTATGGTGTCAGAAAATTGGCAAGAGAGGTTATTTTTCTTGTGTCTTCCTATGATAGTCCTTCATAATATTGTGAAGCTTCTTTGTATAAATAGCACAATTATGAATTGGGTTAATATTCCCAGCTTATTCATATACAGTGGTACCTTGGGTTAAGTACTTAATTCGTTCCGGAGGTCCATTCTTAACCTGAAACTGTTCTTAACCTGAAGCACCACTTTAGCTAATGGGGCCTCCTGCTGCTGCCGTGCCGCCGGAGCACAATTTCTGTTCTTATCCTGAAGCAAAGTTCTTAACCCGAGGTACTATTTCTGGGTTAGCGGAGTCTGTAACCTGCAGCTTATGTAACCTGAAGCATATGTAACCCGTGGTACCAATGTATTGAAGGTTCTTTTCTAGGCTATTCTGTAGTTGCAAGCCTTTTTGTAACAAAGTTAAGTAACTGGAAAATAACTTCAAGTACCTCTATGCTGGCGATGCATGTTTAGGAACTAGACTCAGAATTTTGGGCACCAACATTGCCCTTACCTATGTACAGTACAAGCATCATAACTATGTAGGTATAAAGGCAACCAAAGTCCTGGGACATTTCCTCTCCTCAGATGACCTTAGGCAGCTTCCAAGTCCCTCAGTGGTATAGTCTTTTCTTTGTGGTTTGATTAATTCCCATGTCTCATACAGGGGAATGATCATAAGGATTGCATGCATGCTTGGAATTGTCACATTGAACTTATGTTCCATATTCCATGCAGACAAGCATAGAATCAGGTTCTTTGTAACTTATTTCAGCTCATAAATGAGTAGTGGATACCATGGATTTTACTTTGTGAAGAAAATGAACGCTTTATTTATCAAATAGCAAACTTTACAAAGGCAAGAGAAACAGTATGTTTTACTGCATGTAAAATCAGCCATATTGTCCAGTATGATGTTATGGATTTAGTGAAACCACCATACACTTCAATTTTTCTCATTTCAGTTGTTTAAACTTTTTAAGTGGCATTTGTCTGTCTTCCATGTCACTTTAAACCGGGCGTGGGGAACCTTTCACCCTCCAGATGTTGCTGAACTACAACTCCTGACAGACCTAGCAAGTAGGGCCAGCAGCCAGCTATTGATTGATTGAGTAACTTTATTTATACGCCACTTTTCCACAATGTGCTGTGCCCAAAATGACTTCCAACAGATATCTGGAAATGAATAAAAATATTTATTAAAAAACACCGTGCAGACATCTACTTATTATCAAATACACATGCACTGTTATGATAGGATTTAATCAACACGTAGGGGGCCAAAGGTTCCCCAAACCTGCTTTAAACTACAGATTAAATTAAACAATGGTTTGAACTGAACAAACTGAACTGCACACACCACATACCTTGGGGACAGATTATGATGGGGTTTTGGTCACAACATACCAACTTAAGACCAGTGCTTTAATGATTAATTCAAATTCAGTCTATTGTGGTGAGGATATTTCTTTACCTATAAAGGGACTAGATTGACAGTTTGATACCAGTTTGATCTGTGCACTACTAGTCTTCTAGCTAACCATATTTCTCTGGTGCCATGCAAATATTTTGGACCACAACAAGCCATGCTCCTACCAGCCCCAGCATCATATGGCTGCAGTGGCTTGAGCTAATGAGAATTGTAGTTCAAAACAGCTGGAGGGCACAAGGTTGGTGAAGGCTGCTCTGAATGAATATTTTTTCTTATATAAATAGGAGGGATTGTTGTTTTTAAAGAAGTTTGATAGTGCGATGCTTGATTTAGGCTCAGGCTCATTGGTTACTTGCTAACATCTCTGTGATCATTTAACATTTATATGGCCTGTTTTGCACATTGCCCTGAGCTTAAGCATGGCTTAGCAAAAGTATGTGGGCTCCAGGAGAGGAGATCCTGATTGCTTTGCTTCTCTCCCATGAACTAAGTCCTAGTTTGGCTTAGTATGTTGTCCAAACTAGGACTTATGATTTAGCTCTTCCTGACACACCACAAACTGTAAATCATAGGACAGATATTGGTTACAGCTTGTGGTTAGTTTTGGAGAGAGCTAAACCATGAGCCTTGGACCACACACTAAGCCAAATGATGGTGTAGCTCAGCATAACAGCAAAATGAATGTGAAGTAACTAAGCAGACACAGTCTCCTGTCTGGGAGCCCAAGTGTTCACACTAAGCTGTGGTTTAGCTTAATGTGATGTGCAAACCACGGCATTGTTTCTAGATTGACAATTATTTGTGAGGTTGCTGGAATGTTGTGTCACCATAGTATGGTTTAGGGCTCATCCAGACTTCCTTTTTTCATGTGTTTCTAGGCCAATGGCCACCTGTCTACCATGGCTGCCTCTTGTGACTGATCCAGTGTCATTGAACAAGTTGGAACGTTTCCAGGCAACTCTAGTAAGAGTGTTCTTTTCTGGAACATTGGAGATGCTGTATAGTAATACA